TTTCCAGTACAAATGGGATTTCATAACAAAAGTGGCTAGTGCAGTTTTTAACTCAATGAGTACTTTTCCTCTTGTATTATACTTTCTATTATCCAATAGAAGGGGTCCATCTATACTTCCTGTTTTTTCCCTTGCTGCTATAAGTTTATTTATGAACATCCGTATATAATACATACGCATTTGTGCAAGAATTTATCTATGTTACATATTCCCAAGTAGAATTGCTTGTCTGTAGGGCACACACATGCTCCAGTTCACTAGGTGACCTTAACCTGTTTTCCAAAGCAATCATACCAGTTTACCATTGTCTGTCAACGCTTGGTGTTGACTTATTTTTAAAATTTAATCTTCTTGTATAGCTCTGCCTTTCCCTAGTAAAGCTCTGCACTTCTCCTTTTTCCTTCCCTGTAAAACTATATATAGGGAGCTTCTGCGTAACAATTTAGTTTTGGCTTTTCCCTTCAGTTTGGTTTTATTTTCTTTGAATTCACAGCCTCCCTTCTCTCTCTGATACGCAGAGTAGCAGTCTGCACACTGTGGGTGTTTATGGCCAGTGTAATTTGTGTATTTTTGAATCATTAAACTACTAACAAAGGGTATGATTTGACTTGAAATGTACAAATACTCCAGCACAGATTGTGCGTGTGTGTATGTATGTGTGTACACATTATCAAAAGAAGTACTCTGGGCTGTTTTATGGATAATGCATAGAAGCAGGATGATTTAAGTATGGCAAAATGGAATATTTTTGATTAGAGAATAATAGGAACTATCTTTAAAAGCCTTACATAAGTATAAAACATCACAGTTTTAAAATTTTTTAAAATTAAATCATAGTTGTGCACATTAATACTATCATGGGGTATAGTGTGTTTTTTCCATATACAATTTGTTTTTTTTTTTTTTTTTTTTGAGACGGAGCCTCAAGCTATCCCCCTGGGTAGAGTGCTGTGGCATCACAGTTCACAGCAACCTCCAACTCCTGGGCTCAAGTGAGTCTCCTGCCTCCGCCTCCCAAGTAGCTGGGACTACAGGCGCCCGCCACAACGCCTGGCCATTTTTTTGGTTGCAGCCATCATTGTTGTTTGGCGGGCCTGGGCTGGGGATTTGAACCCGCCACCTTAGGTGTATGTGGCTGGCGCCTTAGCCGCTTGAGCCACAGGCGCCGAGCCTCCATATACAATTTGAAACATTCTCATCCAACTGGCCAACAGAGCCTTTATGTCATTCTCATAGTCATTGTGTTAAGACATTTATATTCCACATTTTGAGAGATTCACATGTACTCTTATAGGATAGATCATGGGCACAGTTTTTTTTTCTCAGATGCAACTATGTCCTTGCCCCAACTGACGGGACATAATTGCATCTGCTTCTTATTACACTTACTCCTCAACCTCTCCTTACCCCATATCTCTGGCAAATGATTATTGTTGACAGTGGTGGTATACAAATATTTTGAATTTGGGAATCTCTGTACATGCTCTTTTGAAGGCTATTGCATAAAATGCCTTGGGTAGCTGACGTGGGTCATAGTCAGCATCTAGGTGGATAGGCAGCATTATAATTTATAGTGGATGGAAAGATAATTGCTTTTGTGCTAATGTCCAGGTTTTTAGCTTTAAACCAGGGTTTTATAATTATTGGTCTTGAAAATTTAAAAACAAAATGGAAAAATTGAAGGAACTTTGTGTTTCTAATAAAAACTGCATCTGTCTTTTGACTCAAATACTGCAGCTTAATTTGATTATTTCCATATAAATTCTGAACAAAATTATATCATTCATTTAAGACTACTACTGCATTAGGCCATTGTTAGAGAGTGAGTGAGTTTGGGGATCTCATCTTTCACCCCTTTTCTAGTCACTATCATCTTCCTTTTCCTTTAGTCCAAGCTTTAAGGAGGTCATAGGCCAAGTGGAGCCAGATATGCAAGTAGTTATTTTGTCACATGGTACCGTTACATTGCAAAGTAGTATATTGATATGAACCAGTATAGTGCAGTCATCAAAGGCATGTTCAATCTCAGCTTTGCCACGTACTGGCTGGGGCATTCTATTTCTCAGTCTGTTTCCTCTCCTGCTAATTCAACCCTCTGCCTCTTAGGGTTGATATGAGTATTAAATACATTAATTGATGTTAAAGTGCTTATTTGGCTTTTACTAACCACCTCAGTGATTGCTGGTGGTGGTTGTTTTTGTTTGCTAAGTGTTGTGATACAGGGTTGCGTTAAGATTAAGGTGGAAGTTTTCTGCCTTGCCTAGTAGACTGGGAAAGTCTTTTGTAGAAAACATAAGTCTTTAAGCTGAGTCTTTAAGGATGTTAAAGAGCATATCACATGAAAGAGGGGTTATTGGTATTTCATTTTGAGAGCTAGATGTATAAAAGGCATAGGACCATGTGAGAACATATATATCTCCTAAGATACTAGAGAGCTACGAAGTAATTTAATTTATTCTTTTTCACTAAACTTTGTGGAGGGACAAATGAAATGAGATCCTCTGAAGCAACTTTGTATGCTGGGAAGCATTAAAAAAATCCCATTTTTTTTTTTATTCATTTATATTCCCTGGGCAAGTAACAGATAAATAATGGGGCTTAATAGAGGGAGATTATTACTATAAGAAAGTATATCAAGAAAACAATTGTTTACAAAATCAAAGGAGACTAGACATTTGGAGGTGAAGAATTTTGCTTGTAAAAATGATAGATTTTGAGATAACATTCATTTTATAATTTAAGCCTGAATAGGATATATTTGGGGGGCACTAATTGATTTGAGTTGTAAGAAATTTATTGGGTTTAGAATCATAATCTATCACTCTGCTCCGTGGCTACTCACATCAGATTCTTTCAACTTCAGCTGCTTCCGCTGTAAATGGTGGCTCACGCTTGTAATTCCAGCACTTTGGGAGATGAGGAGGTGAGATGATTGCTTGAGTTTAGAAGTTTGAGTTTAGAGACTAGCCTGGATAACATAGTGAGATGCTGTCTTTACAAAAAAATAAAAATTAACTGAGCAGGGTGACTCAAATCTGTAGTCCCAGACACTTGGGAGCCTGAGGCAGGAGTATCACCTGATCCCAGGAGTTTGAGGCTGCAGTGAGCTATGATGGCACCACTGCACTCTGACCTGGGTGATAGAGATCCCATCTCTAAAAAAGTTAAAAATAATATTTAAAATAAAATATGTAACTGAGTACATAGCTTAATATATAGCTGAGTCAGGAGTATAATTTTTTCCCTAATCTTTTGGTTCTACCTCTTTTTTCTGTTTCTATTGTTGGGTCAGCACACACATCTTTTGGCTAATTTTGCCCCAGACACCTGGTTGCTCTTCTTATTTCTAAGTTTGTCTCTCATCCTATCTCTCTTGTACATACTCATATCATTTTTCTGACACTGTTTTTTTTTGTTGTATATTCCTGCTTCATAATTTAGATTAACTTACTTTTTCCTCAGATAAGTAAACATTCAAGAACCTTTATTGCTACCAAACCTGTGGCCTCTAGCCTCATTACTACTCCTGAGTTAATGCTTGCTACTTACAACTTGTTTATCCCTTTGTGTCTTTTAAAATATTTGTACAGAGCAGATGGTATGAGTCATGTACACATACTCCTTAATTCCTTTTACCCCTTCAGAAACCAAGCTCAAATATTATTTTCAAGTGATCTTACTTGTTAACTTTATCTGACTTTGCTTGTTTTATTTGAATTTTTAAAAATTGATACATATTGATATACATACTTTCAGGGTGATAATTTGATACATTCATGCACTCAAAGCAGGGTAATTGGGACATCCACTTTTAAAAATCAAACTGAAACTTTAGCGTTTTCAGATGATCTTACTAGTTAGCTACCACCTGACTTTGCTCATTTTATTTTTTAAATAATTTTTTTGATAAATTTGACACATTTTTTCTATTAATCTATTATTGCTTGTGCATTATGTTTTAACTTTCTTAGGGTTTTTTTAAATGCGTGTATTTCATTTAGATTATAGTCTGTTTAAGGTACAGAGGCTTTGATTGTCCCTTACTATTCTGTATTATCCCTTTCCAGCACACTGTGTATAATAAGTGAATGTAATTAAGGTCTACTTATAGAATCATCAGGTTCATTTAATGGCTTCTTATCCTGGCTATTTTTATTACAGAATTGAGTTAAAGTTCTGATTCATATTTTATGTATAAATATATTGACCTAAAATGTTCAGTATTAATTGTTACAACTCCACTGAGACCAGACTTCAACATTTGATTAGGGTAGTTGATCCAGATCTTTGATGTGAGATGTTATTTTTATATTTTATACTTAATAATATTGAGTAAAATGACAAAATAGAAGGCAGGTGAGTGACATCTTGAGAGCATTATTTTTAAATACCTAGAGAGATAATCAGTTCTAGCTTGTTGCTCGAAAGCAGTGGTTCTCAACCTTCCGAATGCCGCAACCCTTTAATACAGTTCCTGTAGGTTGCAATCCACAGGTTGAGAACCTCTGCTCTAGAGAATGGCCTTTATCAAGAATAGCAGGAAAAACAGTGCAGTCAATAGGATTGGATGGATACTAGAGCGGTGGATGATGTTGTTACGCTAAAGCTCTTACAAAATATGAAATTGCCAAGCCAGAGATCAAGGTGAGCAAAGTATATTGTTGTTATTCAAAATAATTTCTGTTGGTAGAAAGATAGTTTTAATTTTTAACTTCAGTGGAAGAGTATAGATATGTTTTATACCCCAAAGAATCCAGCATATTTTATGTTAACATTTTCTTGGCAATTCTTAAGTTGCATTTGTAGAGCTTAGCCAGGTGTACTACTAATAAAATTGTAAGTATGTAACCATTTAATTCTTCCTGATTAGAATTTTGTCACTGATTCTTTTTGTAATACTGATAAAAGCATTTAGATAGTACTGCTTCAAAGATTATGTAAATAACTGGAATAATTAAAAATATTAGAAAAGGACATACAGTGTTCAATCAACATTTCAGAACTTGATGGAGAAGTTGCAGAAGAAAGAACTGGACTACACCCAGTTAGAGGAGAAACATAATGAAGAATCTGTGAGTAAAAAGAATATGCAAGTCATCCTTCATCAAAAAGACCTGGATTGTCAGCAGCTGCAGTCAAGATTATCAGCATCTGAAACTTCACTCCAGAGAACACAGGCAGAGCTAAGTGAAAAAGGCGAAGCCTCACAAAAGCTCAAAGAAGAATTATCCGAAGTAGAGACCAACTACCAGCATCTGAAGGCGGAGTTCAAACAGCTGCAACAGCAGAGAGAAGAAAAGGAGCAGCATGGGTTACAACTCCAAGGTGAAATCAATCAAGTAAGAGGTGTTTATTTTATTTATTATTATTTACTGTAATTCTCTCTATGGTTTCTTTTTAGTGTGCTTGATGCTTAGTTGATCATGGTGAAAAAATTTTGTCATGTAAGAAAATTAACTCTTAAGTTTTACATCCTGGAGTGTGGTCAGATCTTATTTCTTTTTATTTTCTCTTAAAAAAATGATAGCATCTAAAAGCAGTTTTTATTGTGAGTGTTTTTGAATTAATACATAGAAGTTGCTTAGATGGTACCTGGTAGGTTACTCACTAGATTTTAACTATTAGAATTTATTCAAATTGGTGACCATTTATTAATTTAAAAATTCTTACCTTTTTTGTTACTAATTTTTCAAAATATTATTATAAAACTAAAAATGAGATTATTTAGAAAGTAGAAAACTTTGGAAAGTAGAAAACAAATTAGTCCTAATATAACTATTTTTTATAGGTAAAAAACATCTGTGAGAAGAAGTTTAATGCAGGTTTTAACTTTGCCATTAACTTAATTTCTGAATGTCCATATTCTAGTTATTATTTATAGGGTTAAAAAATGGAAATTTGGGGGAGACTAAAGTCCTTGGTCACTTTTTTGGTAGTGTTCATTTTTACTTAAATGACAGTGATAGCTTATTTTATTATAATTATTTTCATGGACCTGTCTTCTAGTGATAATATTAATAATATTGATTATGTTAATAATTTATTGAGCTACAGGAATTAGAGTGAGCATTTCATGTACACTACTACTAGTTTTTTTGTTGTTTTTTCTTTGTTTTTGAGACGGAGTCTCACTCTGTTGTCCAGGGTAGAGTGCCATGATGTCAGCCTAGCTCACAGCAACCTCTGGGCTCAAATGATCCTCCCCTGCCTCAGCCTCCTGAATAGCTGGGACTACAGGCACCTGTCACCATACCTGGCTAATGTTTTTATTTTTAGTAGAGGCAGGTCTTGCTGTTGCGAAGGCTGGTCTTAAACTCCTGAGCTCAAGTAGTCCTCCTGTTTTGGCCTTGCAGAGTGTCCAGCCAACTAGCACTAGTTTTTCAGATTAAATTGTGAGTTCCATGACGTGATGGATCAGAAGAGTTTGGAATATTCCTCTAACTTGTCTTCTCCTTTCCTTTGTCCACTGTCAGTCCTCCTTATCTCACTCTTAAACAACTGCTAACTGGGCTGCCTTTACTCGTCCCTGTTGAATTAATCTTCCCCTTGGCCGCCAGGAGAAGCAAGTGTGAGCATGTTCTAACTCTGCTTTAAACCCTTTGAAAATTTTACTTAACATGTTATATTTGTTGTAATTTATGTCGTCTTTCTTCGCTAGACTCTGAACTCTTTGAGGGCAAAGACCATGTCTTAGTCATTTTTTATTCTCACTACCTGGCACATTGCTTCTTAATTGCACATATTTTAGTGTATGAATGAATGAATCAATGCGAATATTTATAATGGAATGAAACGGAAGTTTGGGGCTATCAGGGAATAACTTAAAAATAACTTACATATTTGACTTTCAGTTCAGATAAACAAATTTAGCATTTATGCTTAATAACAGAAACATGCCTCATTTGTTTTGAGATGCAGCAATGAAGAAGAAACAGTACCTACCACTAATGATTATGTAAAGCTCATGGAGAGGATCAGAGTAGTACCAGCCTGTGCCAAAGATCATGAGAATTATAACGAAAGGATCCATATACTATGGGATCCTATCTCCTTCCTCATCCCTAACATAGTACTTCACTTTGTGCAATTATTTTATTCAATTAGGGGATCAGGAAAAGCTTTATACAAGAGAGAGGTAGTACTTGAAATTGTGAATATTGGATAGGTTTTCACAAGTGCTGGTTTGAAAGCAGAAGTGTGTTCCAGCCAGAGATTAGTAAGAGCAAACTAGTACCAGGCAAGGGTTGTGAGAGCTAGGCAGGGACACTCATGTAGGGTGGGGGATGTGTGCCAGAAGGGGATTGCTGGGACTGGAAGGAGCCATATGGGACTTTATGATGTAGGGCTTGAATAGCAGGGTAAGGAATTTTCCTTTTGTTTGATTGTCTGTGGGTTGGAGGGGTCATTAGGAATTTGTGAGAGCCTATTTAAACATGTGCCGGGTAGGGAAAACAAACTTAGTTTCTCCTACTATACACTCACAACACAGAATGCTTCTGTAACAGTCACCAAGGAAACTTGTAAACATAACAAGGCCCAGGCTGGTGCTGCAAATTTTGATTTAATTGGATCAAGAGTGAGGTCTTAACATTGGACATTTTTAAAATTTCCACTTTAAGAATGTGTGGGGATTTCTCCCCACTAACAAGCAAGCAGGCAGTTCTGCGGTGGACACCAGCTGGGTATTCTCTAATTCAGGTGTCCTCAAACTGTGGCCCACTTAGGGCATTTATCTGGCCTGCTGGGTGTTTTTGCCGCCACTGCCTGTTCTGCTTAGCAGCTGACTTGTCCCAGGGCCTGCAGTCCGGCCCTCCAATGATCTGAGGGACAGTGAACTGGCCCCCTGTTTAAAAAGTCTGAGGACCCCTGCATTCAATTTAGTCTACTTATAGGTAGCATCAGATCCCACAGATTGAGGGCTCAGCCCTCCAAGATTGCCCTTCACTTCTGATGGCAATCTCAAGCCCCAAGTTGTTTTTAACCCGTGCTTTTAGTCAACTGGCTATAAATTGGGGTTACCATCACTGCCTCCTCAGGGTTGATTAATTTGTTAGAGCAGCCCACAGAACTCAGGGAAACATTTATGTTTGTTGGTTATTAAAGGATATTACAAAGGATATGGAAGAACTATATAGGGCAAGGTATGGTAGCGGACGGACATGAGCTGTTACATCTTCCCTGGGCCAAAGTCCCAACCCTCTAAACCAGTGGCTCTTAACCTTCCTAATGCTCTGGCCCTTTAATACAGTTCCTGTGCATCGTGACCCACAGATTGAGAACCGCTGCTCTAATCCCTTCTTGGTCTTGTGACCAGCCCTTATTCTGAAGCTAGAGGTTGCCAGCTATCAGTGAACTTATTAGCATACCCCCCCCCCCCCAAAAGCTTACTACTTTGAAGATTCTAAGGATTTTAGAATCCCACATATTTACATCTTCATCGCAGTCATGGGATGATGCATACTAAGATTTGAATATGTGATTATTTGGTTTAGTCACAATTCTGAACAAAACAAAGAGGAGCGGTCATGCTGAAGGTCTTGAAGGAACACCTTTCAGCATGCTGTTGGATTCCACCTTCAAAATAAGTCTCAAATCTATCTACTTGTCTCTGTCTTTATTGCCACCACCCTTAATCTAAGTGACCCTCACTGCTTACCTAGGCTACTGTAGTGGTCTTCTTAAAACTGTCCCTTCTTCTAGTGATCTGCTTAGTCTATTTCCCGTGAAGAAGTCAGAGGCATCTTTCTAAAACACGAAAGATATAATTTTATCCCCCTTCTTTATACTTTTTGTTGGCTTTGTGTTGTACTTTGAATTGAATCCACATTTCTTTTTCTGACACGTTAGCCTCTGCATATATGTTAATAGTATGGCCACACTGTTTTCAGACTCCTTTCAGACCACTGTGAAGCCAAGTTGATCGTTCAGTTCCTCAGACACAATGACGCTTCAGGCTGTTTTCTGCTATAGGTGCTTTGGTCAATGGTTTTTCTTCTTACAGTATTTATTTTTTCAAAAAAAATTTTTTTAAAATTAATTTTCTATTAAATCATAACTTTGTACATTGATGCATTTATGGGGTTTAGGGTACTGCTTTGATATACAATGTGAAATGCTTACATTGAACTAAGTAACACATCCATCACAATTATACTCATTTCTTAATAGTTTTGAAATGTACCATTGCATCATGCACATTAGATGAGGTCCCCCAAATACCCTCTCTCCTCCCAAGTCCCCCTTCCCCTCCCCTCTTTCTCCTCTTCCCTCCTACTTTCTGGACTATAGTTATGTTTTGCATTTGTATGAGTGTATAGATGGTTATATATTGATTTCATAGTGGTATTGAGTACATTGGATATTTTTTAATCCATTCTTGAGATATACTATGAAGACTATGTTCCAGCTCCATCCAGGTAAACAAAAAGGATGTGATGTCCCCATCTTTTTTATGGCTGCATAGTATTCCATGGTGTACATATACCACAATTTGTTAATTCATTCATGGAGCAACGGGCACTTGGGCTGTTTCCATGCCTTGGCTATTATGAATTGAGCTGCAATAAACATTCTGGTGCAAATGTCTTTGTTGTAAAATAATTTTTGATCATCTGGGTATATACCTAGTAGATTGAATGGTAGGTCTACTTTTAGTTCCCTGAATGTTACAGTATTCTTGACTGTGGTTCTTCACAAGGCTGGCTTGAGCATCATTTTCTCAATAAAACCTTCTGGGACCACTCTATTTAAATAGCTTGTTTTCCCTATCTTCTGGGCCCCTTCTTTATATGACCAGCTGTTTTTTCTTCTTAGCACTTTACATTGTGTGATTAGTTTTTTGTTTACTTGCATGCTGTCCACCATCCCTGTTAGACTGTGAGCTCCAGAATGTGAGAAATTTGTTTTGCTCTGTACTCTTCTCAGCCTCTACACTACGGGCTTTCAGCAAGTGCTTATTGGAAGGATAGAAATGAACTTCACCTTCAGTAACTTTCTCCAATGTCCTGGAAGAGTATGGGCATGAACTGGGTTTGTTCTGCTCACTGATCTATCCTCAGCACCAGTAATGGTGCTGACAAATTTAGATAGCTGGCAGTTGTTGACAAAGGACTCGAAAGGAAAGTAACCTATATTCTTTATATTTATGTTCACAAGCACTTCTAAAATAGCTACAGAGGTGCATGTAATAATCTGTTACATAATTAAAAGAATAGATGTCATCAATTTAATTTTAAAAAAATTATCTAAATTGGCTTCTCTGGAGTAGTATGTGGTTTGTAAACATAGATTTAGGAACTAACTGCCTGAGTTCCAATTCTGTGGCCTGCAAGCTGTGGGATCTTGGGTAAGTTACTGAATTTGTGCCTCAGTTTACTCATCTATAAAATGAGAATAGTAATGGAACCTTCTTCATAGGGTTGTAGTGAGGATTAAATTAGTATTTGTGAAGAATAGGGTCTGGCATATAATAATCAAATGGAAAATTATGTAAGTTTATAAAACTGAATTTGTTAGAGAACTTATATATATGTATATCTCAAAATATGACTTAGGATAGGCCATTCTACTAATTCTAACTTTATTTATTTAGGCAAAGTCTTGCTCTGTTGCTCTGGGTGAAGTTCAGTGGCATCATTATAGCTCACTGCAACCTCAAGCTTCTCAGCTCAATTGATCCTCTGACCTCAGCCTCCCAAATAGCTGGAACTATAGCTGCATGCTAATAATTTTTCTATTTTTAGTAAAAATGGAATCTTATTCTTGCTCAGGCTTATCTTTAAATTCTGAGCTCAAACAATCCTTCTGACTCGGCCTCCCAGAGTGCTAGGATTATAGGTGTGAGCCACTGTGCCTGGCCCATGTATTATTTTTATTCTTAATATAATCATTTTCTTTAACTTATTTATTCTAAAATGATAGAGACATAATTAAGATACTTTGGCCTGCTTTTACCCTTCAGCAGATTAATTTGAGATTCATTTCTTTATTTTATTAAAGATTAAGGATTTATCCCGAGTTGGACAGTAATGAATGACAGAGTTATTTATGATACAGAGCTCTTTTTCTCACCCCATTAGTAACTTTCTACTGTAAAACAATAATTGTCTTTAATTCAGTGGTTTTTAACTTTTTGTGTCAGAATCTCCTGGGGCGATTTTTAAAATCACTAATATTATGGCCTTACTCTTGATCCAATTAAATCAGAATTTCTGTCATAAGCCTGGATGTTGGCACATTTGAAAGTTTCTTGTGTAATTATAATAGATTTGTAACTGCTGCTTTTTTAAGTATTGATTTTGGTAAGTGATTTCTGAACTTTCTTGAAACTAACCGTTGTCTAATTCTTGTTATAAAAACATGAATTCTTGAGCTCTAGCTTGCATTTGTTAAATCTAAACTTCTAGGGAAGAAGTCTGATTATCTGTGTGTTAACACTGATATCAGGAGATTCTTCTACAGCAAGTTTAGGAAGTAGACGTGTGCTGCCTATTTGTAAGAGATGAGGCACATGGGTGCTTGAAATATGAGAGTGCTTGGAAGGTCTCCTTTGTTTTTATGTATCAGGAATGGGCCTAATTCTTTTAGTGAGTTTAGGAGAGGTTTGGTTGGTTTCTGTAGTGCTAATTCCCAGTGTTTTCTGTTTGCTGGTTTAGAAGTTTATTGTAAAACCTGAGTTTATGTTCTCAATCCCAAAGAAGAGGGGAGAGAAGAATAAAGAGAGAGACACGAGGGTGCTGGCTAAGGACAAGGATAAAATAAATGTGTATCCTCTGTTACTGATTAGTCTTTTAGTTAGATGAAAGCAATATTTTATCTTAGAAATACAACTTTAGTTTTCTTCATGAAGAATATTCTGATAGACACAAATTGTTTTGCTGAAGAAATTAGTGGGTATCCAAGATCTCTTATAGAACTTTAGTTTTTCTTTGCCAATTATAAGTTTTTATAGAGAGATGTGTGAGTATAAAAAATATAAGATGTATTTATATGTATAAAATTTATAGGGCATAGAAAATATGATGCAAAAACTGTAGATTTTTTTTTGTTGTTTGTTTTAGAGACAGAGTCTCACTATATTGCCCTCGGTACAGTGCTGTGGCATCCCAGCTCACAGCAACCTCCAACTCTTGGGCTAGAGCAATTCTCTTGCCTCAGCCTCCCGCGTAGCTGGGACTACAGGCACCCACCAGAACACTCGGCTATTTTTTGGTGCAGTTTGGCCAAGGCCAGATTTGCCGCAGGTGCCATCCAAGACTGTAGATTCTTAATCTTTTCAGATTTAACATGAATAGTTTTGATTGCAGGTGATTACTTAGAGTGCTTGTTATCACATGTAGTTTTACTGGGGCACAGACATTTGATTTTATGTGTTGTGCGTCTGTGCAGAAGCTCGCTAGTGTGTATGCATGGTTAGCAAATGTCTCACTTGCATCCTCATCTCCAGGCTACTCTTTTGTTCTGTGCTCTCAACACTTTTGCAGTAATTCTTCTGAAATTAATATAAAATTTTCTTTTTTTTTTTTTATGAAAAAAGAAAAAGGAAAAAACTCCTTTTCTGTCCCCCTTTGCTCCAGGAAAAACCAGCTTTCGTATTTTTGGTGGTATTAGAGGAAATAATAGCTTCAGGTCAAATTTCTTTTTTTTTTTTTGGAGACGGAGCCTCAAGCTATCCCCTTGGGTAGAGTGCCATGGCATCACGCTCACAGCAACCTCCAACTCCTGGGCTCAAGCGAGTCTCCTGCCTCAACCTCCCAAGTAGCTGGGACTGCAGGCGCCCGCCGCAACGCCTGGCCATTTTTTGGTTGCAGCCATGGTTGTTTGGTGGGCCCAGGCTGGGGATTTGAACCAGCCACCTTAGGTGTATGTGGCTGGCACCTTAGCCGCTTGAGCCACAGGCGCCGAGCCTCAAATTTCTCCTTTAGTTTTAAGTGGGTAGCATTTTTAAAATTAATAAATGAGGGTCACCTAACATTTAAGAAGAGTATATAATAGTTTGCTTTTTTTTTTTTTTTTTAAGAAATTCTGTGCCAATTTGTGGACTTGGGAATACTTTGGGCTCTATCCAATACCCAAATGTAAAAAGGCAACTGCAGTGATTCTTGACTATGGAAAGCCAACAAGAATCGCTGAAGAGATTTAAAAATACAAAAAAAATAAATAAGTACTGTGGAATAGATCTGAGCGTGCTTTGAAGGACTTAATTTTCAAGTTTCATTTCATAAGTTTATTAAATGATTCCAACACTTATATACATATCCAAATGTCAGCCCTGGTCCCCTATTTTTTTTAAAGAGAACAAGTTTGATATAAGCATTCTACATTGTTTATTGATTCAGTACATTGTACCCCATAAATGCATTAATGTACACAGTCATGATTTAATAAAATATACATATATAAAATAAAGAGAACAATGAAACATAAACTATGATGTTTAATCACAATTTTATGTGATCTGTTATAATTTATGAGATTAAAATTCAGTTGCACTTTTTAGGTTTCCCCAAAGTGTCATCCAAATTAAGATATTATATTTATATTGGTAAAAAATAAAACAGTGTTTGGAGAGTAGCTGGTGGGGTGTGTATGTGTTTATGCATATGTACACACTTTTTTTTTCTTTTTAAAAGTTACATAGCAAACTTCTGGAGACAGAGCGCCAACTAGGAGAAGCTCATGGTCGGCTGAAGGAACAGAGACAGCTGTCAAGTGAAAAGTTGATGGATAAAGAGCAGCAAGTGGCCGATTTGCAGCTCAAACTTTCTCGTTTAGAAGAACAGGTAAGCTAGTATTTCAAGTGAGTTTATATTACCAAGTCAACTGATAGACCTAAGGAGTCTTTTAATGGTCAAGATCTGTTATTGGACTTAAAAAATTTTTTTTAAATACAACATTTATTACTACCAACTAATGTCTTATTAACTATATTAAGTCATTTTTGCTGGGATTGTATTCCCCAAAATTCTTAATAAATATGCATAAAGAAGACTATTGTTTCAGCTTTAGGAAGGAATAACTCTGGGGGTGAAACCGTGTCAGCCTATTAGACTCCTCTTACCCAGAAAGGACCACTTAGGAATGAAACAGTGAACTATGAACTGTTGGTGAGGGTCATGAATCACATGTAGTAGATGCATATATAATTTGAGTTTACCTTTAAGGATTTTCACTTTTAAAAATTTAGTATATGGGCTCGGCACCTGTAGCTCAAGCTGCTAGCATGCCAGCCACATACACCTGAGCTGGCGGGTTCAAATCCAGCCCGGGCCTGCCAAACAACAATGACAACTGCAGCCAAAAAAATAGCCAGGCATTGTGGTGGGTGCCTGTAGTCCCAGTTACTTGGGAGGCTGAGGCAAGAGAATTCCTTAAGCCCAAGAGTCTGAGGTTGCTATGAGCTGTGACGCCACGGCACTCTACCAAGGGTGACAGCTTGAGATGCTGTCTCAAAAAAAAAAAAAAAATTAGTATATGATTGAATGCTAAACTAATTATAGTTGCTAAAAATGGTATCCATTATTTGGGTATGGTATATATATTATCAGATTATGTCTTTTGTTGGAATTGAACAAATATTCTGTGTTAAAATCTGTAGCTTAAAAAAAAAATCTGTAGCTTCAGCAATAAATTTTCTTTTAGACCTATAATTTTAGAGGTGGTAAATGATTCTTTTCTTTCCCAACTATTATACATTATGGAAATTGACTATTATGGAAGAAAATAAAATTAATACTGATACTATGGTTTAGATTATTATTACAGATAATTTGTATGTAGTTAATTCCTTGATCCTAATGGTTTATAAAAAACAACAATAAATACCAACCTGGAGAAAGATACGTATTTTTTTTTTATAGTCTATATGTAGTGGGTACATGAGATGAAGATTCTATATAAGTAATGAGATTATGCTTTTAAAGTTGCTCTCATATATTGTCTGAATTTATTTTTCCGTTCGTAGTAGAGAATTGTAGTGCCAAATACGTAGTATTTATGTTTAATAGTATTATGCCTTTAAATGTCACCTGACAGCCTACATTTTTTTAAGTTGAAGGAAAAAGTAACAAATTCTACAGAATTGCAGCATCAGTTAGAAAAAACAAAGCAACAGCATCAAGAACAACAGGCTCTTCAGCAAAGCACTACTGCAAAGCTTCGAGAAGCTCAGGTAAACATTATTTAAATTGTTGGCCTTTTGGGGTAAAAATAGCCATTATAACCAATCTTCTAGAACAGAATATAACTTTAGAAGTAAATTTTTTAATGTTCAAGAAAGTAATAAATGTCACCCTTGACTTCTCAAAAAAAATAAAATAAATTATTGGCCTTTTAAACAAAAATTAAAGCAAATCATTATTCTTTTGTTGTTGTGAAGCTAGGTAATGAAAAATACTTGATTATGAGAATTTTTTATAATTTTCAGTATCCAGGTAATCAGAAAATTCCTTTTCTTTTGGTTGGCATGTTGAAAAGTTTTTAAAAAGTTAAAACTTATTTGTTACAAATAAGTATATTGTAAATAAACTCCTGTAAAATATTTAAATTTATTGTTTATTAGGTAAATGTATACCAAGTCTACAGCATATCTTAGAATATTGACAGAAGTTACGTTTTTTGTTTTATTGAGGGGGTGTTGCCCAAATGTTTGAAATGAATTTGACTTTGGTATTTATTTATTAACTCATTCTTTTACTAATTTACTGAAGATTATTGATTGCTTTGGCTCAGGGTTGAGAATAAAGAGATACAGTGCCTGCCCTTCAGGATGGCAACCCAGTAATATGTACCTAGAACAATGTTGTGGTTTAAGGGAGGCAGTAAGTAATATGCCTCCCTCTCCCTTCTGAGTTTGGAGAGAGGCAAGTGCATTGAGATCAAAATATTGGATTCATTTATTTGTTCTTTTATTTGATCAGTCAACAAATATTTATTAATGTCTACTCTTAACCAAGGAACTGGTTTTATGACCACAGCAGGGAACAAAACAGGCAAAACTGTTGGCTGTCTTGGAGCTTAGTGAGGGAGAGAAACAGTAAATGAGATAAAGAGGCAAAACATTTAGCATATTAAGCGGTAAAAAGTGCTGTTGGAATGAAAGAAGGAGAGAGAGGGAGTAGATAATATCTGGGGGATTGAAGGTGGGACCGCAGTGTTAGTTGATGAAGATGAAAGGCCTGAAGGAAGGAAGAGTGTGAGCCATGTGGGTGTTTGAGAGAAGAACATCGGTACATTGAAAGATCTGGAGTTTATCTCAGGAGTAACAAGACGTCAGTAGCTGGAGTGCAGAAATGACAGAAGAGTTAGGAGGGGCCTAGTAATAGAAGTGATATCATCAGAAAATGTAGAACCTCCTAAGAACTTTATTTTACTCTGAGTAAAATGAGAAATCATTGGAAGGTTCTGAACAAACTAACACAATGATCTGACCTAAAATTCTGCAGGATTATTCTGGCTGCTGTATTGAGAGTAGGCTGGAAGGGTACATCAGTAAAAATAGAAATTAGCTAAGAGGCTGCTGTAATAATCCACATAAGAAATGATGTGGCTTGGACTGGAGTAGAAAAGTGTAGGCAGTAAGAAGTGGTCTGATTGTACATATATTTGGAAGTAAAGCAGGCTGTGCTACTGATAGACTGATGTACAGTATTGAGAGAGAGGTCAAGGATGACTCCAAGGATTTCGGCCTAGGCCATGTGGATGGATGGAGACCAAGCAAGGTGAAGACCAAGAATACCATTGGATTTGGCAACATGGAAGTCATTTATGTCCTTGATAGGAGAAATTTAGAAAAGAAGGAAAGACAAAAGCCTGACTGGAGAAGGTTTATGAGAAAAGAGAGAATATTTTGATAGAGTGAATATAGATAACTCTAGGAGTTTTACTGTAAAGGACAGGAAAGAAATAGGACGGTAAAGCTAGTATGGACAATTTAGCATGGGCTTTCTCATATCGTACCGCAGAATTAAATTTGTTATTCTAGCCACAAACAAAGCTGGAAGTGATCACCTTTTAGCTTGTTTTAGGCAGGTTGCCTCTCAACACTGACAGGGGAACCCCTGATAGGGAAGTAGGGGCTCAGTTGACCATGCTTAGTTCCTTATTCCACATCATCTAATAAAAGTAAATTTTTATTCCCTGGAGAGAAATGTGAAAGGATGAGAAAGGGGCCAGATGAAGTTCCTTATGGAAACATGAAAAGTCCTCAAGACTGATTAAAGAGATGCCATGGGTATAGTTTTAGGTGTGTATATAAAATTATTATGGTAGCACAGAGAACAGTTACTTAACCCGGAGTCTGGGAAAGAGTGGTCATGGAAAACTTCTTAGAAGTGACATTGTGAGTAGGATGAGTAGATACTTTGAGGGTACAAAATGGTGATAGTGAGAAGTCAAAGACAGGGATACTGAAGCTAGTGTGAACTAAACTGTAAAGTTTTGTTGGAGTTTAAAGTTAGAGTTCAGTTAGAGAATGTGGCATTTGTATTTGAAGATGGAAAACTATTGATGATCTTAAGAAGGAATTGCCATAGTCAGATTTTTAAATAAATTTTTCATGTTGTTGCATGAAAGATGGATTTGGGAGGGAATATTCTGAAATAAGAGATTAGGAAAGAGACTAATACCTGCTGTAGTTCAGATAAAAAATAGTCAAGATCTTAGTTCAAGATATCGGTAAGTTCACGGGGACAAATGTGAGAAGGGAGGTAAAATAAATAAGTAGGCCTTGTTGACTTACTAGATACAGGAGGTGAGGCAGAAAGGGAATGACTTCTAGGTGGATGACATTGGGTACATGGTAAATGGAGGTGTCATCGACTGTGTTAGCGCATGTGAGACAAATGGCCATTTTATGAGAGAACACGATGAGTTCAGTTTTGGACGTGTCTGAAGAAACTAATGGGATATATTAATTTAAAGTTTGGAGGAGGAGATTATGTTACATATTTGCTGAGAAAGACATCAGTATATAGGGGATAAATGGAATTATCACAATAAATGTTATATTAGTCCATTAGTGTTGATATACAGAAATACCTAAGACTGGGTAATTTATAAAGAGAAAAGGCTTATTTAGTTTACAGTTATAAAGACTGCAAGAAACATGGTGCCCTTGTCTGTTTCTGATGGGGGCTTCAGGATGCTTGATGGCAGAAAGCCAAGGGCAGCCTCTTGTGCAGAGTTTGTAGCCAGAGAGGGAAAGCAAGAGAGAGGGGAGGGGTCCAGCTCTCACCGGAACTAACAGAGCAAGACTCACCAGTCTGCATGCCAGAACAGCACCAAGTTATTCATGAGGGATCCACCCCGTGACCCAAATGTGTCCCACTGGGCCCCACCTCCAACACTGGGGATCAGAATCCAAACTATAGCAGATGTGATCAGCTGGGAGAGAGTATAGTGAGAAAAATAGACCATTTGCTAACATAAGACTTCTGAGGAATATCAGCACTTATATGGGGGGTTGGTAGTGAAAGAGAGGCCCAAGAGAGACCCATAGGGGTGGTTAGGGGGAGCCAAGAAAGGGATTAGGGAGAGGCAAAAGCAACGTCAAATGTGGGTGGATGGCGGGGATGCTCAGTGTATTAATACATGAAAAATATCCATTAGATTAAGCAATTTAGTAGTAAATTTCAAACCTCGTTAAACATAATTTCAATAAAATGATAGAGATGAAAACCTGATTTTTGATGAAATAGACCTGAGATTAAGGAGTTAGGAAAGTAAGTATAAATTTCTTTTGAAATTTAAATATGATAAAGACTTGGCAGACACTGGAAGGGAGCATTGGTCTGGAGAGTGTTTGTGAGAATGAGAGAAACGTGGGTGTGTTTAAAGTCTGGGGCAAAGGGACTTGTAAGAGAGAGTTATTGAAGGACATTGGAGGAGAGGTGAGGAGTAAGGTATTGTTCTCACAGAGGCCATGGGGGAGGGTGAACTGGAACTTATCCACTGAAGCTTGAAGAAAGGAGGCAAATATATATGTGTGTGTATATACATAGACATATACTTAAAAAATATAATTTTATAGGTAAAGGGATCGAAAATCAAGATCCCTGACAAATCTCACTTTTCTGGGTGAAGTTCAAGAGAGTAATAGCTGAATCAGGCAAGCAGAGATTGAGAACTTGCGGAGAATATCAAAGGTTTTAGGTGGTTATTGAGGGGAATGTTTGAGATTAAGGACCTCATTCAAGTAAGATTGACAAAATGATTCTGAGTATATACCGTAATGGATGTTGGTGAGCGCTAACTCTACCTGAGAGCCACACGCCCCCATCCATAATGGAAGTTGGAACCCAGAAATTTGTAACAGCACTAATCCCTTGAGGTTTGTGATTTTACTCTAACAGTAAAGCAAAGGAGTGGAAAAAGAAGATCGTAATATTGATCTACAATTGGACGTTTTGGGGACTGGCTGTCTCACAAATTTAGGGGTGAAAGGAAATGAAGAATGTGGTTGAAAAATAGATAAGGTTAGTTAGTTCATATCCATGTCTGAGTTTCAGGAGGAGAAGCTAGGTTTATGCTGAATAAACTAGAAATCGAGGTCTCTGACATTGCAGAGTAGAAATGAGGTCATGAAACAGGAAGACAGAAATTGTCCTCACAAAGTAGGAGAGTTGGAAATATTTGGCTGGAACCATTTCAAATTTTTACAAGGTCCTATATATGTGATTCAAATATAGAATGAGTCCAGGAATTAAGTTGATACATATGTGAGGTTATGCTCTTAATTCTTTATGTATTTTGTATTTCCCAGGAAATTGGCAGAAATTGGGATTGAGAGAAAGACTAAATCAGGTCTCAAGTCTTCAGTGAATGAGGTAGGGATTTATAGATAATAGCAACAAAGAGTAGAGGGTAAAATAAACAAATGGCATACTCTCACAAAAAGCTTCTACATGAGGGAGAGAATAATATCACTGAACCACCAGGAAAAGGTCAACCTTCTCTGCTTGCCCAGTGGAATAGGCCTTACTGACATCTTGAAAGTGAGAACCAAATTTCACTTAAGACTTAGAAATACAGGAACTTTTATGGGAGAAAGCTTAGGCCTGGAACTGAGTTTCTAGAAGATTAGAAAAATGTGGAGGGAGAAGTTATTGGTGGTAGGCGCAGAAGCTGAAAGCAGAGAGGTTAGGTCCTTTTATTATCTGACCAAAGCTTACAAGGATGAGAAGTGTGCTTGAAAATGATCGACCTCAATATTTTAATGTGGCCCACATCATTGAGAGGACCACGTGGTTCCTGGCTCTGTCTTAGCAAGGTAGTGTGGGCTACTACAAGATTTATAGAGAGGCTGGTTAGGGCCCTGTACTGGTTAGAGGCTCTTTGACTCTCTTAAAATGGTTGAGGCAGAGGCTAAGGCTATGGGTTAGGTGGCCCAAGGATGTCAGTGGATGTTACGGAGGCAGGCTATGCCTTTGTCCTCTGTGTAACATAAGGTCCTTGGTAGAGTAGAAGAGGGATTTCTTTTTATGTTAATAGAAGAGTTCTGCTGAGGTATTAAAGTGAGCGTGTGTATGTAAGTTAGAAGGCATTTAGTTTTCTATTTAATAAATATTTTAGGACATATATGTCATATATCTTGGATACATCAATGAATAAAATAGACAAAAATCCCCACCTTTGTGGAGCATACATTCTAGGGGAAGGAGTGTAGAAGGAGGGAAATAGGCATGAAAAATAAGTAAATTATTTAATGTTTAGAAGAGAAGCAGTATGGGAAGAAAAATATAACCAGGACAGGGAGTACTGGGAAAGGCTGCAATTTTAGATGTAATGGTCAGCATAGGCCTGATTGAGAAAGTGAAATTTGAGCAAACATCTGAAGGAGAGGGGGTAACCACATGACTGTGGGCGAGGCGTTCCAGGCAGAAGGAACAGTTAGTGGGAAGGCTCCAAGGTGGGAGTGTGCCTGTCATGATTAAGGAATAATGAGTCTTATGTTTGTGAAATGGATGAGAAGAGTAGTAGGAGGCGATGTTAGAGTCTCAGCAGAAGAATGCGGCCAATGGAAGGGCTTTTGTTAAATTCAGGCTCATGATCAATAATATGTTGTTAAATATATTGTTCTAATTATTGAAATCTTCCATGTTAAAGTGCAATAATTAGTTTTTAAAAATGTAAGACTAAATTTAGTATCAGTCCTTTTATGTTTGAGGAGTAACTTTTCGAAAGTTCTCTATACTTAAAGTAGTAGTTTTCAATTCTTTACAGAATGATTTGGAACAAGTACTACGTCAAATAGGTGATAAAGACCAAAAGATCCAGAACCTGGAAGCCTTATTACAGAAGAGTAAAGAAAATATTTCACTACTGGAAAAAGAAAGAGAAGATCTTTATGCAAAAATTCAGGCTGGTGAAGGGGAGACGGCTGTTCTTAATCAGTTACAAGAAAAAAACCATACGTTACAGGAACAAGTAAGCTTGTAAAATACATTTCTCAAATTTCCTTCTATCTCACTAAATCTTACTAAATGTTTCATTTTAAATGATTCTTTTTTCTTCCTCTTTTTAGCACATTTTAAGTGTTAATGTATTTTGATGAGTAACACCTCATTTACCTTAAGAGGTGGATTGCTATTGTAAAAGTTATTTAATGTGATTTAAACAAAGGGAATTCTCAGCTCATGTCCATGGATATAAATTATTGCCTGTGTGATTACAGGTGAATAATTTCACCTCATTAGCTTAGTGGAAAAGTGGAGATGTTAATTAAGCATGCACACTTGCCTCATGGCATTTTCTGACATTTAAAACAGAATCAATAACAAAATACATTCCTAAATTAAAGGTACTTATTAAATGTTAGTTGTTACTGTGTACTGATTAATACACAGACTTAGCAGTTTCTTATTTTTGATAATGTATGTCTTTGGATAATATGTAGCTAATAATTTTGGTAAGCTTATTCAAACGTTCGTATGTCATTTAAGAGAAAATTATAAAATTTAGATTAATATACTTTCAAACAGAAAAGAATTCACAGTTGTACTTTTGGAGGAATTATTTAATAAGAAAATCATTACCTAAATAAGAAAGTATTTAAAACAAAGTATCAGAAAGCCATGTTATTTTTCTAATTTGGGAGTGAGAATTTAACAGATTTTTTTCCCCCAATTTCAAAATTATTTTTGAAAAATGATTCTTCTTCTTCTCCTTCTCCTCCTCTTCCCCCCTTCTCCCTTTTCTTCTTCTTCTTCTTCGTTTTTTTTAAAGAAACCGGGACTTGCTTTGTTGCCTTATTTCCCAGGCTGTAGTGCAGTGGTAGGATCATAGCTCATTGCACCTTTGAACACCTGGGCTTAGCAATCCTTCTACCTCAGCCTCCTGAGTAGCTGGGATTACATGCCACCATGCGTAATGTTTTTATTATTATTATTTTTTTATAGAGATGGGGTCTCTCTGTGTTGCCTCGGTTGATCTTGAGTTCCTGGCCTCAGGTGATCCTTATACCTTGGCCTCCCAAAGTTCTAGGGTTACAGATATAAGCCACTATGCCTGGTCCGAAGAATTCTTCAGACTAGTTTTTGGTTGTATACAACTTGACATTACTTATTACACACACATATGTTCAGGAAGGCATGTATTTTTTAAAAAAGAATAAAGTAAGTCTATATACTTCTACTTTTGGCCATGTTGGAGTAACTGATATCTATTTAGCTTTCCTACCATTAACAATTAGATAAGTGGGGAAAATGTATAAAAACCACCATTTTCAGAAGTTGGACAATGGATATTCAGGGCTGTGGTCCCTGAAAGAAGAAAAACAAGTGAGGTGAACTCTTTGACCACTCTTAACTTTTGACCTAGAGACATTTTTCAGACTGTGGTGCAGATTGGAGAATCCAAGGGAAGCATAGTGATCTTATTGAACTGAGGTGGGAGAGGTTGAATTTAAGTGAGAGACTAAAGTTCAGGGAGGTTAAGGCAGCCCACGTTTTCAGGACAGACCATCAGAGAGAAAGGAGTAATGCAGAGAAAAAGCTCTAGAAATCTGCGTAGGGATCCATTTGAGGCTTTGGTTGAGTGCTGAGCTTTGCATTTATAAAGTTGGATTCCTTGAGGCCAAGCAATGAATCATATCAGGGAGCTGCAGGCTGAAAAGTTACAGAGCTCGCCCAGGGCTGGGAGATGTGCACGTTCCAGCCAGTCTGAGGAAAGATGTGGTTGAATTCTTGAGCATTCGATAGAAACCCGAGCTACCATGTGCCTGACCTAATGACGTATAAAAACAAGTCTCAGAAGGACCCATTTGAACTACCAACATGTTAACTACCAGCTGGGACAAAACTCAACATCATTCTTTAAAAGAAGACAATCCAGATGGTTCTAATTCCAGACTGGTCATAAGAAAAGGTACTAGATGTATGACGAAGCAGAAACAATGTAATAACCAAGAGAAAAATCGTTTAATGGAAGCAGATCCTGAAATGAGAGTTGGTGGAATCATCAGACAAGTCCTTTAAAACAATTCTTAAAATATACTCAAAGATATAAAGGAAAAAGTAAAATAGAAGAGATAGAGGTGGAAATGATAAAAAAAAAAACAACAGAAGAACTTCCAGACATAAAAATATAAAAACACATGAAATGGAAATTTCATTGGATGGGTGACCAGACGAAGCAGGTAGAAACCAGTGAACATGAAGACAAGGCAATAGAATCCGTTCGTAGTGAAGGATAGAAAGAAGTAGGGTTGGGGAAGAAGCAAGCTCATGCTGACCCTGGAGCAGTATCAGGGAGCTACCGTCCATGTAATTAGTATCACAGAGGGCAGGGAGATAAAAAGTATCTGTAGAAATAATGATGGAAAAGTTTTGAAGTTCGATTAAAAATATTAGCCTATAGATTCAAGAAACTCAACAAATTCAAAGAAATATCAGGTGAATTGGATTTTATCTAAATTTTGTACAAAGTATGCTCTTCAAAAGATACCATTATGAAAAAAAAAAAGCCCAGACACAGAGTGGAAAAAAACATTCGCTATATATGTGTGTGTGTGTGTATATATGTATGACAATTTATTTTTTTATTTTTATTTTTTTTTTGAGACAGAGTCTCTCACTTTCTTGCCTGCTGTAGCATGCTGTGGCATCATAGCTCACAGCAACCTCAAACTCTTGGGCTTAAGCGATTCTCTTGCCTCAGCCTCCTAAGTAGCTGGGACTACAGGTGCCTGCCACAGTGCCCAGCTATTTTTGTTGTTGTTGTTGTTGAAATTGTCATTGTTATTTAGCTGGCCCAGGCTGGGTTCAAACCTGCTGGCTTGGGTGTATGTGGCTGGCACCCTACGCACTGAGCTATGGGCACCACCCATGTATGATAATTTAGAAATGTGTAGAACATATAAGGAAATCTTCTTAATTTAGAGTTACTTAATTAGATCAGTGATTGGCCGAGGGTAGAGATGGGAGTGGGGAAATGATGCACAAGAAAACATTTTGTGGTAATGGAAATGTTCTCTCTTGATTGTAGTTATGGTTATTTAAATGAATATCAGTATTCTTAAATTGGATGAATTTTATTTTGTATAAATTATAGCTCAGAGATATTTTTAAAATAATGTGTCTTTATTTCTTATGATTTGAGGTATATGATGTATATGTTTCCTTATTTTTGGAAAGATGTACATACTTGAAAAAATTTGGGATAACCTATCATAGAACAATTCAGTATTCTCCTGGTTCTTAAACTGGGGTTTCTTAGTTTTTGTTATATCATTTGTGAACTTCATAATTAGTCTTGCTTTGCATGACAGGTAACACAGCTATCAGAGAAGCTGAAGAATCAGTCAGAAAGCCATAAACAAGCCCAGGAGAATTTGCATGATCAGGTACAAGAGCAGAAGGCGCATCTTAGAGCTGCACAAGACCGTGTCCTTTCCCTAGAAACCAGTATCAATGAATTAAACAGTCAATTAAATGAAAGCAAGGAGAAGGTCTCCCAGCTTGACATACAGGTAATATTGAATTACGCTGTTCAGTAAGTTTGTATGTAACAAGAACCAGTTTTAGGCTCTGAGATATTTTAAATTCTGCTTCTTTCTCTCTTTTTTCCTTGCATATTAATAAGAAAAAACTAAGAATACAAATTAGATAAAGGCTGTGTCTAGACAGTTTGTTGACCTTCCCTGTTTGTGTAGTCTCAGCCAGGTATACCTTCTGAAACCAATGAATCTTTTTAGCTTTTCTTTGTTTTGAGCAAATTTTTTTTCTTATTTTTGAAGTCCAAATTTGTTTGATATTGTGTCATTAGATTTCTGTGTTAAATAGTTTTGTCTCTGGCTTTTTAAAATCTTCCTTTAAAGGTTTGATTTGAAAAAACAATACCCTTTTAGGTAGCATTAGGTATTTCAATATATATCCTTTAGGAAATCTATATCGCATTTTTGCTCAGTGAGTCAGTGACAGGTGGGCAGTAAGACATGTTTCTTTCGTCACTGGTTTCTCATTCTATGCTACAGAAGTGAAATTTATAAAAATATTTCTAAGGCTTGATTTTACTTTGGAGAATGATTCTGTTGGAAATAAGAAATATAATAAAATAATATAACCAATATACTTTATTAGAACTTGGGAAGAGTGCATATTTTCTTCAGTTTTCTAAATACCATTATTTGTTAGATGTGTTATGTGATAACCCAATATGTGGATGTCCAATTTAAGGAGGGGGAAGGAAGAAGGAATGGGAGGAGGGAGTATGAATGAACAGATGTATTAGGACAGTTTATTCTTTTTGCATTGCAGGATTCTTCCCTTTACAAAAGATTGTAAAAAAGGATTTACAAAAGACTGCTGCTGCTATTCATTTCAGAACTAGTCCTTGTAATGAAATCCCTCAATTTTCCTTACTTAACCTCCTTGCCATTAGTCTTTAAAAAATGTTACCTGTAGTTATTTGTTTAAGGCTTTTTTCCCCTAAGACTCCTTTAACTTCTTTTAAAACTAGTATTAGTTCATGAAATAGACTGTTTTCTTTTAAGAATTAGGTCTCTGATTAAAAATGTCGTGCTTTAAGTGCCTTTAATAGCTGTGTCAACCAAAAATCCTTGGCCAAAGGGACTGGCTGTTGCCTTTTAAAAAATATACAAAACAAATGCAGTTATGGTGATTTTTTTTTCCCGGGAGTATCCCTTTAACTGTACACATGTGATTTTTAAGCTGTTTCTGAATTTTGAGTTCTGTACCATGCCCTTTGAGTCCTACCTGCAAGTTGCTTCCTAGTAAGCACGATCAAGGGCAGCGTCGGGGTGAATGACTGTGCAGGTGTCTGGCACTGCTTCACGAGCGGGCTCTTTATTGTCCTTTGGGGGCTTTGTTACAGAAATTGCAAAGATTGCTAGCACTGTAGCCATAGGTATTTAGTCTGAATTTATTATATATAAAGGGCCCGTAGAGAGGCTGGCTGTACAAATGGCCACATTTTTTTCTGTCATAAACATTTCCGAAACTAGATAAACCAGTGAAGTTATTACTTAATCCTCCCAAATTTTCTTTAGGTGTTACATGACTTTGGAAGGTATATCACCTTCGTTGAATCGTACCATACTGAGAGATCACAAGTGATTCTCACGTGTTAAAGTATTTTATGAATTTTTGGTTCATCAGATAGATGAAATACCACATAAATGAAGCCAACTTTTGCAAAAATATATTCTTCATAGTTTATTATACCTTCATCAGTTAGTACAGACTTATTGTGTATTATTTAAAGTGTAGATATCATTAGTCTTTTAATTCAGTGTAGATGTATGTATACGCTGATATAGCTGTTGTTTCTGTGAATAATTATATGGTTATAAGATAGAATTCTTTGAGCTATTTCTTTCTGCTTAAAATACCCTTATAAGGTAAATCTTAGATTTCTTATGTTCATTGATCCCGTCTTCAGCCACCTAAAAGAATATCACTCCCCTTTTTTATCCTTTTTTTCAAACTACATTAATTTTAAGTATTTGTTTTTTTACTTTTTGTTTTTCTTCTTAGAGATATTCAAATACTTAAAACTGTTACTTTTTATAACAAGACAAACCTTGTGCTCGTTTGATATTATTGAAAGTGTGTTTATTATTGAAAGCCTTGAATTTTTAGTATGCAATTTCTTGATTTTTTTCTGAATATCAAAAGTAAGATCCTTTAAGGAAGAAGTTATTAGAGAATACTGAATTTCATAAAGTATTCTAGTTGTCTGGCTTTTTTGAGTCCTTGAATTCTTTTGATTCATCTTTTTTTTTTTGTATAGTTATTTACTTTCTTAGAACAGAGGCAGACTTCAATACTCTGTATTCACTTCCGGAAAAATACAGTGGTCCTTCTCAGTAAAAATATGTATTTTTTCTTTCTTAGCAAAAGGATACTAAAATATTTTGGTGTCATAGAGACACAACATCTTTTATTGTTTATTCAGACAGTATTAGAAGTCTTCTGTCTTTTTCCTATTTTGGGGATTTTCCCACATATATTTTTCAATATATAGATTTTTTTTTTTTTTTTTTGCTGATGGATTTAATCTTAAAATAGTTCAGCGACAAAATCAGTGTGCATTCAAGCAAGGGGAGCTCAAGAATGAAATAGGAATTAAATAATTCATAATTTTTATTACAGATTAAAGCCAAAACTGAATTATTGCTATCAGCAGAAGCAGCGAAAACTGCTCAAAGAGCTGATCTTCAGAATCACTTGGACACTGCTCAAAATGCATTGCAAGATAAACAGCAGGTAGGGAACCTGATTGGATTTTGGACCATAACCTAATATGTTGGTGGATAAATTGCAAATGTATAAAAATGATACCTAGTTTTCTATAATCCTGTGACACTGTTGCTTATCTCCCTTCAATCCTTCCTGAATTCAGAACCAGCTGAGTAGTAGATGCAGAAGTCAGACAGACGGAGGTAAAATAGAGAATCATCTATTAGCTTTAGATAAGCTCAGCTGGTGTGCAGCGTGGTTGGGCTTCCTCCTATTGTACTTGTCCCCGCACCTACACCTAGGAGTGGAGCTGAGACATGCTGAGTAGTTGCCTTCTCCCGAAAGTAACAGCGATAAGGCAAGCGAGACAGATCTCTGTATTTGATTTTGATGGGCAGGCTGGGCCATGACCCAAATGCACTTGGGGCATGCACCTGGAAGCAGGAAGAAAGCACTGTGTATTCCATCTCCGTCATGGGAATTACTCCTTTCCTGGGGGATAAGAGGAAGCAACAGGCTGGAAGGAACACAGAAGCTTCCTGCTTTAGCATAAAGGTCAAAATGCTCGTAGATGTTTCCTACCTTTACTGGGTAGGAATTTTTGAAACTTACTTGTTATTCAAAGACTAATGCTAGTTATTGGTCCACTTTTTGAAAACAGTGAAGAAGTATATCAAGTTAAAAAAAATAAAAACTTTTATCCCAGTCCCATTTTTTCCTTAGATGGAATGTTTGCTTTATCCTTCCAGACCTCTGTAAGCACTGGGCAAACATACATACACACCCAGTTATATATGTTTGTATGCACACACTGATATTTTTCTTCTATGCACGTAGTATCACACTGTATATGTAGTCCTGCAACTTGTTTTTTACTTACAGTATTGCTAAACACATCTGGAAAGTATTTTCAAAGCCCAAGATCAGAGTCAGAAATTATGATGGAAAAAATATTTGTGAGAATAACCATATAAAAATGTAAAATTTATCTGTCAAAGTATTAACACATTTTAAAATAAGTAGCAATAGGATAAAACATTTTCTGAAATATGTCTGATGAAGGGTTAATATCCTTGTTATTTAAAGTACTTTCACGTAAGGAATAAGTGAATACACAAAAAAGATCAAAACTATATTAGGAAATGTTCAAGTTTATTCATAATTGCAAATTAAGCAATAATGGGATACATTTGCCTTTATAGAGAAAAAGTGTGTTTGTGTGTGTGTTTAAATAGCAGGAGGATTGGAGAAGGTGTGGAATAAAAAGCCACTTAAAAACATGATTAATGGTGGTATACGTTAATTCACTCTCTTGGGTAGGGTGGGAAGGGAGCTGTTTGGCAATGTCTTTTAAGAACTTAAGAATTTTTCATATTTTTTAGGTCACTTAAGTCTTTTATCCTAAGGGATAACCATAGCTTTAAAGATTTTGTTTGTATCTCTGTTAATAAATGCAGGTCATTTAAGAGCAATCTAAGACTCTAAAGCAAGAGATGTGGCTTAAAAATAGGCTATATCAATAAAGTAGCCTTGTGCATGATATTTTTAAGATAATAGAAAGTCATGACGCATTGTTATATAGAAACAAAGGAGGTTAAAATTAAATAGTATGTAAAGTGAGATCCTGATTTTATTTTAGAAGCACAAAGGAAAAATAGGAACTAATGCACAAAGACTGAAAGGAAGGTTATAGAAACATTAACAGTGATTAGTTAGCAGTAGTAGATTTACAAGTATTCATTTTTCTTTCTGTACAAATGGATATTCAAATGAATTTAACAAGTATCATAGATGTAGTCACTAATTTTTTTAAAAGATTATTTTAAAAAATTGTCTTGAACATGGAAAACATTTAATTATGATATAAAAGTATTATTTTATTATGAACATAATGGTCTCTTTTATCTTTTGATTCCTAAAATAATTCTTCCTAGAAAAACATTAAAAATTTATTAAACTATTATGCTATAAACTTAGTATTTCAGACAATGCGAAGTCAGGTCCTTTATATTAGTAGGTAAATACAGCCTCTGATATGTGATTAGATGTATCTGAGATCTTACTCCAAATGCTTTCTCAAATAAAGTTAGAGTTTTCAGTTTTACTTTGACTGAACATGTGGGTACCATGATATAATAAGCCTTACCAAAGTTTTCTTCGGTTGTATTTTTCTATAGGAGTTAAATAAGATTACTACTCAGTTGGATCAGGTGACTACAAAGTTACAAGACAAGCAAGAACATTGCAGTCAGCTAGAAAGTCATCTTAAGGAATATAAAGAGAAACATCTCTCTTTAGAACAGAAAACTGAGAAGCTAGAAGGCCAAATTAAGGTTTGTATAAAAGAAGTCAAAGTGTTTTCTGTTGTAGTATGGAATCTGATGACCTACATGGAATCAAAGATTTTTAGTTAACCAAGAAAGGTAAAGTTGTATAAATTTTTAAAAATTACTTGTAATTTTTCATTTCTTCATTTTTAATTCTGTCTTTATTTAATTTCTTCATTGGTGGATAGCTATTATAAAGAACATTTAAATATATACTGATTCCATTGTAATGCATGGCTATTTCCAAAAGTCAGCTAACTAGAGATCTAATCTATAATTTTAAGGAAGTCAACAATGGTTTGTTATTGTGAAATCTCTTCTGTTCCATCATTCTTCCATCTTCTTATTCTAATATCACATTTCAGATACGCTAGACTTTTTCTTTTTTAAAACTTCATATTTTTTACCCTTGGATTTTGCTTCTACTTTAATAATAAACATATTGAGGCATGGTAAATTGTATTTCACTTTGACACAACTACAAGTGAACTTTGATTTGCTAGAGATGAAATGATGAGACATATCAGAGAAGGATTTGACTTGAATTTTTTCTCCTTTATATTAGAACTACTGGGTGGCGCCGTGGCTCAGTGGGTAAGGCGCTGGCCTGATATACCAAGGGTGGCAGGTTCAAACCCGACCCTGGCTAAACTGCAACAAAAAAATATAGCTGGGCATTGTGGTGGGTGCCTATTGTCCCAGCTACTCTGGAGGCTGAGGCAAGAAAATTGCCAAGGCCCAGGAGTTGGAGGTTGCTGTAAGCTGTGATGCCACAGCACTCTACCGAGGACGATAAAGTGAGACTCTGTCTCTACAAAAAAAAGAACTACTATTGGTTAAACAAAAATTTCTCAAGTTACTATATATTTCCACAGTTAAGTGAAGCATGTGTGTGCAATTGTAGAATCATGAGATGTGTCTATGTATATATGTGTGTACATACTAACATAATATGAGAGAAGAATTACTTTTACTTTTCTGTTTATGGGTCTTTTTTTCTTTTATGGCCAACCATAGTAGTAATGGCAAACATCTTTAGGTATTAATAAAAAAGGACAGAAATACTTTTTTACTGAGAAGTGTATTAAGTGTATTAAGAGTGTAATAAGAGCTGTATTTTTTGAGTACTTTTTAAAAGTAGTTGTTGTTTAGATCTCGTAGTGTCTATTGTGATTATCAGCTCTTTAACATTTTGTAATTATTATCTTAGAAAGTACTTTGTATGTTTTATATAAATATTGTTATAAAATTAATTTGGTTATATGGAATGTCTTTTCTTTCATGAATAGCTTCAGTACAGGTGTTGAGTAAGAGCTACAAGTGTGCAAAATCATTGCAACTATGTAAGAAAATGCACTGTGTGTAGATTTTCAAACTTACATTTAATGGTTTGATTTTGCCAATTTGTAAAAGTACACATAATTATATGTCTATGTATGAGGTCATATACATATAAGTGAAGTAAAGCAGTGTCATCTAGACCAAGAGATTAAAGTAGCAAAATCAAGAATTTAATTGCCTTTATATTCAGGAACAACAGGTGTTAAATGAGAAGGACATGACGACTTCATTTTAATTTTAAAATCAATTAGTTTTAACATCAATTTTGTTAACTTTTAATATAAAGGATACTATATTTTATATGGGTATGTGGGTGAACTTGTTACTTCTTTTCAAAGTTGAATTACTAACTTTTATTCTAGTAATCAATATTTATGTTTAAGTTTATTCTTTTATTCAGAATTAATTTCAAAAGTAAATACCTACTGTCTGCCTGGTAGGTATAAAGCCTTATCCTAGGTCCTCTGAAAGATTCTAAGGTCAATAACCCTTTATTCAATAAGGGTTTCAGAATGTGTTTTTTATTATAACACATATTTTTGGTTATTTTCTTGTGTTATGTCAACACCAATTCGAATGTAAACAAAAAATATTATAATACTTGATAAGAGATTGGTAATTGTTAATGCTGGTGATTATAACACTGCTAAACGATATTTCTTTTGCAGAAACTAGAAGCTGATGCTGTTGAAGTTAAAGCAGGCAAGGAGCAAGCACTGCAGGATCTGCAGCAGCAGAGACAGCTGACCACAGAAGTAGAGCGTAGAGCCGCAGAGTTGAGTAACCAGCTTGAACTGGAAAAAGAAATGTAAGCTAAGCCCCTTCACTTATAAATGAAGGGAAGGAAATTACGAATTAAGTATTAAAATTTCCTTACAGTTTTAATTTTGCCATCAACAGTGGTTAAAGATTTATTAAATGTTTATATTGATTTTATAAACTGCTGATATTAATGTAAAGGAAAAATAAACCATTATAATATGGTGAAAGTTAACTTCACAGGAAAGGATTGAAAACTTAGTTTTAAAAAATTGAGGTCATCTAGTTTCTTTTCAACAATAATACGGTACACATTTCTCTGGGGTGAACAATTAGTTTGAGTTCACAGATTTGAATAAATTAATGTATAATTAAAAAATACAGAGATGTAGGGATGTTTACATATATTAGCAGCAGCGGTCAGGCTTCTGTTTTGAAGCACCTTGTCAAGTAAGGAATGGATTCTTTCTTAAGAGAAATCATCTTTTTAAACTGCAAAAAAAAAAAAAAATGCAGAAAAGGGTGGTGCCTGTGGCTCAAAGGAGTAGGGCGCTGGCCCCATATGCTGGAGGTGGTGGGTTCAAACTCAGCCCCGCCAAAAAAGCTGAAAAAAATAAAAAAAAAATCATCTTTTTCATTTTGACAAATGATCTATGTTTATGAGCACAAAGTAAACACCAGTGTCAGCTTACCTTTTTATTTTTAATTATTGAAGTAAAATTTACACAGTTAAATGTGTAGATTTTAACTCTGTATGCAGTATGAGTTTTAATAATTGTATGTTCTGTGTAATTATGCCTCCCCCACATCTCCATACTGAATATTCTTATCACAGAGTTTCCTGTGATAACAATACATTACTTGTCAATACATTACTCTTTCCCATTGACAGCCATAGTCTCTGTAGCTTTATGGCATCAGGTATGAGTCCTCTAACTTTTTCAAGATTGCCTTAACTTTTTTTTTTTTTTTTTTGATGAGACAGAGTCTCACTATGTCACCCTCAGAGTGCTGTGGAATCACAGCTCACAGCAACCTCAAACTCTTGGGCTTAAGCAGTTCTCTTGCCTCAGCCTCCCAAGTAGCTGGGACTACAGGTGACTGCCACAATGCCTGACTATTTATTTTTTGTTGCAGTAGTCGTCAATGTTTAGCTGGCCCAGGCCAGGTTCTAACCCACCACCTTCAGTGTATGTGGCTGGCACCGTAACCACTGTTCTATGGGTGCCGAGCCTCTGTATACATTTTAGTATTAACTTGCCCATTTCTACAAATAAAATTGTTCGGTTTTTATTGGAATTGCATTGAAACTGTAAAGCAATTTGGAGAGAAATAACATCTTAATAGTATTGACCCTTTAATTCTCAAATGTGGTACATCTATTCATCTACTTAGATCTTTTTCTTTTATAGAAGTGGGATCTTGATGTGTTGCCCAGTTGGTCTTGAACTTTTGACCTCAAGCGATTCTCCTACCATAGCCTCCTATGTAGCTGGGATTCCAGATATGAGCCACTGCACCTGACAACTTAGGTCTTCTTTAATTTCTCTGAACAGTATTTTGTTGCTTTAAACATAGAGGTCTTGCACATCTTTTGTAAAATTTATTCCTGAGTATTTTATAGTTTTCAGTGCTATTGTAAATGGGAATTTTTTAAAACTTAATTTCCACATGCTTATGGCTGATATAAAAATGCTATATATATTTCATATATATACACTTATGTATTGACACACACACATATATGTGTATGTGTATATATATATAAAGAGAGAGAGATTTCTGTCCTTTAACCTTGCTAAATTCACTTTTAGTTTTAATAGTAGTTTTGTAGAATTTTTAAAATTTTCTAAATAGACAATAGACAAATTTGTTTCTTCCTTTGAATCTGTTGGCCTCATATGTCTTTTTCTTGATGTACTGTTGGCTGGAACTTGCAGTAGAATTTTGAATGTAAGTAGTAATGGTAGACGTCCATGGATTGTTTCTAACGTTAGGCAGGAAATAGTAAATGTTTCATTTAAGTTCGAAGATAGCTGTAGATTTTTCCTAGACTCCCTTTAGCAGATTGAAGACTATCCTGTCTATTCCCAGTTTTATTTTTTTAAATGTTTCTTATCATGTATATAGACTGAATTTTGTCAACTTCCTTATTCTGCTTCTATTGCTATGACTATATGAGTTTTCTCTTTTATTTTGTTGATGTGGCCAATTACATTGATTGATTTTTCTAATATTATACCAGCCTTGTTTTCCTGGTGTAAATCCTAATTGGTCATGCTATATCATGTTTTTATATACTGCTATTTTTATTTGATAGGACTTTGTTAAGAATTTTTCATATTCATGAGGGCCATTTGTAATGGTCTATTAATATCATTGTCAGGTTTTGGTGTTGGAGTTATGCTGGTCTTAAAGAGGAACTGAGAAGTATTTCTTCCTTTTCTTCTTTCTGAGAGAGTTTGTATGAGATGGATATTATTTATTTCTTAAATGTTTGATGGAATTCCCCTGTGAACCAGCTGGGCCTGGAATTCTCTTGAGTTGCTTCATTTGGGATTCAATTTACTTAGCAAATAGAGAGTGATTTGGATATCCTAATTTTTTCCTGTGTTGGTTTTAATAATTTGTATCTTTCAAGGAATTTATTCATTTCATCTAAACTTGAAATTTATTAGGATAATGTTCATAAAATTATACTTTAGATATACTGTAGGATCTGTAGTAATGTCCCCTTTTTCTTCTTAATAGTAGTAATTTGTCTTATTTTTTTCATGATCAGTCAAATTAGAGATTTATCAATTTTATCAGACTTTTATAAAAAGCTTTTGATTTAATTGATTTTACTTGTCAATTTTTATTTCATTTACTTCTCCTTGTATCTGTATTTCCTTCCTTAGACTTACTTTGTGCCTAGGTTTGTTCTTCCTGAATTAGCTTTTGAATGTGAATGCTTCCCTGTGTCTGTACAGTTAATGGTGTTTGTTTCTTTCTCTCCGTTTCTTACCTTTTCATTTGTAAATGCTAATGTCAGATTTTTGCAGGTGATGGTTATGTGTCATTTGTCTTTTCTCTATATTTGAAATGAAATATTTCATTATTCTTTTACTTTACATTTTTCTGGGTTGAGCTTAAATGTTTTAAAGTTTCAGAGCTATCAAACACATGATGTGTCTGAAGTTCTCAAGGGAAGAGGAAAAGTTCTCTGTTTGGAAATATTCTTTAGGGTACATGGAAAAACTTTTCTGGCTGTTGTAGACTAGAGGATGTACAGTATGCAGGGTTTTCTTTGGGTATCTATTGTCGTGGACAAGAGTGGATTAAATTGGGACCCACTTAATTAGATAGTTTTGATTATTTGATTTGAGAAAAATCATCTACATATCAGGTCATATATTCAAAGGCATTTTTCAGTTGTATGATTTTATGAAATTAAATTATTTTTATTTATGAACTATGTAGAAAAGTTTTAAAACTCAATAATTATTTATGATTAATGTCATTTTTTAATTAAAAATTTTTCTTTCATATGATCAATGTTCATGATTAATTTTGAATAGTCAATTAGGATTGGTAAATTATGTATTATTTTAAAAGTTATCTTTTAAATATTTAGAGTATCTAGTACAAAATTGGACCTACAAAAAAAATCAGAGGCCCTCGAAAATATCAAGCAAATGCTTACAAAGCAAGAGCAAGAAAATATAATTCTGAAAAAAGAATTTGAAAGTTCAAGTGAAGAAGCAAAGACGCAACAAAAGGAGTTGAATAACAGAATTCAAACCACAGTAACAGAACTACAAAAAGTGAAGACGGAAAAAGAAGCTCTAATGACAGAGCTTTCTACAGTGAAAGAGAAGTTATCCAAAGTTTCAGATTCTTTGAAAAACTCCAAAAGTGAATTTGAAAAGGAGAATCAGAAAGGCAAAGCTGCTATGTTAGATTTGGTTAGTAGTTTGCATTTACTTTCTTGGGTGGAATTGATTATTTTATCTAAAATGTACTGGTTTTTCTGCTTAATTCACTGTTGCTTTTTCATACTATATTTAAATGATTTAAAATAGTTCTCATGAGGAAAGGAATTGCTCATGATAGCTCAAGATAATGAGAGGTGTGTGTGTATCTTTGAGACTCCGAGGATATTTTCAGGTGAATATAGCTGTCTTTCTCTGTTGCTGGTATCATGCTAGAATTGGCAAAGACTACAGCATGTTTGTTCTCGGGGACATGTCCACAGAGAATGCAAATTCTAGTTGAAATCTTACTCACTTTCCTGAAACAAACAAACAAAAAAAAGACCAGAAAAATCTTATTGACTGTTTTAACTCTGGATACTGTGAACTCTCTTATTCTTTATTGAATATTCTAAAACTCCAGGTAATACTGTGTTTAGACATACCATAAAACATATTTAAACTGTAGAGAAAAAGAAACAGAGTCTCAGGAAATGCTTACAGGGGAATGGGGTCTCAGAAATATTTGAACCCAGATTACCACACAGTAGCAGCAAAAATAAAACTCTGTTCTCCATATGAGGGTCAATGAAAGTGTTTAGTAGTATTAAAAATATGTAATATCAGTGTGTTACCTTTATGTTCCTTTCTGCCTGGAGAAAACATTTGCTGTTATACACTTTTCCTCTTAAGTTATATGTGATTAATTTTTTAATTTATTGTTTTAATATTTTGTAAGTTTCTTCCATTTTCTTGAAGCCAGTGTTAAAAATAGTATGATAAGTTAATTGCAATGAAATTTATGACATAAAAATGTGGTTTTGAAGTTTTCTAAATATTTTTAATGTTGGTTAAACTAGTATTTTGACGGTTGGTAATAGAAATGCTTAGCATTTTGCTGCCCTTCCCCTTGTATTTTCATTGAAATGTCTGATTTTATCTTTCTTAGTTCATGCACAATTTTAGTTTATCTTCTTGTGTGTAGCTTAGAAACCAAACTTCTTAAAGTTTTTACAAATATTTTCTGTGGAATGTAGTTGTCTTTTTTTTTTTTTTTAAAGGAAAAAACTTGCAAAGAATTAAAGCATCAACTTCAAGTGCAAAGAGAAAATACACTAAAGGAACAGAATGAACTGAAAAAAGCACTTGAAAAAGAGAAGGAGGTACGATTTCTTTTTTTAGTAACACTAATATGCAAAGCAGAGGCCTTTATATCTTCAAAATATTATCACACCGATATGTCGGAGGAAGGTGTATTTCTCTGAAATGGAATGAATCATATACATAGCTTAAAATTGTTATTCGTGTTCAACCTACTATTAAAAAGATTTAAGCTAGTTTTTAATGAAAGGCTTAAATAAAGGAATATAATGAAAAAAGAAAATCTAGCCAGCTAGCTACAGTTATAATTTGATTATCTAGGATAAGGAACATTATTATGGTTGAAAGCAGTCTTTCTGGCTTTCCATAGAAATGACCTTTCTTTGGCTCTTTATTTCCTGGACATTATATTAATGCTATCTTTGATAATGGTTGTGTATCAACCAAGAGGTTTTTCTGCGGTTAACGTTTTGTTAATACAGCATACAAGCAAATGAATAAAGAGTGTAATATATGGTTGTTACTCTCTAAAGATGGACCTGTTAGTAGCTAGAGTCCAGCCATGCAACTTTATCAAAGCAGAAAATCTGATTTGATAAAGCTGCAGATATAGTCCGGACAAGAATTCTACATGATTGCATTCTGGTTGGTGATTAAAAGAAGACTCTTGTGCTGTAGATGCCAGCCACGTAAAGTGCAAAAGTATATTGGCTTACGCCCAAACTCTGAATTGAGATTATTCAAATTTACCACATTTTGCTGTGTAGAATGCATACTGTCTCCCCCTAATTTGTGAGGGAAAATAATGATGTGCTAATATCTGGATACTACCAATCCCATATCTATATAAATGTTTTAAATTCTTTTATTTATGCTTATGCATTAAAACTCTAGGAAGCAGTAACGATATCCATATGCAAAATAATACCCCAGAAGATGATCATCAGTTTTGTTGAACGTCTGACAGACTTGCAAGGAAAGCATTTTCAGCCAGTGAGAAACGGCGTTTCTCTTTGTACCCTTTAGTCCGAGCTAGCAATCTAGCTGATATTTTTACAAAATTCCTCTATGATACAAAAAGCAGGTACCTATATATAAACAAATACACATTTGAATTAAAAAATTAAAATGAAAGATTTTTTCCTGAAAGTTTGGGCCAGAATCGTACCTGGAAGCACACTGTCCGTGGGAGCATATTATACACAGCCAAATACAGTGTACCCTGGCTGTGCCATCTATTCACTATGCCATTTTGTTTTGTTTTAGACAGATTACTTAATCTCTGTGCTTCAGTTTCCTCAGTGATAAAATGGGGCTAATGATAGAATCTATGTCATAGAGTTCAATAAATGGGTTCATATATTTAAAGTATTTGGAACACTGTAACTAAGTAAATGCTCATACTCCAGTTACTATTTACTACCGGTTTTCAGAACATAATCCTCTGTCACTCTGATTCCTGTTTTACATAAAAATATTTTGTTATGCATTGTGGATAAGCTGAGAGATCTATGTCTAAAACTGAAACTTTTTCAAAAGTAACTTTGAGTGTGGTTAAATGTAATGCTAGATTCTTAATGTGGTGTGGTATGCAGAAACATGAAAACATGACTTTGGCTGGAGAGGTAAGAGATGGTAATGGTTTATTCTGAGAGGATCCTCATTGTGACTTCTGTATGATGTCTAATTTTGAACAGAAGTATCTATTCAAATTGCAAAATAAGTCCCAGATCTTTAAATGAGGTAACTAATGCAATGTACTTCAGGTCATCATACATATACTTAATTTATTTCCCAAAAGTGGTTTCAGTTTTATGATAGTCAATATAGAGCTGTTTTTTCTGATTAACTGTGGCCAGTAGGCTGAGTAGCATTTGAGAATATTCTGAAAGACAGTAGACATCCAGCACAGACCCTGATGTTGACATTCCTATGTGCTGGGATACAAGGGAATACTAGTCTAGTTCATTCAGAAACTCCATCTAAACGTACAGTGATTAAGTTGAAAAGGAAGATAGAATTAAATAATGAAAATGAATCCAGCATCTAATAGCGAATGGTGTCAATTCTGAAAGGAGTATGAGGGCAGGGATTTTCCTTTTTTGTTAACTACTAATTATTTGTGGCTGACAGCCTTGGTAGTTCCTTCCTGGAGTACTGCCTGGCATCTTGCACTCAGTAGATGTCTTGGGAATGAATACATGAATGCTAAGGAGATTTTAATTTTTTTTAGGCTTCTAATCAGTTGAAATTGGAACTCAATTCAAAGCAAGAACAAATCTCACAGGCCCAGAATACTTTAAAACAGAAGGAAAAAGAAGAGCAACAACTTCAAGGCAACATAAATGAGCTCAAGCAATTGACTGAACAGAGGAAAAAGCAAATTGAAGCCCTCCAGGGAGAAGTCAAAACTGCTGTTTCACACAAGGTAATTAAAATAATAATATGATTAACAAAGGTGAATTACAACATAGAAAATTTAGGATAAGCTAAAAATTACTCTAAGTTAAATATATGAAAGCATTTGATTATATGATGAAATATCTAAGTCTGAATTTCCATTTATTATAAGCATGTTGTCAGATAATAAATCATCCTTATTAAGGGAAAATAATCACAATTGGGATATATTAAAAATATCCAATAGAGTCAGGTTTTATGTACTTATAATTGTTTAATATTTTAAGTTATAATGGTTTCCATTTTCAACCTATTTTAATTTATTATTGGGCATTCTTTTTTGTTACTGATTATGTTTTAATCTTTGTCCAGACCAAGAGTTGGTAAAAGTAGATTGTACTTAATATAAAATATTTGAATAAAACAACTTCCGTCCCCACCATTGATATGTGCATAGTAATTAGTCCCTGGAGAAGAGAGCAGTAGAGTCCTTAATATGTAGAATAAATGTCATGCCATTAAGAGTTGGGTGTCATACTACTGGAGTTAAAAGAATATAAATGGAAACAGCCACAAATATATATTTTATGTTGACTAGTGTTTTGGGAACTGTTACTATGCTACTTTATAAAAGAGTAGTTTTCTAATAATACAGCAAGAGTAGACAGATTGGCCTATTCTTTTGTTTGTGTTATATATAACCAAAAGTCAGCATGTAATTATCACTGTGCATATTATTTTGCATACTTTGGTATCTTAAGGTCATTTTTTTCACAATTTACTTGCATCCAAATATTTCTGAGATTTTCAATTTTATGATATCAAAATATAGTGAAACAAAAAACACAAGTATTTTAGCACATTTTCTTTTATTAAATTATAAGGTGCAATAACATTTCTTTCAGAGATATTTCATGATTAAAATATTATGATTAATATTTATTGCCTATATAATTATCCCTTCATTTTTGCAGCTTCAGAATCTGCAATTGGGATGAAAGATACTCGGGTTAGAGGGAACAATAAAAAGTAAAAATATTGCCAGGCGAGGTGGCTCACGCCTGTAATCTTAGCATTCTGGGAGGCCCACACGGTGGATTGCTTGAGCTCAGAAGTTCAAAACCAGCCTGAGCAAGAGCAAGACCCCACCTCTAAAAATAGCCAGGCACAGTGGGTGGATGCTATAGTCTCAGCTACTTGGGAGACTGAGGCAAGAGGATCACTTGAGCTCAAGAGGTTGAGGTTGCTGTGAGCTGTGATGCTGCAACAGTCTACCAAGGGTGACAGAATGAGACTGTGTCTCAAAAAAAAAGTAACAATAAAAACAATACAAATTTAAAAATATAACAACTATATTTACATGGTATTTGCATTGTATTAGGGATTGTAAGTAATCTAGAGATGATTTAAAGCATGTGGGAGGATGTACACAACTTATATGAAAATACTATGCCATTTTATAGGGACTTCAGCATTCTTAGATTTTGATATGGGAGGAGGTATCCTAGAGCCAGTCTCCCAAGGATATTGAGGAACGATTGTTCTTTGCACAGCTTTGCTAGGTGATCCCCGAAAGTATTATAAGATTTAGAGGAAATACTGGTAGTTCACTTTTATCTTAGTATGTGGCTGCTAGAATAGGGAGTACACTTCTCAACGTTGTTTCAGAGAGTGCTGGATACATGCCCAGTCTTTGTAAATTAGACATGGAATTTAGAGTAACTGGAGAATCATTGTAAGGTAAGAACAGTTCAGTTTTGTTGAGTAGTGTAGCATCACGAAAAGAAGATAGATTGAACAGCCGGCAGGTCTGCATTTAAATTTTGTAGAATACCGTTAGCTTCATGGTCCCAGAGAAATAATTCAGCTTTCTGAGCTCAATAAAATGGGGTCATAGAGTTTTTGTAAACATTGAGATAATGTGTTTAAAATTCTTAGTATTATGGCCAGTGCAGTGTGGAAGCCAAACAGTTGTTGGCTCTTCTGTCATCTCAGAGTCTGTGTACGTGCTTCTTAGATCACTCGACCTTTAGTAGAAATGCATCTTTCACATCACCCTGTTTAGTTTCTTTGCTCACTCAAGTATAAGCTCCATGAGCACATCCTATGTTTAATTTTTTTTTAATTAAGTCATAAACACATAGATCATGTATACATTGATGCCTTTGTGGGGTACAATGTACTGATTTTATTTACAATAAGGAATGGTTACATCAAACTGGTTAATATAGCCTTCACCTCATTTACTTACTGTGTTAAGACATGTATACTCTATACTTAATAGGTTTGACATGTACCCTTGCAGAATGAACCATAGGAATGGTCTCACTGTTTACCCTCCTTCCATTGAATCTCCCCTCCCCTCACAGCTCTTTGTCCAGCATCTGGAATTGTGCCATGCAATAAAATAGGTGCCTATTAATACTTCTTCAGTGAATGAGTGATAGATTGGTGATAGAAAAGCCTGGGACATTAATTAAGAGACTTCTGTAGTATCCCAGATAAGAAAAAAAAAAGCTTGTACTAAAGCTGTGGCACTGGAGGTGAGAAGATGGGATGGATGCAGAGGGTGAGAACACAGACTGATAGCAAGCAGGTGCTGACTGCCGGACTGATGTCCCACCGTGATCCCATCACAGCCCATGCCATCTCCTTCTCAGAGAGTTCTTCCTGCAGTTCATGTTCCTGGACGCCCTTGTTGTGTCGAAGGCCATAACTCACTCGCAGCTTTTCTTTTTAAGAACACTACTTCTTCAACATTTTCTCACTGTCTTGCTTTCTTTCTGTTTAGTTACTGTTATGGCAAAGCTCTCTGCAAAATCCCAATAATAACCACATTACTGGGCTCTTTGGGCTCATATTTGGGTCTCCACTGTCTTTACTGTTAGAGATGGATTCATTCATTCATTTAAGAAAACAAGAAAAGCTTATTGCAAAAAAAAAAAAGTCAGTTCTTTGACTCAGAGGAACTCAAATCCATTAGTGGAAAGTTAAAACAAACAACAAAATGGATAAATGCAAAGTTTGACAATATCTTTAACAATGGAAAACTTCAAGTTCCAAAGGAGAACACAGGAAAATTGACCAGCTACTATTTATCTTTCACAAACTGATTAGTTTTTACTCTGAAATGGATCTGATCACATTTCTAGATTCTTGAAAACCTTTAGTCCTCCAGTGAGTAAAAGCGGAAACGGCTATACACTATCTCCTGTGACCTAACTTCATTCAGTTCTTCAGCCTCAACTCCTCTTGCTTCTCTAGTTACCACACTCTCCAACAGTTGATCTTCTGTAAAGGTACTTTTGAAAATTTGGCTAATACTGTTCCTCTCCTGGAGATGTCTGATTTCCTGTTTTTATAAAACCTTTCAAAATTATGCTAATCATTAAAGGCCCAGTTCAAATTCTAGTTCCTTTAGGAAGCCAATCAAAGTTCTTCTAAGTCCCCATTTTTATTCTATTTCTATTTTTATTTCATTCTTCTTTATATAATATGGTTTTCTTTTTTTTACTTACTTGCTTCCCCATTAAATTATAAGCTACATGAGAGTAAGAGGCCACATCCTGTTTGTTCTATATTTCCACACTAGGGTTTGAATGAAGTTGGGGCAAAGACTGTTGACTTACAGCATGTTTGCTGGATGTCTGATCCGTGGCTCCCAAATACTCTCACACAATATATAGACTACATACATGACATATGAGTTGATACCTTGATTACAAGAGCTATCCATACAAAGGTCAGGGGACAGCTAGTGTAATGACTTCAGAACAAGCTTGGTATTTTCCAGAAACAAAAGACAACATGTGTTAAAGGTAGTGGGAGAGGGGAAAAGTGATTAGAGGTGATCTCAGAGAAGTAAGAGGGATCAGATTGTTTATACACGGTCTGTACATTTGTAGATTATGAGATGCCCAAGAATAATATATTTTGTTCTGAGAACAACTGGAACCTGTTGGAGAATTTTGAACAGAGAATGGTGGGGTTTGACTAACAGGAAATAAAGGATCAAGCAGCGAAGGCATTTGAAAAACTCTTCCAATAATGAGACCAGGCATCGTGATGCCACAAACTGAAGTATTGGAAGTGAATAATTTATGAATATGTAATTTTGGAAATTTAGTCATCAAAACTTGTGGTAGATGAGACGGTGAAAGGCAATGAAGAGGCTTTGTACACACAGGTACTTGGTGATGCCACTCATCAGGAGAAACAGCGCCTTTCACGTGCAAGGTTGCTGTCAGGAACTAAGAGTGCTGTTCAGAGCAGGGTATGTGTCAGTTATTCAAGTGGAGGTGTCAGGAAGGTACTCGGATGTAAGAGCCCAGAGTTCAGGTGGAGGGGTTGCAGTTAGAGACATACATGTGGGAATCATTTGTAAATAAAAGATGTTTAAAACCGAGAGTCTACCAGAGGTCAGCAGTGGAACTTGGGGATGTTACAATGTTAAGAGATCTAGCAGAAGAAAAGGAGCCAGTACAATATCTGGATAAGTAGTAACCATTCACGTAGGAAGAGAACCTAAAACATAAGGTACCAGGTTGAGGAAGATGTTTCTAGAAGGGGATATAATCAACTATACCAAGTACTGCTGAGAGAGCAAGTAAGATGTGCACACAGGTCAGACGAATATTGGATTTTGGAACGTGAAGTTCACTGATGACCTCAATCACAGTTTCATTGAAGCAGTCTTTTGTTTAAAAGCCAAGTACTTATATTTCATACTATACATACATTTTAATTATGTCATAATTTGTGCACATCTCCTGAATTTTCTTAAAGACTAAAGAGGTTAAAGGTTTAGAGAAGTTACTACTGTGAGATTTTTCTTTTTCTGTCTTGGTATTGATAAAGATGACCTATAGAAATTTCCTGACTTACTCTTGAATTTGCAAGAGTAGAAACTATAAACCTCAACACAGTAATGGCATCTTAATTTCTTTCGTGTAGCGGTTTCCTTAGCTCAGCCTTGAAGTTATATCACCCAAGGCATCTAGCACTGCGCCCTCCATCAGAATGTAGTTTGTACTCATCTCCTGAGACCTGATGAATCTAGTACTTCCCAGTGCCTTGCTTTTTTTCTTTATTTGCTTTTGCACTTTATGGTTTTTAAATGGAGACTTATTGGATTTGGTAACTGTCTGACTTTACAAGGTAAGTTACTCTTTGTGGAAGGAGAATATTAGGGCATAAATGCAGCTCAGCTCATTCTCAGGAATTTTCTTAGGTGTCTGAATTTCATTTTGTATTTGTAGCTGGTTTTTGGCATGCATACTGTTTTAAAGAACTACTGTATGTTTCAGACAGAGCTTGAGAATAAACTACAGCAGCAATCAACACAGGCAGCCCAGGAACTTGCAGCAGAGAAAGAGAAAATATCGGTGTTACAAAATAGCTATGAAAAAAGTCAGGAAAACCTAAAACAGCTTCAATCTGATTTCTATGGGAAAGAATCTGAACTTCTAGCCACAAGACAAGATCTTAAGGTACAGTAAACTATATCATACTACAAAGACTTAGTAAGTTGTTTATATTAAAACACATATTCGGCTCCGTGCTTGTGGCTCAAGTGGCTAAGGCGCCAGCCATGTACACCCAAGGTGGCGGGTTCAAATACAGCCTGGGCCCGCCAAAACAACAATGACAGCTGCAACCAAAAAATAGCCGGGCGTTGTGGCAGGCATCTATGGTCCCAGCTGCTTGGGAGGCTGAGGTAGGAGACTCGCTTGAGCCCAGGAGTTGGAGGTTGCTGTGAGCTGTGATGCCACAGCACTCTACCCAAGGGGATAGCTTGATGCTCTGTCTCAAAAAAACAAAAACAAAAACAAAAAACAGACATTCATTAAATAATTCCTTTGAGCCCAAATAGGCAAAGGAATATTAATATTTGTGGAATTTTATACTTGTTTTAAATTAAATCATTTTTATGTTAATACACTTTTAAGAAGTTTTGTTACAACAAAATAATGATGTACATCAATGTGGGCATTTAAAAATGACATATGTATAATAAAATAACTTGGATATATGTTATCTTTATACTGTTAGCTTATCTAAGGATTTTGCTTTCTTTATGTGGAAATACCTTTAAAGATGGGTGACTATTAGAAAATACAAGGAGTCGTAAATGTAAACCACTCGTGAAAAATGCAAGCAATTTTACTGTCGCTTGTCAGACAATGCTGTTTTATATATTTGTTAACTTCTTTAGATTAGTGGGAGTATGAGTAAAATTAGGAATTAGAGCTCAAAATAAACTTCACTATAATTACATAACAATGTATAGGAAAATTTTCTTTTTGCAAAACTATTCGATTAGATAAAATATCATGTTTATTAAAATGAATGCTATGGAAAAAGGGTAAGCAATTTTAGTGTAACATTAAGGTATCGATTTAAATAGTTATGTGCTCTCACAGAGGAGCAGCCAGTTCTCTCTCCTTTTTTTTTTTTTTTTTTGGTCACATTCAGATAATATGCTTTATGTTTCTTTCCTATGTTTGGGATTTTTATTTTTTTTTATTTAATTTACAGTGAGTGTAGTATTGCCTACAAAATTCTGTTGAAAATTCTTTTGTTTATGTATTATATATGTATTTTGTTTGTAGGCTGTTGTAGGGAAACTTTATGAAGAGGTAAGACTTGACTAGATCCTGAAGATATGTAGAATTTGAATTCACAGAGTTTTGAGAAATTGGTCATTTCGCTTAGGGAGAAGGGCCAAAGCCAGGAGACAGTTATTAATTGTCTTGCTAGAGTGTGCTAGTTTATGTTTGGCATTAGGTTAAAAAGGTTGGCTCCAAATTGTGAAGTTATCTTAAATGCCTAGCTAAAAAGATTACATGCTGTGTTTAGGGGGAAAAGAGAAGAGTCTAAGCAGAGGAGTGAGAAAGAAAATAGTATTTTAGAAAACAACCTGGTGGTGGTTTACAGATAGCTCGGATCAGACTCGGGATGGACTAGCAGTGGGAAGGTTAGCTAAGAGGTCCTCTCTCTTTCTCCAGAACTTCTAGTAATTAAGGTCTAAATTGGTTAGAACTGAGATGAAAATTAAAGAGAATGGAATAGACAGTGTTAATTGGAGCGAGAGAAGATGAAACAAACAAAAGAGCTGGATATGTACCAGGCTGGAAGGGAAGGAATCAATGATGATTAAGTATTTGACAAAGAAATAGGAAATTGGGTGAGACTGTTTTCATAGTGCCAATATGATGGACATCTCTCTCTCTTTCTCTCTCTATTGATACCAACATTAGCAAAACTTGTTATTAAGAAAAATAAATCACTTTTAGGTTATCATTTTTTTCTTTATGACCCTGTTGAAAAGCAGGGCATGTTTGTGGAGGAGTTTGGATTTAACCTAAAGGCAGTGAAGGGAGTTACTTTGCTGGGCAAGTTCAAATGAAATTTATAGGCCAGATGAAAAGATGATTTCATATCAATCATCATTATTCTTATGCTTCAGTGATGTTTTATGATCTTTTTGTATATGAGAGAAGGAGAGAGCTTGAGAACCTTGCAACATGACACAGTCGTGAGCCAAGGCTGTGTACCATGGGTTGAGAGTACACTGTGGCTGGCAAGGTGTACCCAGACGCCAGTAGAATGGAAGACAGTTTGGCCTGATCTGGGTCTTTAGCCCCATCTGCTGGATCATTTAGGAAATACTTGAGTTTGTTGACTGGATATTTCAAATTGGCCATGCCCTGTACTGTCCTTTGTTACTCACAAATGGTAAGAAGTAGAATTTAACTGTAAGTTTTATACCTTGGGCAAAGTGAAAATGCTAAGATAATAAGGTTAGAATTAAAACAAATCCCTTATGTAATTCGTCAGACATCAAGAAAAAGTAATGACTAAAATTGTAAAGGTTTTATTGTGAAAGAAGAATGGAAAAACGTGCTTGACTAGATAGAAAGAAAATGGCCATCACAGAACTCTGTAGAGATTGTTTTTTGCTCAAGTAGGATAATGTGATTGACACAATAACAGTCAAGGTTGGTAGATGATCCACTTAGGGAATTTGTCTATTCCAAGGGAAGTTAACGGGTTAAAAATAATTCCAACAAAACCATGAAGTGGGAGAGGGTGTTCTCCAAGGGAAGAGGTGCTGAGGTGATGAAATAACATGTTATACAACAAGAGAGACAAAGGAATATTTAAAAATGCATGACAGCATACCACCGAGTGACATAGAGGAATGTTCAGGTATAGGGGAGAGCAATATAGCTTGGTATTTTCAGAAAAGACTTCATGAGGCAGTCCGATTTTGAGCTTGCTTAAATAAATTAGTCACTGAGTTTTGAGAGTTTAATCCTTTATAGGTTGTTACTTACACCAGGGGCATTTTAGAAATCTCACAGTGAGAGGTTAGGGTCCTTCTGCTTCCCGGGCTCTAGCCTTGGTATTCCTGAACGTTTGGTCATGCACATAAGACTTGGTCAATTTTTTTTCTTTTTATGTAAAAATCTCTCTCTCTCCTGTGACACACCAGTCATTTCCCTCATGCACTGTGGAGCCTTCTGAGAGCCGCATTCTGCAGAGAGTCTCAGGCTCAGTGTCTTCCTATATGTCTGGCGCGCAGCATGGGCTCCACTCCCCAGCGCAGCTTCCCGGTTACAGGTGCCTGTGCTGTTCTGAGGCTAAGCTGTCAGATCCCTCAAGGACCATCTTACCCTCCTCAGCTACCTTAGCAGTGTGCTCAATTAATGGCGAGCTCCCCGATCGGTAAAGAACTGGATGATTTAGGTTTTCCCTAGAAAACAAAAAAAATAGGCCTCATAGGGTTTAATGTTCTATTGGCAATCATAGATAATTGAATTTTTTTTTTTCCAAAAGACTTCTGAACTGGGTTATTGGTAGTGAATAAACTTACTTTTTTCAAGGACACTTAAGAATCCTTATAAATAAGAATCTTTTCTTTTATTTATTTTTCACCTTTTTTAATTGACTATTTTAACTATAGAACAGACTAGCCAGCAGGGTTCCTCTCCTACATTACATTTTTTGCCTCCATTTCAAAGGAGCTGCGTCTCCAGAATGAGAAAGATGAGCTTCTGCTGGATCTGCTGGGAGAGCATTGGTTGGACCTCAGTCCCTGCTGATTCTTAGCACTAGCCGCTGGGGGTGGCAGGGTTCCTGCCTTTCTCATTACCTGTGACCATATCTACCTCCAAAATGAAGCCTAATAGTTACAAAAAGCTTGCCTTTTCTCCAACCTTCAAACGGTTGAAACAGTCAATATGGCTTTACTAACTGGTAATCCCACTTTCTACCACGGAGATGGAAAGTTAAGAGGATGAGATGACGGTGCTCTCAAGGTAGAGCCTCAGAAGTTTGCCTGGGTTTCTTCTGGTAGTTCACTTGATTGAATTGGAAGCTATGAAATAAAGTTTTTCTTTTTCTCTAAGACAAAAACACTTCCTATTTACTAAAATTTTTAGTGTGGCAAGGGGTATCACAGCTCCTAGAGAATGCATGTGTATACGTCATATGACATTTAATTGCACCTGTTATAAAATTATTTCCTTTCCTCTCTCCCGTGACTTCGCTTTCACTGTATATACGGTCTCAGAGTGTGTTTGATACGGTCCGACTATTATGATATTCCTTCCCATCAGCTAGCCAGTGTTAAAGATGTGATCAACATTCACTAAATATTTTAAATATTTATTAGTAAGTAGGTTATTTGTAAAGATACTGGAATTGCTTCAGCTTATTATTATGAGGCAAGAGAATTAATATTCAGAACCTTTTCTCTTTTACATGATCCTATTGAAGGGCCTATCATGCTGTTTTTTTATAGTATATTGCTTTCTACAATGCTGATCTTTAACTTATGTATCTATTGAAATTTGCTTAAAAATGACATATAGTAATTTGGGGAAATTGTTTTTCTAAGTCTGTAGAAGAGAAGCTTTCTCTGGCGCAGGAAGACCTGATTTCAAACAGAAATCAAATTGGAAACCAAAATAAATTGATCCAAGAATTAAAGACTGCGAAGGCAGCGTTGGAGCAGGATTCAGCAAAGAAAGAGCAGCGATTAAAGGAGCAGTGTAAAGCACTACAGGATATTCAAAAAGAAAAGGTATTTCTGACTTAGGGTTAAAATCCTAAAGTTGCAATGGTCTTAGCGATCACCTAATCAAACCTCTTATCCAATACAAGTACCACCTTTATTTTCAATAGCTCTTTCATACGTATAGTTTCTGATACAACACTTGTGATTACTGGAATTTTAAAGCTACGTAGTACTTCTTAATAACCTCCTTTCATGTGGACCCATTTTTCTTACTGCTCTTTTTTACTTTTATGAACAAATCTATTTTTCACAGCAAGACCCTTGGGTATTTAAGAATAGATATTATAGCCCCTCAACAATTTTTCATATAGCATGTTATCTTAGATGTGTGAATGAGATAGTAAAAGAAACAATTCTGAAGTTTGTTAAGAATTCTTAAAATTAAGGGGAAGTAGAATTATGTTTTTATGTAAATGATGCTAAGTTAAAAAGTTGAAAACATTGGTTTAAATGACCACCACGTTTTAAAAAAATCAATTTAAATTCTATAAGGAAGAGGAATTCAGATTCTAAGAAACATTTTATTTTTTGTTTTGTGGTTATATTTCTATCAGCTGAAGTGTATAATTCCTACAGTTCTTGGTATATCCTGTATTGTTCAATTCCTGAAATTAATGTATATTTTGAGCCAGTTCAAATTTTAAAAATATTTGGGATTTTTTTGAGGGTGAGGATGTTGAAGATGAAATAAAATTTGTAATTTGTGCTTCAAATTTAGAAGATTCTGATAGGACTATGGTTTATAGGTGTTTAACTGGAAGGGCTTTAGATCTTATTTTAGTTTTGGCTCTATCGCTAATGGGATTACTACTCTTAAACCTTTGTTCCTTCACCTATAAAATGGAGATGAAAAAAATATACTTATGATAGAGATTGAATGTAGTCATATAGCATGCTCCTAGCTAGGTACCTTATATAAATGTATTGATACTAATAAAATGGGAGTTGCAGGAATAAGAACAGTAGTTTGGCTAAATTTTATAATATTCTTATTCTGGCTGGGCACTCTTCATTGTATGATATTAACTGTTTCATCTGTATGACGATCTTATTATTATTGTTCACACTGCACAAATAAGGAAACACAGAGGCAAAGAGAATAAGTAATTTGCTCAATTAACTTACATGGCAAAGGGGAAGACCCAGAGTTATAAATAGTTGCAGTCATTCTTATTATACTAATTTTCACTTAAGTATCTGCTTTAAAATTATTTTTTAATAAATAATTATTTCTCTGCAGTCACTGAAAGAAAAAGAACTAGTAAATGAAAAATCCAAATTGGCAGAGACAGAGGAAATTAAGTGTAGACAAGAAAAAGAAATCACCAAACTAATTGAAGAACTCAAGTCCCATAAACAAGAAAGCATAAAGGTATGTTAAGATAATTATTTACAAGATGGTATGTTAAGATAATTATTCAGATAATTAAGATAATTATGTTAAGATAATTATTTTTGGCAATAAAATTAGGAAAAAAAGATAATTATTTTTCCTGTCTACTGTGTTACATTATTTTCTTCAGTTACAATATATATCTGTGTATATATATTGAGTACCTGCTATATGCTAGGCAAATTGTTTCATTTTTGACAAATACTCTTGCCAGAGTGCTCTTGTATTGCATATGTTTATATATGAAACTATGTTACTTTTATTTTTAGATTACATAATAAAGCAAAGCATCCCTAAGAGTTTAGATTTCAGTGAAATAATAATCGAGTGAGTTAATTGAAAATTATGTTTGTAGATAGTAAATTTTAAAATATGTAAGAGTTTAGAATTAGGTTTTAAGGGATTCTATTTATTCACCTGTTTTTCTTCCTAAAACCCTTGATAATCTCTTGGGTTTGGGGGGTTTTGTTTTAAATTTTTATCTAATCTCTTGTTTTCAACATTCTATCTGTTATAAGCATAAACAGGGTGCCAGTTGAAGAAACCCGTTTATCATTTGCTTTGTAAAATGCCATTCATGTTCTTAGAGAAAGGTTAGATTCTCTCTTGAGAGCTCTAATAATACCTTTCATGTTTGTCAGTGTAGTTACCATTTGTTTATAATTAATTATCTCATTATAACTTTCTGTTCCTCTGGAGGGTGGCTTTTTTAAAGGAGGGGCTGAATGTGATTCATCTTTCCATGAGATCCCCGGAACCTAACACCGTGTGTGATGACCAAATGATGACCAGTAAATCTTTGCTAAGTGACAAGAGGGCAAGGAGGGGGTAGAGTTTGTTTTTTTTCCAACTAATATAATAAAAACATATGCAAACCAGGTACCATCTCAATTAGATAGCTGTTGCGTAGGAAGTGAATAATACTGGATCTTTTTAAACAGTTGTTTGAAATAGCAAGCTTTGGGAATCTCGTAAGGGAAGTGAGTAAAACGTAACCCCTTGTGATAAATTGCAATTTCAAAATGTCAGCTGCATTTTGAAATGCAAAGGGTGCCAAAAAATGTATAGACATTCTAAGAAAAGAGAAACCTGTATTGAAATTTCGTTATACCCTACACATAACAATAGACGAGCCCAAGTCACAGTGAACACCTCCTGTAATTTCAAAAGTCCAATGTGGCTTGAGTATTACAAATTTAATGTGGGTTTTTCCTTTCTTAAAATGTGCATCTACTTTTTCGGTACCCTCTGTATTTACTATGAAGGATGATTTATTTTTGGCCCTCCTTTTTCAATAGGAGATATCGAATCTTAAGGATGCCAAACAGCTTTTGATTCAGCAGAAATTAGAACTTCAAGGAAAAGTAGATTCCCTGAAGGCAGCTCTTGAACAGGAGAAGAGAAACCAGCAGATCTTAAAAGAGCAGGTGAAAAAGGAAGAAGATGAGCTGAAGAAAGAATTTACTGAGAAAGAAGCCAAACTGGTCAGTAAGTTGATGGTGGGGAGTGAGCTTTAAATCCATCCAGCAGGAGGGTGATTGAAATGCTTGCCTAATACTTTAGTTATTAAGAAAGGCAATCTAATTTGTTTAAATAGTTGACATGTGATGGGAAATGTTTTACTGTGTCATCATATGTTGGTTTGTGTAAGTGAAAATCCAACTGAAATATAGTTTTTAAAAAACATTTTTAGTGCCAGACACCAACCCACAACTGGGTAGCCTGAAGTAAGTGATGGGAACGCTGGTGTGTTAAACTCATTGGTTTGGTCAAAGGGAATGTTGAGAAGGGAGAGCGGAAACTTGAGTTTGGAATGACGATGACCAGTGTCTACTCTTCCTTCCCTAAATTGTGCATGCCAAGTGGGAAGCAGCTGGCTTTCCTCTATTGAATTAAATCCAACTATCCTCGGATAACTTGACCGCTAAATGTCTTAGGTGAAGAGATAGAGTTTTAAGAAACAGTGATTTGAAGGCTTTGTAGTGTTTTGTGGAAGGTTGATAGAGAAAAGGATGTGTGTGGAGTTGAGAGAAAGAAGGAAATGCCAGCGTTGCCTCCAGGGCACCTTGCGATGCCTAACCATGTGTGTTTTTCCTACTCTGTTGAAAAAGAGAAACATCTAAAGTCATGTCACTTTAGCTGGATCTTATAAGAGGTTTGCTAACCATCATGTCTGCGTTCTGGCCTTTGAGCCAGTTTATAGCACACAGATGTTTATGGAATCAGTTTTGTTAGTATGTAATGAATTATAGTCTCCTGCTTCCCTTACAGAAGAAGCAATATTATTTATATTGCCAATATTTTCAGTAAAGCACTTTATTTTAAACTACTTTTGTAATAGCTACCCCCTCCTCCATTTTTCTTTTTGTTTTGTTTTCTTCAGCATTCTGAAATAAAGGAAAAAGAAGCAGGAATGAAGAAGCATGAAGAAAGTGAGGCTAAACTTACCATGCAGGTTACAGCATTAAATGAAAATTTAGGCACTGTGAAGAAGGAGTGGCAATCGAGCCAGCGTAGAGTCAGTGAGCTCGAGAAACAGACAGACGACTTACGGGGTGAAATTGCAGTCTTAGAAGCAACGGTTCAGAATAATCAGGATGAAAGGAGAGCACTACTGGAAAGGTGATCCATGTCTACTAAAATTCGTTTATTTCCATGGAAAGTGATAGAAGATTGGCTTAGTGCACATTATTAAAATAGAAGAATCTTGAGAAAAGTGTATAAAGTCTTGCAGATATTTAAGTAGCTATTTAGATGTTAACCTTTGAAACAATGAGAAACAGCCAAGAGACTGTTAACTACAGAGGCATTGAACAGAAGGGACTCAGCCCACTGTGCTGGTACATGTGTCATGCATGTGTGGTCTAGGAAAACTAGCTCAGCTTGAGGAGGTGGTCAGCTATCGAGGTTCTGTTGTCGTTGAGATTAATGTAAAATCTTTATGGTTACTGAAGTAGAACATTATCTATATTCCAGAAGGATCTTTAAAAAATGACCTCTTTGCAATATATTCTAGATGCCTCAAGGGGGAAGGTGAAATAGAAAAGCTTCAAACCAAAGTCCTAGAATTGCAAAGAAAGCTGGACAATACAACTGCAGCAGTCCAGGAACTGGGCAGAGAAAACCAGTCACTGCAGGTAAGTCATCTGGCGAGGCGAAGCAGTTTCTTAGTCTGGGATTGACCTCTTGGTGAAAGGCATCTTTTCGGCTTTTAAAAAATCTCATGTTTTCTTTCTTTTTTTTTTTTTTTATTACTTCTTCCTCCTGTAGTGTTCTCTTGCCCCCCATGTAGCTGGGATAACAAGGTCCGGGTGTCTTGTTGTTGTTGTAGAGATGGGGTCTCACTCTGGCTCACTCTGCCTCAGGCAGGTCTTCAGCTGGTCTTGAACCTCTGAGCACAGGTGATCCACCCGCCTCAGCCTCCCACAGCGCTGGGACAACAGGCGGGAGCCACCACGCTGGCCAAATCTCATATTTTCTAAGTGCTTTCAAATAGCTCCCGTTTGTGTAGCAGTGTTGCAGGTTTTGTGGGTAACTAAATGTAAAAGATGAACTTCTTCCAGAGACCTCAGAGATTAATTAGAGAGCCATGCCATCCATGACTTGTCAGTCCAGGGAAAGAATTACAAGATTCAGGAATACCAAAGAATGTATGAGTCAGCAGGTATTAAAGATGGGATCTGAATGTGTTTTTATGAATATGGCTACTTTTGGCAATAGAAGTTGAACAAAGTATTTCTGATATTTCAGATTTTATCCCCTGTGGCATGTAGTCAAATTTTTATATAATTCTGGCCCCAAGTTAGAAATAATCTATCATTCTTCAAAATGTTGAATATTATAATATATTAAATTTTTTTTTTAATAGATCAAACATACCCAGGCGTTGAATAGAAAGTGGGCTGAAGACAATGAAGTCCAGAACTGCATGGCCTGCGGGAAAGGCTTCTCCGTGACCGTGAGACGGGTAACGGCTCCCTCACATAGCTGAGTGACAGTGTCACCCCCACCAGAGTAGTCAGGCCTGCATTTGCCAGTTTTTAAAAAATGTCTGTTTATTGGTAATCTTTAATTTACAACTCCATAGAATGATTCAACTTCATGTAATCTAGTTTCTGGTTAACGTGTGATTAAATTAGTCTTTGCCTTCCTACTGAGTTGCTCTCTGGGACAGTCATTTTCTACACGAGTTGCCAATATTGACCTCATACGTTTTAGTCATCGTGGGGTTCTTGTAAAGGAAAGAAAAGCAGAGAGATTTTAAACATGCATTTAAAATAATACCGTCATGTTACGACTCTAGTTTAGATGCCTAGGGAAGACATTATGCCTGAAACATTGGATGAATAAGAGTAGGGTCTCCTTTAATGGGTAGCAGTACTTCCCTAGCACTTTTTAACTCCCTCCTAAGGTTCTTTTGAGAATTCAGTGATAAATTCCATATGAAATGTTTAGCATAGTGTTTGATAAATAGGAAACTTTCAATTTAACAAAAGGATTAAATTAACATACGGGAATAGTCTGTCATGAGGTAATGCGCTAGACACTCAAAAATTAATAGACCTTTTCAGTGCAGTTTGTGCTAGTCATGTGGTTTCCCGGTGCTGCTGGTGTAGTTTTTATGCTTGACATTCTTTAATTTTTGTCATTTACAGCATCACTGCCGCCAGTGTGGAAATATCTTTTGTGCTGAGTGTTCAGCCAAAAATGCCTTAACTCCTTCTTCCAAGAAGCCTGTTCGTGTCTGCGATGCCTGTTTCAATGACTTGCAAGGATGACGGGCTGTCACAACTCCAGAGTAATGCGACACTAACACTAGATTTGTAATAAATGTCCTTAATAGAGGTCTTGGACTGCTATTTGATTTGGCACTGGTTGCGATACTAGACCAAATTAGAATCCGTATATTTTGGAATGTTATCAAGTAAAACTCTTCTATTTTTGTGAGACTTGGGCTCTTCTTTCCTTACTTTCTTCCATTGGACCCCTTGAACAGCTTTCATGCCAAGTTTAGAATTAGCCAATGAAATGTAAATAAACTTTGGACAGAAAATAGCAATGTATTTTTTTAAATATAATTTCATTGTTCACAAATGAAGACTACAATTCTATGGCTTACTTCTTCTAAATTAAATGTACACCGCGTACATGGATGATGTTAGCACTTGTGGCTGTTTTTGTTGCACAGTAACATATTAACTATATAGTCTCTTTGTGAAGTCATGCACATAACACTTTCTGACTACTTTTTTCTCTTCAATCTAAATCCATAACTCAATTTCATTGTTACATTATAATTTTACTATTTGGGTGTTCTAAATACAGTTTATCTTAAAATGTAACATGTAACCATGGATTCAAAATTTGGTTTTTGTTTTAACACTATTGATTAAATTCTCTTGGGAAGATTTTATGAAAACCTCTGTAAAATCATCTGCTTAATTTATGGTTATCCTGGAGTTATATTTTAAAGGTCATGGTTAATTTTTCTTTGTGTGTTTGTCTGTCTCCTTTTTAAACTCTCACATATTGTCCATTAAGAATCTTACAAAGCTTCCCACCCTCACCTTAGTTGGAGGATGAATAGGAGAACTTGTATAATGTTCCCATTCTTGGTTTTTTGGAAGTCAGAGGTCTTCTGAGATGAGTCTTCACAGCATACCCTTATTTTTTTCTTACTAACATGAGTTTGCTTTCTAATGGATCTGCCTTTTGCCTTTATTTGCTTTGACCTTCACTGTTACACTGTGTTATAATTTTTCATCACTCAGCTAGTAACTAAAATTGCTATAGTCTCACCTGTGAAAACAAAATGCAGAAGGTAAGAAGACGTTAAATATTCTACTTTGTATTTATTTCTTAGCTAATAGGGAAGAATTTTAAAAAGTTGTAAAACTGACTGAAGTTTAAAATGGGACGAATTTTTAAAAGTTGTAAAACTGACTTAAATTTAAAATGGCTCTGAATTTAGGGTTCCATATCAACTGGGAAATCTTTTAACTTTGCAAAAATAATGCTGTAAGATTACCTTTGAGTAACAGCTGGAGAATAGAGTATATCTGAAGGCAAACATATTTGGGGTTCCCAAAGTTATAATAAAAACAGAAACAGAATAGCTAAGCACCTTAAGGTTAAGGATGAGCTTATTTGTATGCAAAACAATGGAATTGAACTTTAATTTAGCATACATTAGTCTTATTAACTTGGAAAATTAGAAAACATCTGAAAAGAAAAGTCACTAATACTGGTTTATCACTGTTTCTAGAGAAGAAATGTAAAGTTATACATTTGTTCGTTTAATAACAATAGCAGAGAAAAATGAGTTAATATTTCATTTATAATCAATAGCTTATTATATACATTTGCTTTCAAGTATCATGTTGAAATGGAATTATTTTGTTTATGCTATACCTACATCATATATAAACTAAAGAGAATGCCACATATTCATTTGATTATTTTTTTAAAAAAATTTAAGCAAACCCTGATGTCAAGAGCTATTAAGAGAACTGATTAAGTCCCAGGACTGAGATCAACATATATCCTTGAGCTTATATAATAAAGAAATACAATATCTCTTTATTAAAAATAATGTTGGAGAACATAAACTGAGCTATTTATGCATTTTTTATATACTTACAAATCCAAATGATGTTAATCCTCTACTTTTCCATATAAATAACAAATTGTGCTGGAAATACAAATATATTCACGGCACCACTGTTTTTATTTTTGTTTTTGTTTTTTTAAGATAATGTCATGAGAATTCTGGATTTGAATATTTGTTCCTTTCCTCTCCCAGTTGGATGCCCTCCAGGCCTTCTCTGGGCCCCTCCTTCCTCTGACAACAAATATAGCCATATGTGTTGGAGTGATTTTGTTTTTATCTAACTCACTTCGTAAGTCCCAAATAATTTACCTACCATAGTCTACTATACTGATAATATAAATGCAACCTCACATCTTTGCTATTAACTTTTACCAATTTAATGTATTTTGGGAAACATGATTAAAGTGTTTTTTGTTTCCTTTTAATTAAAAAGTCCTCTTCTGAGTCTCTGTTGGATGTACATTTAAGTGTTTGCTGGTACTGTTATAATATCTCGTCAGTGAGCTAGAGCTGGCATGCACCGAGCCCCAACTCTTGACTTTAATGCAAAGCATATTGGCATCACATGTTGGTGAATTCCAAACCCCAGCACAGAAGCGTGAGTTAAAATCAACTCTTGCTGTTTGGTGTACAATACATTGTGCCCATAGAATTTTTTTAAATAGAAGATAAAGCTGCTGGTATAGGATGTGTTCTTTTTAAAGAAAAAAATAAAGAGGGAAACAAACACAAAAACCTCAATGCAGTATAAAAATAACATTTTGTTGAACTACCTCTTGATGTGGGATTAGCGAGTTGAATATTTTCCTCATGGTAATGTTAAATAGTAACTGCCAAATTTGTTATTTTCCCATCTCTCTTAAAAAGTCTGTATCATTATTTTATATAATTTTAAGAACTTTAAAGCCACTTTTTTTAAACGTTGCATTTGCATAAAAATGTTTAGCTTTTAAGTGGACAGCAAACTCTGATCATATATTTTGATATTCATGACCTATTTGACTATAGCTGTTTTCTTTTTAAAATGCACTTTGGCTATAAAACCATGGGTGATCTGATCTGTAAGATTTAAATGTGCCATCAATTCAGTACTCCTAGACACGAACTTGATGAATGGCGTTCTGTAATTATAATGTGCCACACGTTACTGTGTCTTAATTGACCTTTGCCTGAATTTTAATGATCACTTTGTCATTGTTACAGATGTGAATATTGTGCATAAACTTACTAAATTTATGTAAATTGTATAAAATAGAATCAAAAGTTGCTAAGTTCTTTCGGTGTAGAAGTAAGGAATTTATTGTAACATGATGCAGTTATGTACATGACATTGTCTCCTGCCTTGAGCTGAATCTCATATCCATGGCTCGTGTAGATACTTTTGCATGAATATTTTCTCATTTAGTTTTTAGATTTATTATTTGTATTGTATTTACCACTTGTGATCATGTAGTTGTGCCTTATTTTGTGGGAGTTTAGCTCAGTAAATACTGTAATTTCTAAACTCAGTGATGGGAAGGTTATTAATTACAAATGTAACTGGTAAATTACCTGACAGCATTTAAATCTGTATAAAGAACAATGGAAGGATCCTTACTGAATTGTTGCTTTTGGTTTTTTTTTTTTAATATGTTAAAGATGATATTAAAAACAATTTCTTAGTAAATGTCTTCTGTGCCTATAAATTATTTTGCCTATTTAACAAAAGAGAGAACACGGTATTAACCTTTTTGCATTCATTTATTTACAGTATATTAGGACTTTGCCCTTGGACATAGATAGTGGTCCTGTTTCATTCCATTCAATATTGTGAAGAAGTTTTTACAGAAGTAAAAAGAAGTGTAAAAAAAGTATAATTAAGCCCTTCTATTATTTTGTGTCTAAGTTTAAAACCCAGGGGATCATTCAGTGACACTTTTTGAAAGGCCAGTGTACCATTGTTTAGTGCTCCTCTCTCCCCAACAAAGGTTCTAGAATGTTTTCTTTCCCCATTTCATTCTCATGTGTTTCCCCCAGACGTTTAATATGCATATCCTTAAGCACTTACTATATGTGTATTAGATACATTATTTTGTGAGGGTTATAAAGTCCAGTTTATGTATAGCTTGGCTGTTTTTCAGACTTTGTTAATTTAATCAATCCTCTTCTCCCTTTATCCTAAGCTGAAACACACATATATACACACAAACAGACATAACCAATCAAAACCAGAAAAAGAGAAAACTAGTCCTTTATACTTGTATGTCCATGGTTTCTGGACTCCTGAGATTAGCGGGATCTTGAGAGGTCACCTTCTCCCCCCATTGCTTACCTCCTGGGTTGGTTTTTATCTAAATACCTCTGCAAGGTGATTGTTAATTTTTAAAAAACTGTTTTTTAGCCAACTATTTCTTTACATTAATCTTCTCTTGCATAAATCTATGTTGTCTTCGGGACATAATTACTTTCACTCTTACCTGGATACCATCGGTAGGAACTTGCTTGAAGTCTGTTCTTCTGTCCTCTTCACTTATTCTTAGCTATTAACAACAGTTATTGCTTGCCAGGTTTTTCTTTTGTTTTCTCTTTCTTTCTAATAAATGTCTGACATTACTACAAGGAGCCTATCACTCTGCATTCTGAGATTGCTGGGCCCTTACACGAGAGGCTTTCTGCTGCACCTGCAGGGCTGCCATGTTCGTGTGGGGAAACCAGCATCTTCCTCAAAGAATTCCTGTGGCCGAGACTCCCCTAAACGTCATTCTCCCCATCCCCTTCTTCAGCTTTAAGAAATTAGTTAAGGTCTCAGTTGTCTTGCAGCCAAACTTGAAAAATTGACTACTTCCACTTTGGAAATGGCAAAAGACACCTTGCCTGACACTGAACTTCATTTGATACAATAATCTTACCCTATAGACTAGTTCCTTAAATGCAACTAATAGTACATATAATTCAAATTGCCTTTCTTGATAAAAATTCTAAGGAAGTTTTCAGTCCTGCCAACTAAAATGAAGTTACCGTACTATGCTACCACACATTCGTATACACACAGACATACCAGTCAAAACCAGAAAGTATTTTTATGACGAACACCATCCTTCTATAAAAAAGTTAAAAGAAAATGCCTTACTATTTGTGAAAACTGCCCATGTGAAGGAGTGAACTGGTGAGAACAGATTTTTTTCTGCCTTGAAATAAAATGGAATTTAGTCTTTGAAATTTTCTACTTCCAACTTAGCGTATTATAAAGTATACCTGAGATAAGTGAACTATAGGAGAATAGGAATTTTAAAACTGCTACTAAACTGGAGACCTTATTTATTGCATAACATATTAAAAGAGTAATCAAACTTTGTATCAAAAGAATTGTCATTGTGTTTGAGGTAGGACCAGAAAAGTGATAAGACTGGTTTACGAGCCAGGTAGGAAAATTGGCTTCATTATTTTATAGACACACAGTAAGGTGCTAGTGTTGACATTGGACATAGCCGTGGACATCTTCCTTCTGTTCATGTATCTGATCGTTCACCCTTTACAAATTATAATAGCACCATTCTTCACTCGATCCTCTTACAAAGCTGACTGAATGAAACGTTAGAAGGTAGCCTGAGTATCAGTATGAATGTGTCAGGAAATTCCTCAGAGTTCAAATTCGTTGCCGTCATTATTCCTCCATACTGAGGATTTTCCCAGCTCAAATTCTCAAATCCTGGAACTCCTTTAAAATGCGCCTTTCCTTCTAGCTCATCTCTAGATCAGGGTTACAAAAGTTGGAATGAAGTGAGACCTTAAGCACTAATCCCTAAAAAGGTAGGCCACTTATTTTAGGTCCTAAATCTCGGAGGATTCTGCAGGCAATGTGAACAAAGAGATTTTCTTGGTTTCCTGACTCTTGATGAAGCAAGAGATTGCTGTTGTTATTTGTACCATCCATGTTTTCTGTTGAAAAAGGAAAAGGTATACATAACTATGAAAGATGAGAATGTTAAACCCACAAATTCTCACATATTTAGATCAATATTTTCTGCCGTATTTATTGACTTGCTCTTTAAAACGGAAGACTAACGAAACATTTGCATATGGTTCCCATTTTCTTTCTCGCATCTCATATAAATACCTCTAATTATGTAGGAAAATGCAAATGGATTAAATGAGTCTGGTATGCAAGTTGGGGAACAGTCGTGAGTAATCAAGGAACCATAATAGTCAATGATGACTAATTAGAATAATGAGTGCTGAGAATATAGATAGTTTGAAAGTTGAGTTTCTTGAACTGACATTTTGTATGAAAACAGAAGTTCTGAACCTATGGTGGAATTGGAAAAACAGACCTGAGGGAAGTGACCCAGGAAATGGAATTTTTAAGAATCATGCAAAATTGCGTTTATTGTCTGGCCGTGTTGTTGCTGTGATGAAAGCCTTCCAGGGGAAATATAAAAATAGAGACTCCAGAGATAAAGAAACTGGAGGGGGGCAGCTGCTCTTTCAACTCCATGGCTGTAAAAACAATGGCATATTTTTAAAGGCTGAGCCGGCTTGACCGGCTCCTTACTGCAGCAGGCTCTTACTTAAGCTGATAGACTTTACTTGCCCTTGGGAAATTGACCAGCGCACCTTAAGTGTTAGTCACACAATCCGATGCAATTCTTCCCCCATTTCCCATAGGAAGTGCAGAACCCAGAGGCAGCCCTTGAGCTTCTGCAGCTGGAAAGAGGTTGTGTCAACTCTGAGGATGTGGGGAAAGCTTGTGAGTGGGATGGGGACTAGATCCCCCACCTCCCACCCCACTCTGCCTCTGCCCTTCCCAGAGCCGGTGAAGGAAACACAAAACTCCATTCACTGTTACTTAAGAGGCTTAGGGTGAGATTTTTCCTTGTGTAAACTCTGAAGAATCAAAGACTTAACAAAATTTAAATACGTACTTTGATGTTTTCCGTCTGGGCTTGCAATAAGAATGCTGCTATACACTGGCGGTATCTGTTCTCATGTTGTATGAGAAAAGCATTTCTCAGCCCAAAGACTAGAAAAAGACGTTAGAAAGACAAAAAGCCGAATCATTTCATACGAAATCTTAGTACAAGAACCTGAGGGGTTGATTTGTGTTTTTAATGAGGGTGGGAGACTTAGGTAGATTCCCCAAAAAATTGATTACAAGGCCAAGGCTGCACTACCACGTCCAAATACAGCCCACTTTAATTCAAAGGCCCTTTCTTCCCTAGCTAACGCCTGGGAACTTGATGAAACGTAGCTGTGGCCTAAGTGATGAGAAAGCAGCTCTTCCAAGCATATTCGGTGAATCTTGTGTGTATGAAAACACAGTAAAAAACGCGGAAGACAATGGACCTTTCTGTTTTGTCCTCTCCTTTTTAAAATGCTTATTTTTGTATTCTAAGAGAAGTTACGTCAAAACGAGGTGTATCAACAAATTAAGATGTGGCAAAAATACAAAACCACCTGAATGCTTCATGACAGGCCAAGAAAAACCAAAAAAAAAAAAAAAAAAAAATCTGATTCAAAGAAAAGGCAGGATTCCACTAACTTGTGTGAAATGTAAAATAAAACAAACACCAAAAAGGATGTTGGCCTGGTTTCTGTGTCTGTCAAAGAAAGTCTGTTCTGTCATTTCCTCTTGGTCTCAAAGAAATGACAGGACTATTGGGTTATACAGGGGTTTTTTCGTTCGTTTGTTTTAATACAGTAGGAGCTCTTAAAATGAAAATCTCTTCCTAAAATTATTACTGCAATGGAGGGAATCAAATTCTACAGTTTGTCCTTCTTTCTACAGTCCATTAATGTTTAGAAACAAACAAACAAACAAAAAAACCAGAGCTGTGCTTGCTTCAGCAGCACATATACTCAAATTGGAACGATACAGAGAAGATTAGCATGGTCCCTGCCCAAGAATGACACTCAAATTCGTGAAGCATTCCATATTTTTAGCCCTGTCCCTCACAGCAATAAAGAGTCTGCTGACTTCTTAGCCACCTAAAAACCAAACCAAACCAAACCAGGGCTGTCTCCTGCCCACACCTAATACTTCAGGAAACAGAAAAAGCTGGTGGCTTTTACTCCTAATTAGTCACGAAGCTGATGCTTGCTCACAGCCCTGTTTGTATTCGTTGACGTTTGTGAGTTTAACTCAGTCTTTTCGGAGGTGGATTGGGCTTCGTTTCAGAATCCAAGTAACTCTAAGAACCGTTCCAGTACCACAGATTATACTCTGAACAGCCTAAACCTCATAATTCCTAAATTCTGCTGTAACCAAGTCTGTTAAGGTCAGGTCATGCCATTCTGTCCAGCTTCCCTGGGTGAGAGAACGTCTACCCATTAAAATGACTTTTGGCGGGAAAAATGTGTCTGTGTTGGTTCTACTCCCCAATTCTTCTCCATATCAATTCCCTGGAGCAGGCAGGGCTTTAATGCTCAGGTGGTTGTTTTGGGCTCGTTTTTGGAACCCTCAAAAACCCTTACAATGCCTCAAACATTGTAACTGTAGTTCTCAGTTCACTCAAGGCATCCCTTATCCCTTTGGTCTTTAATGTTGGTGGGAAGGACTATGTTGGTGGCTAGGCCTGTAAAACACAAGGAGATAGTATATAAACAGGGATAGCTCTTTTCTCTCTGACACTTTTAATATAATAATTGACACTGTAAAGCATTTTCTATCTATTGGGCACCATGCTGTTCTCCTTTTTTTTTTTTTTTTTTGTCATTTAAACCATACAGCAACCCTAAAAAAATAGGTCAGCTAATTCCCACTTGCGAAAGAGGAAACAGACTTAAATTAATTTTTCCAAGGTCAAGCAGCTTGTAAATGACGTAGCTGGGATTTTAAATTAGGTCCCTGGGACTGGAAACTCAATCTCTTTCTTTGGTCCCCATTGACTCTTTCCCGCTATTCTCATCCGCTACCTCTGAACAGTCAAGATAACAGACCAGAAAAACGAGACAAAGACTTAAGGAACGAGATGGTAGTCACAAATCTTTTTTTTTTTTTTTTTAAAGCGGGAACACAGTTTTTAAAAAAGGTGTCGTTTTCATTTAAAAAAGGAAGAAATGGGGGGAAATGAGCATCATATCCCAAGATAATCCACTGATGTCAGATTTCCCATTAAGTCCAGGTCTTAGAGCTGGCAGGGCCATGACTAAACCGAGTTCTCAGCCAAGCTGAATCTCTTCTTCCTCACCGGGGAGCTCGCCAAGGGGGTGGTTACAGCCCCTTTCTCCACTCGGGTCCATTCATCATGCCAGAATTTCTAACTGTAGCCTCTGTAGTGAGAGGCTAAATTCCAGTATAGGATGCCCTCCACTATGATATTTTTTCCCTGAAAAATGGAACTGATTTCCAGGCCCCAAGTGCTGAATCTGGTTTATCTATCTCCTTTGCCATCCTTGGAGCAAGAAGCAGACGGAAGTGTACCCAGCAGGCAGAGGGTGCAACCCTGACGGGATCCCTGCAGGTTTGCTCCTGAACTTGCTTGCTGGCTCGTGCAGACTTTGGCCCCGATCGGTGATTTTCAACTGGGGTGCCACGGCACACAGGGGTGCATAAGAGGATCTTAGGTACGCCATGAAAATTTTTGAAGATGATTAATTAAATTATTTTTGAAAGAAGTTCAAAGCACAGTAAGTATATATATTTTTTCACTCTTCTCTTTTTGATTGACATAATTTAAGTGCACCGTGAATATTGAAGTATGGGTTCAAGTTTGCTGTGAGATTAAAAAAAGGTTGAAAAGCACTGGCCTGTGTAGACTGTGATTGGGTTCAATCAAATCAAGTACAAGCAGCCTGTAGGCCTTTCCTTGTCGCTTTTCAGCAAATCCTACTGAACGCAGAAAGAATAAACACAGGAGGCAGATGGCTCTGTTTCTGGATAGGGCTTTCCCCTCTGCACTCGGGGAGAGAGGTTGCAGCTATTCAAAGCTACTATGTGTGCAGCATTTAAATATATAACCTAGTTCTATAGCGTAACCACATAAATGCTCCCCATTATTACTTGATAGTCATTTGTTCATGCTTTAAGTTGCTCTAGTATGGATGGATTTGTTCTATGCTAGTCATTGAAGTCACTGGGCTCACTTGCTGGGGTGGCCGTGGAGGGACATGGTGAATGTCCCCTTTTCCTCCAGGCACTACAGGAGCACAGTCCCCACCTGCCTGGCTCGGCTGGGCGAGGCCCCTGGTGCTCCTGAACACTGTTACCACCTACCCAGCCCTGAGGAGACCGAAATGTCCTTCAAGTTCCCTCAGAAGGACTTTGTTAACAAAGGATTTACTGATCTTCCATTATTCTTAGAGCACCCCATGGACAAGGGCTGTTTCTTATTCATCTTTGTATCTGCAGGGCCTGCTGAGTGCCTGGCTCCCAGGAGACAAATGGGAAATGCTTGAATAAAAGATTAGAAATGATATGTATAACCTGCTTTTTGAAATTATCTTTTACTTTTATTTATAAATATGAGTTATTTTGTGAGACTTTGGGAAAAAAATAAGAAGTTAACTGATGACTTCATGCTGAACCTCAGAGTCAAAGCATTCTATAATAGACATACTCATATTTGACAATGTGAATGCTACTTTCTTTGCATTATTATTATTGATTAATATTTGGATGCAGCAATCATCTGATTTCTGAGTATATTTATCATCATTCGTTCTTTACGAGGTTTTTGTGTCTCATCCTTATCATCAACATTGTTATTGTTATTAAATTTTGAGCCTTTTTAATTTTGTGAAGGCAAAAAGTGGAAACCTAATAAATACGTGTTTATGTAAAACTAAATAATTAGAATCAAATTAAATATTTTGTAAAAAAGAAATGATATATATTTCTGATGTGTGTGTGTGTGTGTGTGTGTACACATGCTTGTATGTGTATATATTGATAGATAATATTTATATATTTAATTTCTGGCATATTTCTTTCCAAAGCATAACAGAATGCTTGCATAGCCCATCAGGGTTTACTGGTACTTTAACAATAATAGTACTAATAATATCACTATAGTATTAGAATACGAACAACACCTATCATTTATCGACTACATTAGATGTGTTATTTCCTTTAATTCTCACAAAAACCCATGGAGGTGAATATTATTATCCCCATCTTACTGAGAGGACCCTGAGGTTTAGAAAATTGCTAAGGTCATACAGCTAGCAAGGGGCAGAGCTGGATCATCCTAGCATTGGCCGTGATAACTAATTCATAAAGTGAGTGACATATAACCATATACGAACACAGTCTTATCTTTTATGAAGACTTTAATTAGATTCATGTCCTGCTACCAAAATACACCAATATAAAACTTGCAGTATAAAACTCATGATGGCCAACAAACAAGCCGAATAACAAAAATAAACACATACCTGACACGTGGAGTGGATCGATACTTTTGACCACCAATCTATCGAGAGGAATAGGCTGATCGAGCACTGTACACGAACCACCCTCCTTTATTACGGTTTGCAGCTCAGGAGTAAGAGAAGGACACATTAAACTAGCGTCTGAGCCCCCAACTTTCTGAAAATTAATAAGGAGAATAATGCAATAAATAGGAAATAAACATTGGTGCATGAGCCTGCATTATTATGCAAATAGATTCTTAAAAACAATTGAAATCTAGCTTTCAGGGTCATGAAAAGCATTTCCCCAAAGCATAGTGATTTAAAGTAAAGCATTTCTGATTCTCTAAGTTTAATTATGTGAGTAAGTAAATCACCATCATCAGTGGGAAGGTCTTCATCCTCAGGGTCTTAATCTCTCTATAGTATTGAGTTTGATGAATGAGAAAGGAGGGTCTCCTTTTGGCTGACACTGTGGACACTATCTATTAATAATACTAAACTCTAGATTCCATGCTGCAGAATTTGCAAATAACTGAAATTATTTTTGAATATATCAGATGCTGAATTTTTTCAAAAAGGTGTAAAATATTGTGATTTGCATGATATGTATTGTACACAAAATAGCAAAGAGACATGTAAACTGACAATAGTCCTTATTTGAGAATCAAGTTGTGAAGCAAGAAGCCAGAATATCACCTCATCAACATGGGCTGCCTTAAATTCATGTGTTCTGATTTGTACCATTATTTAAGAGAAGGTCAGTTGTGGTAATATTGAAGTTTTTGAAAGGGGTAGAGATTTTTGGAGTTTGGCTTTGGCTTGTTCAGACATGGTAGTCTGAGCAACCTGAAGTAGGAGGCTGTACATTCCCTAACTGTGACCCTTAATATTTTCCAACAGCCCAGCCATCAATCAGCTACTGATAGATTGATTAATGGGTGTCTACTTGATTGCTTAAGGGAACCTGCAGCTTTGACACCGTTACAACTGGCCTTCTGGAATCCTGAGTGTGGCCTTTTGGCTGAATCCAAATTTTACAGAACAAATCCTTTTAATAAAGGAGGAAGGGATATTCCCAATCTTATTCTATGATACCTGTGTCACCTTGATAGCAAACTCAGCCACAAACCCAACCAAAAAAGAAAACTACAGGCCAATATCTCTGAAGCACATAACTGCAAAAATCCTCAAGAAATATTAGCAGACAAAATTTAACACATTAAAAAGATGATTCATCATGGTCAAGTGGGATTCATCCCAAGGATGAAAGAATGTTTCACCATATGCAAATCAATCAATATGAGACATTGTTTCAGCAGAACAAAGAACAAAAAACATATGATCTTTTCAATTGATAATGAAAAAGCATTTGATAAAATTCAACATCCCTTAATGATAAAAACTCTCAAAAACATGGGTATAGAAAGAACTTACCTCAACACAGTAACAGCCATATGTATGGCTGAAACTAGGCTCCTAACTCTCGTTGTATACAAAAATCAAATCAGAATGCATTAAAGCCTCAAATCTAAGACCTAAAACTATGGAAATACTAAAAGAAACCATGGGGAAACACTTCAGGACACTGGTCTCGGCAAGGACTTCTGTGGTAGTCCTGAAGCATAAGCAACCAAAGCAAAATTGGACAACTGGGATCACATCAAGGAAATAGTGAACAAAGTGAAGCGCCACCTACAGAGTGAGAGAAAACATTTGTACACTACCCATATGACAAGGGATTAATAACTAGGATACATAAGGAGCTCTAACAACTCAATAGGAGAAAAATAAAAAAATATGATTAAAAAATGGGTAAAGGATCTGAATAGACGATTCCCCACGGAATACACAGAAATGCCTAATAGATCAATGAAAAAATGCTCAACATATCAGCCATCAGAGAGATGCAGGTCAAACCACAATGAAATATCTTCTCACCCCAATTAAAATGGCTTTTAGCAAAAACACAGGCAATAACGAATCCTGGAGAGGATGTGGAGAAAGCAGAAACCTCGCACACTGTGAGTGGGAATGTGAATTAGTGCAATAATATGGAGGACAGTTTCTCAAAAAACAAAACCACTATGTACACGGCCCAGTAATCCCACTGCTAGATGTATATCTGCAGGAGGGGAATTCAATAAAGCAGATAGCTTTATTGAAAAGCTATCTGCTCTTTCATATTTTATTGTAGTCACAGTAGCCAAGATAGGGGATCAACCTATGTGTTCATCAGTGTATGAATGGATAAAGAAATTGGGGTATAAATATAAAATGGAATATTATATAGCTACAGAAAGAATGAAATACGGTCATTTGCAGCAACCTGGATGGAACTGGAGAACATTATGTTAAGTGACATAAACCAAACACAGAAAGATAAGTCTTGTTGTGTTCTCACTCCTATGTAAGAGCTAAATATTAAAAACAACTGGTCTCATGGAGACAGAGAATATAGTAATGGTTACCAGAGACTGGGAAGGGTAACAAAGGGCAGGGGATATAAGGGGGATGGTTAATGGGTGCAAAAATATATTTAGATAGTTAGAATGAATAATATTTGATAGCACAACAAAGTGATTATAATCAACAATAAATTAGGGTATACTCATCTGAAAGAGTTTAATTAAAATGTTCTTTTTTAAAAATTATTTTTTATTAAATCATAACTTTGTACACTGATGCATTTGTGGGGTTCAGGGTACTGCTTCGATATACCATGTGAAATGCTTACATTGAACTAAGTAACACATCCATCACAATTATACTCGTTTCTTAATAGTTTTAAAATGTACCATTGCATCATGCACATTAGGTGAGGTCCCCCAAATGCCCTTCCTTCTCCCATTCCCCGCTCCTCCTCTTCCCTTCTACTTTCTGGAATATAGTTATGTTTTGCCATTCATATGAGTGTGTAGGTGGTTATATTTTGATTTCATAGTAGTATTGAGTACATTGGATACTTTTTTCCCCATTCTTGAGATACTTTGCTAAGAAGAATATGTTCCAGCTCCGTCCAGGCAAACATAAAAGATGTGAAGTCTCCACCTTTTTTAAGGCTGCATAGTATTCCATGGTGTACATATATCAAAATTTGTTAATCCATTCATGGGTCGATGGGTACTTGGGCTGTTTCCATGTCTTGGCTATTATGAATTGGGCTGTAATACACATTATGGTGTAAATGTCTTTTTTGTAAAATACTTTTTGATCATTTGGGTATATACCTAGTAGAGGAATTGCAGGATTGAATGGTAGGTCTACTTTTAGTTCCTTGAGTGTTCTCCAAACTTCTTTTCAAAAAGGTCATATTATCTTGCATTTCCACCAGCAGTGTAGAAGCATTCCCTTCTCTCCCCATCCACACCAACATTTTGGGACTTTGTGATGTGGGCTAATCTTACTGGAGTTAGGTGATTTTGATTTGCATTTCTCTGATGATTAAGGATGATGAGCATTTTTTCATGTGTTTGTAGGCCATGTGCCTGTCTTCATCAGAGAAGTTTCTGTTCAAGTCTCTTGCCCACATAGAAATGGGGTTATTTATTCTTTTTTTATTGTTTGAGTTTGAGTTCTCTGATGATTCTAGTTATCAGACCTTTGTGGGAAGCATAACCTGCAAAAATCTTCTCCCATTCTGAAGGTTGTCTATTTGCTTTAGTTACTGTGCTTTTGGCTGTGCAAAAGCTTTTTAGTTTAATCAGATCCCAGTAATGTATTTTTGGTGTTGCTTCAATTGCCCAGGGGGGTCCTCCTCATAAAATATTCTCCCAGGCCAATTTCTTCAAGTGTTTTCCCTGTATTCTCTTCTAGTATTTTTATAGTTTCTTGTCTTAAGTTTAAATCTTTTATCCAGTGAGAATCAATTTTTGTTAATGGTGAAAGGTAGGGGTCCAGTTTCAGTCTTCTGTAGGTCATCAGCCAGGTCACCCAGAAATTTGTTAAATAGGGAGTGTTTCCTCCACTGAATATTTTTGATAGACTTGTTGAAGATCAAATGGCGATTAGTGTCTGGGTTCATCTCTTGGTTCTCCCTTCTGTTCCACAAATCTACCGCTCTGTTTTTGTGCCAGTATCATGCTGTTTTGATCACTATTGATTTAAAGTCTGAAGTCTGGTAATGTGATACCTCCTGATTTGTTCTTATTTCTGAGTAACGTATTTGCTATTCGAGGTTTATTCTGATTCCATATAAAATGAAGTACTATTTTTTCAAGTTCTGGAAAGTATGACAATGATGCTTTAATAGGGATTGCATTAAATCTGTAGATTGCTTTCGGTAGTATGGACATCTTAACAATGTTGGTCCTTCCCAGCCATGAGCATGGTACGTTTTTCTATTTGTTTACATCTTCAGCTATTTCTTTTCTCAGCATTTCATAGTTCTCCTCATAGAGATCTTTCACATCCTTTGTTAGGTAAATTCCCAGATAATTTCTTTTTTACATATATATTCTTATTTATTTATTTATTTTTGCAGTTTTTGGCTGAGGCTGGGTTTGAACCCTCCACCTCTGGCATATGGGGCCGGTGCCCTACTCTTTGAGCCGCAGGCGCCCCCCCGCCCCCAAATTCCCAGATATTTCATTTTCTTTGGCACATTGTAAAAGGAATAGAGTCCTTGATTGTTTTTTCAGCTTGAGTATTGTTGGCATATATAAAAGCTACTGACTTGTAAGTATTGATTTTGTATCCTGAGACGCTGCTGTATTCCTTGATCACTTCTAAGAGTTTTGAAGTTGAGTCCCTGGGATTTCCCGGTATAGTATCATGTCATCAGTGAAGAGTGAGAGTTTTGATCTCTTCTGACCCTGTTGGGATACCCTTGATCACCTTTTTTTGCCTGATTGCCATGGCTAAGACTTCCATTACTATGTTGAATAGCAGTGGAGACAGTGGGCATCCTTGCTTCATTCCTGATCTGAATGGAAATGATTCCAATTCTACTCTCCATTCAATATGATACTGGCTGTGGGTTTGCTGTAGATGGCCTAAAATGTTCTTGACACAAAGAAATGTTAAGCGCCTGAAGTGATGGAAAACCCAATTACCCTAATTTGAATAATTCACATCTCACACCTGTATCAAAACATCACGTGTATCCTATAAAGACATACAACCATTATGTCCCCATAATGATTAAAAGTAAAAAATTTGAAGACATATACCTCCCTAGATGTCCTTGAGAAATGTAATTTGCTTTTGTTTTTATTTTTGTTTCCTCAATTCAGAGCTATCTGACTAAAAAGACCAATATTTTATAACGCCTCCATCTTTAAAAGGGAGAGAGATTCAATCTGATGTGTAAGAATACATTTTAACACAACACATTTAGAACGATTTCTAAACTTCTTCAGCAAACGTATTTAAAAATGGCAGCACTTTACCTTTTTGTTGCGCTTAGTTTTGGTAACTAAGAGGAAATCATCAAAGAGAAACAGGTAGACGTCTAGGAATCTCGTGCTTTCTGAGGAAAGAAAGAGAAGGTGAAGTGGGGACCTGAAATAGTAGTAGGGTTTTTTCTTTAACTTAATGAATTCCTTAATTAACCAAAGGGTGGGTATTATGATACACCTGGGGGCTGTGAGCACCTAGGTCAGCAAACTGCCCGCATCAGTGTGGACTTGATTTCTTCCTAAAGCAGACTGGGTTAGAACCCAAGCTCCCGACTTTGAAGACAATTGTATTTGTGATGCATCTCATGTGAATCTGAGATAATTCAGGTGGTATTTGTAATGGCTTCAAATAAGCCTGGGACACATCCATTAACTAATTGAACTTGGGGCATTTCAGCCTCTTGATCCGTCTGGGTGGTTACTGGCAAAGGCACCTATTATAAGAGAAAGGCATTTTGTCGCTGATATGGACTATGAAGTCGTGTCCCTGCAAATTTTGTATGTTGGAGTCCTAACCCCCAGTGCAGCTGTATATGGAATAAGAAAGTCATTAAAACGAGGTCAAAAGGCTCAAGCCCCGATCCCGGAGCATTAGTGTTCTGATAAGAGGAGGCTCCAGGGATCTTCCTCTCTCTCACCCTATAGAGAGGCCCCATGAGGAACTGACCTTGACCTGGCACTTCCCACTCTCCACACTGTGAGAAATGAATTTCGGTTGTTTCAGCCCCTCATTTTCCAGTATTTTGTTATGGCGGCCCAGGCCGACGAAGACCATCGTGAAAACTGCTTATATCTCGAGTGTTACAGCATGTTGGAGAAGGTTTAAATATTCTCATGTAGTTGAGAATATTTATTTACACACTTTTCTGATATTACTTTTGATAGTTACTGTAGGTGAACAGGCTTCTTTACTTTTCCTTAGGAAGGGAATAAAAGAAAGAGAAACTAAATTTTAAAGTATCTCCTTCCTTATTTCACACTATTCCTTAGAAATTAGAAAACTAGAAATGGTTAAATGTAAGGATTTCAGAGGACAAGGCAGTCTGTTTAGAGGGGGATGTGACAGGTACTTAAAGTAAACATAGGAAAACTCAGTAAGCTTTTTTAGTTTGTCTATTTCTTCACTTATTTCTAGAAGTTCTTTCTCACATTCTTTTATCCTTGGAAGTCAGGTGGCAAAGGTTAAACTTAAGAGATAATACATTTAGAATTCATTTCTTTCTTTCCTTCTTTCTTTTTTTTGAGACAGAGTTTTACTTCATCACGCTGGGCAGAGTGCTGTGGTGTCATAGCTCACAGCAACCTCTCACTCTTGGGCTCACAAGATCCTCTTGCTTCAGCCTCCCAAGTAGTTGGGACTATGGGCATGTTAAGTGCCTGAAGTGATGGAAACCCCAATTGCCCTAATTTGAATAATTCACATCTTTTCTGTTTTTAGTAGAGACCGGGTCTCGCCCTGGCTCAGGCTGATCTCAAACTCCTGAGCTCAAGGGACCCTCCTGCCTCAGCCTCCTAAAGTGCTAGGATTGTATGTGTAAGCCGGTGAGCCCAGCCTTGGATTCATTTCTATCTCCTTTTTCTACTTTAAGTTTAGAGGCATGGTTCTGTCTATATTTGCATAGAAGAGAAATCAGGCATTTTATTCAATCTGGATAGTCTTTGAATATCTTTTAAAAATTGTAACCCATCACTATCGGAAACTTTACTGCTGGTCTCTCAGAAATCATTCTCCCTTTCTTTTGCAGTGATGGAATTCCTGAGTTTTAGTGAGTACACACCCACTAAGAATAAATACTACATCTTCTACAACTAAATTCTGACCAGGACTGTGAGCAAAAGTACACAACTTGGCAAGTTCTGAGTCCTGTCTCACTGGGCAGAGTACAGATATGTTGGTGAATCATCTTGGGCCACAGAGAAGAAAGGAATAATCTAGAGTTGGAAATGAGACAGAAGACACCTTGGTTCCTTATCACTTCACGAAGTGAAGCTGTCACATAGCTCAAGACTTAACATGAGGGAAATAAACTATCTTTTCAGGTGACTGTTATCTATCTCTGTCTCCAATGCCTGAATCTATACGCCAGCTGATACATGTACACAGGACTGGGATTGGAACAACACTAGACCTTTATCTTAGCTCAGAATGCCATAGCAAAAAACCATAGGGGCTTAGATAATAGGAATTTATATCTCACAGTTCTGGGGGCTGGGATGTACCAGATCAATGTCATCAGCCAATTCAGTTCCTGGTAAGGGCTCTCTTCCTGGTTTGCAGACAACCACCTTCTGGATATGTTCTTACACAGCAAAGAGAGAGTGTGAGATCTAGAGACTCTCCTCAGTACAGCCAAGCCTCAATCTCTTCTTTACTCTCTCAGAGTAAAGAATCACTCCCCACCGGAGAGGCAACCTCACACCACCACAGAGAGGCAACCTCCCATCCCAAAGGGCTTCACGCTGGCTGGTGCCCAACCAAGGTTTGGGTTTTGTGCAACAATGGGTAATGAGTGAGTGCAAGTCTTATTTCAGCCAGGCAGTCCTTTCTGGTCATCATAATACAGTATAACCTCTTTAAGTTGACCACCCAAGGGACTGCAACATGCTAGTCATAACACAGAGCTGGTCATCAAAAAGGACTAGGCCTACTGTACTGACCTGCGCATTTGGTGCATGAAAATTAGGAGGTGGTCAGCGTAGGGAGGTGATCAACCAAGGAGGCTCTGCTGTACGTATTGAACAGAAACATTGCGCCAATTGTTCTTTCAACTGTTTGTCCATATGTTGCTTCATTTAATGCTCACGACAAAGAAGGGTAAACTGAGGCATGGGAGGTCACTGGCCCAAGGTTGCAGAGACTGAAAAAACCAAGCAGGGCCTGATCCAGGCAGCCAGCCCCAGGAGTTTGCTCTCCAATGGCCTTTGTTGGAAGCCTGGACTCTCAGGGGCTGCCCTTCCTCCTACCCGTCAATTAATGGCAATTGAACAAATTATAAGGAAGCAAAGATGTTGAGTTTCTCAAGGAAGTGGTTATTTACCTGCAAGAGTTAATTTGCCTTCATAGAGAAGGTGTCGGTTGGTTGGTGACAAGATGTTTTCGGCCATGTGTTCCTTAAAAATGTGTTTCAAACCCTTGCAAGACAAAGGAGAAAATCAAAGAGACGCTGTTAGCGCCTGGGGGAGCATGATCAAGGAGCGGGGACAAGCAACTCCATCCAGAAAGGTCACAACATTTAGAAATGCCAGTGGATGGACATGGGAATGAGGAGGAATGGGAAAATCTCTGAAAAGGACCATCCCAGGGATGCCACAGGGACGTCAGCCTCCCCACATACAATGCCCCATGAAGGCTTTGCTTCTTGATCATAAAATTAGATTTATTCTTCAAGTGGACAGAGGGAGACTTTCTAAGATAGTTGAGTTTCCACCAAGCTTCTGGAAAGGCATAGAAGTCCTAATTGATCCTTCTTTTGTACCTCTGGAATGAAAAACCTTTTATCTCTATCCCAAAGTGGAGGCCACACTATAATCTCCTGTAGTTGTCTAAATTTTTGGAAATTGTCCAGCCACTTTACTTTTCCTTCAAGGTCCCCTGAAAGACAAGACACATTCAATATATATTTACATGCATGTGACATAGTAGCATCGTTTTAACCAGGTCCACAGCAGAGACGCTGGCTGCTGTTGGAGCCAAACCATAGTGCAGGCTCATTTGACATAGGCTTACGGTTCAGGTGTCTTAGAAAAGTCACTAATTGGAAGTCAGGCTGTTGGAGTTAAAAATGAAGCTTCACAAATTTAATTCAGTTAGTTGGAAATGTATTGTGCAGTTTTAATTCAATAATACTAATAGAGCTCTTGGTAGTTTTTTCTTATTCCCTATACCATGAAGCCAATAATTAGAGGAACAAAAGCAAATCAGAGTAACAAGGGCAAACATATCTTTTTGTACAGATCCTAAAACACTTATTCACTTCATGATGAAGATGACGATTTCTTTTTGATAAGAACTCAATTTCTCTTTTAAAGGTTTGTATTAATTTTCCAACATTTTACAACAAAATCCCAAGGTTGTTATGGGATTCTGAAATGAGTTTTGCACACGTGGAGAGCAAGCCACATGCACCAAGAATCACATTGTTAAGGTTGTTTGAGGGAATCCTTGAGATTCATCTTTAAGGTAATAGACTCAAAGAAAGGCCATACAGATTCCTCCCTTCACCAGTGAGAGTCCAACTTTCCTTGAGAAATCTCCAGTGGAGCTGCCATTATCTTCCCTCATAAACCTATTCAAATGAATAATAATCCATAAAATTAAAAAAATGCAATTTATTTAAAAAATTCTTTAATGGAGTTTTTGTCTTATTCACTTAATAAACTTAATTCCAGTTCCTCAAGTAATTTTAGAATTTGAATAAAAAATTTAAGAAAAGAAATTCCCAACTAAAGGGCCATTTTACTTTTTAAACATGCAAAAGAAAAAGAACACCATTTCTGCACAGCTGATAATTATCAAATTGAAATATTCCCTTTTGATGCCTACCAGGAAATCCTGGTTTCTGGATACAAATCAGGGACCTCTTTAGTCGAATTTCTATTACACAGAGCCATGTAAGTCAGCTTAGGGCTTGGTCCGTTCCCATCCCCATCTTTCAGCTGTAAACACTGACATTATTTTCACCCTGGCCCTGGATTTCAGTGATTTACAAAATGATGAATGGTAATTTATCCTCCGGATACACTTTTCATAGTGTTTATTCCCACTTGCTTTGTGTGTGGGTTCAGTATGAATGTTAAAAACAAAGTACCTTCAATAATCTGGGAAGTAGAACTTTTCCTGCCTGAACTCACTTCTGAGGCCCTTGGAGACAGAGCCACGTCCTGTGTAAAGTCCATTTAGTGTTCTCATAACACTCCAGGATGTGACTGGAGCCCATTGTTCTGTGTGTGTTTGATTTACAACGCACTCTGACTTGAGTCTGCCTTTCCGACAGTCATGACCTCAACTCAATGGAATTACCTTCTAGGATGGAAGTCCAGATGGTCCCCAGGAGCCACAGGGCCCCAGCTCTTTAATTCAGCTCACTTATCTCATAGACTTACGGATTGACCTGTCCACCCTTTCCTTGATGGAGTAGATCATGACTTTCTCAGCTGGGTCTGTGCTCCTTTTCCAGATATTCTTCAGCAACAGTGGATATCGTGTGAGCCTGTGCAGTGGGGCCACCAGCAGCTCTGGCAGGTGGAGACGTCGGCATTGCTCATTTTGCTCACACCACTGGGGAAAGCAAAAGCAGACACGTGAGAATATCACTTCTCCTGTGGGGGCTCTAAGAAGCCTGGACGTGAGAAGTTCTCAGAGATTTTACTCACTAAGGACAGGATGTACTTGGGAACCTGTTGGGGAAATTTATGAATGAGGCTCTTGAAAATTCCATATTAAACTGTATCAGTGCTAAACCCAGGGTCTGAATCTAGACTCTTATTTTTTTCATTTTTTGCCAAGACAGAGTCCCACCCTATTCCCTGAGCATTGTGCAATGGCGTCGTAGCTCACTGCAACCTCAGACTCAGGCTGTGGGCATCCTGCTGCCTCAGCCTCTGAAGCCGCTAGGATTACAGGCGCTTGCAGTGGCACCCGACAAGGTTTTTCCATTTTTTTCATGAGTCGGGATCTCACTCTTGCTCAGACAAGCCTTGAACTCCTGAGCTCAAGCAATCCTCCCGCCTCAGCCTCCCACAATGTGAGGATTACAGGTGTGAGCTATGGTGCCTGTATAGGCTCTTAGATTGGTTTAAGAAGTATTATTGACTATTACTGACTAACATTGTTACTTTTCAGTTAAAGAAATGAAAGAATCCTTCTTTAGATGTTTTGCCTTCCCAGAAATGGTGATGAAGTCAGTAGCCTTCAGATCACTTATAACTCCACCACTCAGTCCTCCTCAATGGGGAAATTTAACAAGAGTTGAGAGTACAAGAAAAGTTTCAAACTCACCAAGTCCCCTAAAACGGCATGTTCCGTTAGTAGTAGTAATAAGATGTGTTAATATATGTGTTCCAGCTTTGCTTATCTTTCTCATTTGAAGGTTTAGTTTCGCCCACAGGTTGCTTGTTCCTGTCCTTGCTGTGATGCAGTCAGGAGGATGGAGAATCAAGAGCGGAGACAGGGGTGGGAGGGGTGGGAGGGGAGGAAGGATTCGCCCTGGTTGGGTCAGTTTCTTGTCTCTCTTTTGTTGGGGAGAATCAGGGTACTGATGAAAAGTGAAGAGAGAATGAAAGTAGAGGTTGGAGAGGCAAAGTTGATCTCCATGATCAGGGTAAAGAGAAGAGAAGAGAGGGCTAAATACAGATAATTTTCAATAGGGAGAGTCTGCATTTGGAGTTTGGAGGAAGTTACAGTTCTAGAGTATTTGGATGCTGGGGAAACCTGAACAAAGAATTTCACTAAGTATTGCTGTGGACTATCCATTGGACTTCCATAACTGATATTTGAGAAACCCAAGTAAACATGAGGATAGCATTGACATTTGTTTTATCTGCCAGGCTGTTTCTTTGACTGTGACACAGTTCTTTAAGGGGCTCCAGCTTTTACCAAGGTGACACATGACCTAAGGAGGTGGGTCGCAGGTCAGTATGCACATCAAGAAGGACTATGGGGAGGTGTTTTCTTCCTCTTATCTTACTCCAGCCACTCATACCAAATTTGTCTTGAGTCCAGCCACAAGGGCCTGAAGGTTTGGTTCCCTCCAGATTCACACACTGAAACCCCAACCCTCAATGGGACGGTGTTAGGTGGTGGTGCCTTTGGGAGGGATTAGGTTATGAGCATGGAGTCCTCATGAGACTGATCCCAGAGAGCTCTCTCAATCTTTCCCCACAATGTGCGGATACAAAGAGAAGATAGCTGTCTGCAACTCAGAAAAGGGCCCTCGCCAATCCCTGAACGGGATGATCCCCTGATCCCAGACTTCCAGCTTCCAGAACTGCGAGAAATAAATTTTTGTTGTGTATAAGCCACCGGTCTATAGTACTTTGTTTCTGTGCTCATACTGACTACAGCAGGAATCCTGCCCTTTTACTAAACATTTCTCCTGCTGGAGCTGGTTGCTTCTTTTCTACCTTTGATTCAAACCCAGATTAACTGCCTTGTGATCCCTCAGGACCATCCTTGGGTAGACCAGGCACAATGTGGGCAGCTCCCTTGCTTCCTCAAAGATGTCTTTATGTCACTGCAAAATGGCAGCCCTTGCACTTCAGTGGTCTAGGCATGGTTGGCTCAATCCCCCACTAGTACAGTAGCCCCTCCCTAGATAATTACAAACTTACAAGGACTGAGAGTCTAATGGCTTCTCTGGCCCCTGAACTCCTGTGTACATATACATTATTTCCTCCCTGAACAGCATAAACTAAACTTAGATCCTTGGTTGGTCTTCTAGGTCAGTACCCAGTGTAAACCCATTCATGTCAAAAGTTTTGTGAGTGTGCATATTTATTTTACTGAAGATTTTGGGTTGTGGAGGGGTCAGATACACAGCCCACAGTCCCTTCTGCTATTTTACTGGCTCTATCCTCGTCTTTGCAAACAGAGCTCTTTGCCTCCTACTTAGTAATTTGTCTTTCATAGTTTGACCAAGTCCCTGGGAATGTCCTTTAGAACATTCTGGCACCTCCTCAGGGGAATTGTGCCCAATAGAGTCTTCTCCACTCTGAGTGAGCACAGGGGAGCAGGGAGCTTTGGGCTTCAGGAGCCAGGTTACAGGGATTGCCTTCTCCTCTCTGGACCTCTGATTCCTCTTCTGTGAAATGGTGGAGGGTATCCAAAGATCTCCAAGTTCTCATCCAGTTCCAGATGGTGGTGGTCCTCATTGGAGTTGGCAGAGATGGAGCAGAAAGCAGGCAGATGAGAGGAGGCCGGGAGTGGCAGGGGGCAGACCTGTACTTTTAGTGGCTGAATTCCATGCTGACTAGCTGGCAATAGCATTCCAGCACTGTCTGTGGTCCCCTTGGGTGGCTGGAAGTTCTTGTGACTGATTTCTCAAAACACACAACCCTGAGGCCACTGCCCCAAATTTCCCTGCTTTGGGGAACAGTTGTGGCTGCTGGAGACCACTGGTATTCAGGGCAATTATGAAAACGCCAATCTCCAAATGACAATCAGGCAAGAAGCATCACTGGTAAATAATTTAGACAAAGATCCAGGCAGGGATAATGGAAGCTGTTAGTATTTTGGAAAACCTCAGAAAAGAGAAAAAAAGTTTGTTGACAATTATAAAAGAAAAGTTATAAGTTTTTCTTTCATCTCTCTATTGCCTTTATTTTTCAGGTCCATTAGGGAAAACAAAGAACATTTCTATCAAAAAATATTAGACATAAAAAGCCTTTTGACTGACAGGTCTAGATTGATGAAGGCTACTTTCACTTTATAATAAATACCTATGTGTTTAGGGGAGCTCTAATAGGGCCCAAGATAAAAATGTTCTCTAATAAATCTGTCCTGGTGGGACACAGCAGTGGGCTGGGGCAACCAGCATTCTTGGAACCTTGGGAAATTTACTTACCCTCTCTAAACCTCATCTGAGAAATGTAGATAATAAGACTAACTACCTCCTTGGGTTTGTGGGAGGTTTTAATGAGATAATCCACGCCAAGTGCTTAGAACTATGCTTGGCACATCACAACACCCAGTTTACGGTAGTGTTGGGTAATCAAGCCACACTAAGAGACCAGGTGCAAAGTTCTAAGTCTCTTCCTCTGCATCATTTTAATTGTTTCTAAGTGACTGGGAAGAATCTGACTTCCATTAATGGAAATGTACCAGGATAATGTACATATGATACATTCATAAAACCCAGCCTCACATGGTATGGAGGGTAAATTCATCTCAGTGGATTTATGGGTTCATTTCAGGCCATCCATGACATGACACAGATTTAATTTTTCCAAGACCGTTGTTTATAACAGGGCATGAAAGTTAGATTTCAGACATGTGTGAATTCAAATCTGACCTCTACCCCAGAACAACAAGTACCCTACAGTAAGTTGCCTAACCTCCTGACAAATTAGAGTAGTATCAGGTTCCATAGAGTTATTCTGTAGACCAAGACACCGCAGCTGACCAGCCTGGAGGACAGTGCCTCGCCCACAGCAAAGGCTCACAGCCAGTTTCCTTTAGCGTCTGTGAGAAAGCTTTTGTTCCCTGTGGTGGGGCTGGGGAAGGCAGATTCACTGTCTACTCTTTTAAGTCTCTCCCTGACTCTTTACTTTTGTTTCATGAGGCTAAAATTTCCCTGGCGATGGAAAATATCCCTGAGGAGTTGGAAATAGCTCGGGTGTCAAGAACACTGAATTCTTTTGCCTAAAGAGTTTTATACAGTTCTTTCTTTGCCAACTATTGACGACGCGGCTTTGTTACATAACCTCTCGGAGCCTCAGGGACACATGGGAACAAGCAATGGTCACAGGTTTGTGTTAAGAATTAAAAGAGTTGTTGGAGAAGGTGTACCATCGGCACCCTGTGTTACCCTGACATTATTGAATCTTCTACTCCCTCTCCTGAAATATCTTTAGGGCTGTGTGTGTGTGTACACATATAACGGACACATAATAATTGTGCACATGTATGGGGTATGTGTGATATTTTGATATATGCATATAATGTGTAATGATCAAATAATTAATTAATGATTAATGATGGTAATTAAACTATCCATAGCTGGGAGTGCTTCTCCTGTGTTTTCGTCTAGTCATTTTATAGTTTCAGGCCTTATGTTTAAGTCTTTATTTTGATTTGATTTTTGTGTATAGTGAGAGAGTCTGGTTTTATTCTTCTGAATATGGATATCCAATTTTCTCAGCATCGTTTATTGAAGATGGCATTCTTTGCCCAACGTATGCTCTTAGTACCTCTGTCAAAAAATAATTTGGCTGTTAATACGTGGGTATGAAATTTCCCACAGGTGTCTGAAAATGGTGGCTGGCTCTTATGAAATTAATCTTTCTCCTAGCTTGGGAGGGACAGATATGTACCTGGATTTCCCCCAGTTTGGGGTCTGATATAGTATGGATATTTGTTCCTTCCAAATCTCATGTTGAAATTTGATCTCAGATGTTGGGAGCAAGGCCTAGTGAGAGGTGTTTGGGTCATGGGTGGACCTCTCAAGATCAGCTTAGTGGCATTCTGTTGACAAGAGCCTGTCACCTCCTTCTTTCCCCTCTCTAGCTGTGTGGCATTTGCCTCTGGTTTGCCTTCCATCATGAGGAGAAGCTCCCTGAGCCTCTCACCAGAAGGAAATGACAGCACCAGGCTTCTTACACAGTCTGCAGAATCATGAGCCAAATAAACCTCTTTAAAAATTATCCTGTCTCAGGTCGGAGACAGGATAGCAATGCTAAATGGACTAAGACAGGGGCTTAGCTCAGAGTCTAATCCATCAGCTTCCAGGGGAAATGTCTACACTAGGATTACTTATACACTCGGGAATCTAAGGAGCTTCCACGTTGCAGTTTGAGTACAAAAGAAAACACTGAGAGGCTGAAGCTACAAACACAGGCCCAGTGTCTCCTCCCTAAGATCACTCCCCTTTTCTGGTCTGGGCCACACCCAGGTTTCCTGGCAGGTGAAGCCCAATGATCACAGCTGAGTCATGAGAAGCTGGGGCGGCGTTTCCTCCCTGGCCTCGAAGATGCAGCTCTGGCAGGGGCTTCTTGCAGCTGCAGGAAGAGCTGGTTTTCTGGAAAGGCATTTTCTGTAGATCATACAAAAGGTCTCTGGCACGGTACCAAACTGGTGCAGTTCAGATTAAAGAATTGCCCAGAGAGGGGACAACAGAGCTAGGGAAGTCCGAGAACATTGGTTCCAGGTTTGCTTGGTGGCAGCATTGGCCTCTGCTCTGCGATCTAATCTAGGGGTGCCATTCATACAGGATCCAATGTCATGGTGCTCCAAGTGTTTGTTCTGGGACCAAATCCTATAAAAGCCAAACTTCTAGTCTCAAACAAAGCTCAGTTTCTAGTTTCTTATTCTAGTTTCTGCCTTACAATGCACTGATTTCTGCCACAAACAAACAAAAATAAATGAATAAGTACCATATTTTTGAAGCCCCAATTTGTAGCAGAATATTAGGTGATACAACGCTTCCAGATGTACACCATTTAAAATTCCTATGTGTGCAATGGATGACGTCTTTATGAGGAAAGCAGATTTCTAGTTGAAACATACTGTTGATCACTGATTTCTTCTTTCCCGTTTAATTTGGGTATACTAATTCCTCATACCTATCTCGCCCAAAGAAAGTCAGGAAAAATAGAAAGTCAAATGGTACCTTACTTTTAAATAAATTCCAAAGTCATCTCTCTGCCTCAGGCTGTCAAGGTAAAAGACAGTTGCTGAGTAGTTCAGGCAGTAGGTCTGGTGGCTCTGACAGAGGCTCCCACGGAAATACTGCAAGAGAAAAGCACAAAAAACACAAGTTAAGAGGGATGTGCTGAGCCCTGGCAGACTTTCCCTTCACTTATATCATTAACTAGGACAGAGAAAGGTAGAGCAGCTACGATTGTGTAGACAATCTCTGCAATTAGCATTCTTTTAAAAAGATATGGTATTCTCATAATGAGCAGCTGATTCCTCGATAAATAGTCTTTTCTCCTCTATACTTAAAGAAAATTCTATGTAGTATGCCTTAACTTAATCCATTCTTATTTCTGTTTGAGTTTTCATAAGGTCCCTACACTATGTCTGGCACCTATCAACAAAGATTGCCTTTGATTTGGGTGACCAGGTGGGTTGACGTTAAGCTTGTGTCAGTAGTAAGTGATTAAAGTAACAACATTTAACTTTTCATCCAATATTCCTCAAAAAGATTTATAAATGTAACTCTGCAGGATTCTAACCACATAGAGATTTGGTATGCTCCTACTTAATGTACTATAGTAGCACGCATTTTGTTCACCAATCTTACCTAATCTAACGCTTACTAGATTTTCTTCATGATTCTTATCTAATGTCTTACATTTGCTATGACACAACTTTGTAAGCCACGCCAAATTCATTTTAGAATAAGTCATGTTTTATGTATATATTCATACATATAGTGGGCAACTGCATATCACACAATAAGCAGCCATCTCAGTTGTGTCTTTCTCAGGAACGATGGTTATTCTTTCCTCTTTACCAATGCTACTCACTCATTACTGGTGGACATTCACTTCAGGACCCCACACTCTCTACAGTGTTGCTCCCTCCATGTGCCCATTGATAGATTTATTGGCCAATATGTGCATATATAGCAACTCATGGGCCCCATCAGGGAAAACACATTGCTGGCAGTGTTATTACCACAAGAGTGGAAAGAGCAGACCCAGCTGAAAAGCCACTAAAAGAAGTGATAGTAATAGAACCAGAGGTCACAAAAACCTAGAAAAATATTTTGTTATAGGACCTCAGAAGATAAAACATTATAAAGAGCAATGTCAAGTTTTGACTTTTCCAAGAAATAATTCGAAAAATGATATGAGGTTTTTTTTTTTTTTTTTTGAGGGGGGATGTGAGAATGTTAATAGCTGGGCAGAGAGGAGGACTTGGAGCTAAAGGGAGTGTCTTCTCATGAGACAGGTTGATGCTTGAGAAATGGCATAATTAGGATTGTTAAGAGGCCAAGATTAAGAGTTAGACTTAGAAATTCACTTCTACCACTCATTAGCTATATAATCTTGGCTACATTAACCAATCTCCAAGCTCAGTTTCCTTTTGAATGACTTTGTCAGATAGCTCACATGTAAATGTAAGACAACCCTGTCTCCTAGATGGTGACGTCTCAGAAGCAACTACATTGTTCTTGGTGAGATTCTGGGGGTAGACTGCTTACTGTTCATCTTAATCCCCACCCTAACCCTTCCTGGGGAGGAAGATATGTACCTGCTACATTGAAGGTAAACTTGGCTGTGTGCGGAGGCAAGGCTAACAGACATGCCACTCCAGGCAGAAACTTAAAGAACCAGTGATTGCTTTGCCACAGTCTCTATGTCTTTGCCATGGCAATTGGTCATGTTCCAAGTGGTAGCTGCTCTATCAACATGGGCCCCAGAGTCAGGACAAGGAGAAAGTGGAGGCAGAGCATAAATGAGATATGAGCCACACTGCAGAGATTTGGGGATGTTTGTTACTGAGGCACAACTGAGTCTAACCTGACTGATAGAGACCTTCTGAATTTAGGAAAAGTTTTTATGACCCATCTTTGCACATCTGTAAGATAGTATGGAACATTCATATGTGGCTTTATTATAGCACCTTAATAAAGAGTCTAAGAATATCACTTTCTTTAGTAGATCTATAAGTGCATGTAAGTGTTTCCATCAGAAGCTGACATTTCTCCAAGCTATTTACTAAAAGCTACATTTAAAAATGTTCTAACTCAAGGAGAGATCCTGAAATTCTAGCCGATTCCCCCAAATTTATATTCTTTCTCATTTTTAAAAGCTTTTCTTATTTAAATCTGTTGTCAATTTTCACTAAAGGCTCTTCCTACTTTGTACCTAATTTCCTGCTTATTTTTGCCTCCTTAAAATTCTTCCTTTAAATATCTTCTCAAGCATCGTTTCCCCAGAGAGAGTTTCCTACCTGGAACTACACCCCATATCTACCCCAACTTAGAAGGTTTTCTTTGTTGGACCCATACCTGCATCCCTTAATTTCTCTTGCATTTATTTTAATTTGGTTATATAATCACTAGTGCCATGACTGGAATGATTTCTTCACCACTAGACTGAAAATTCCTTAAGAGCAAGGGACTTGTCTGATTTTGCACATTATTGTATCTGGGAAATGGGCCCCACATAGCACTTGGTAAATTGCCAATAAATCTTAATCTATTTTTTTAATGGTGTGTAAGAACTCAAATCTTGCTGAATGAGACTAGATAGGAAGTGGATTAAAAATTTTAAAGTAAAAAAAAAAAAAAATCATGGGGAGGTGGCCCAAATAAGAAACAAATAACATTTATCAAAGCAGGGTAACGTGTTTTTCTCTTTTCTCCTCATTTCACACACGGAAATATTATTAAAGGTCTTGATGGGTTGGAAGGTTTGTTTATTTTGTTTCTTTCTGAGAGTCTGGCACTTTGTTAGAAGAACAACCGAACCGTGTAATTAGCATACACTGAACGATTGCCATGAATATTGCTTTCAACTGAAATCATTTAAAAAATAGACTTGGAAATGGCATTTCCATGCGTGCACATTTCTGTATTCATAAAATCCACATGAGACATGGTGATGGGAAAACAGAATCTGCAAATTATTTTGGAAAACTGTGATTGGTGGAGATAGGGATGGTTCCTTTGTGGGAGGGTAGTCATAGAACTTTCCCTGAAACGCAGAAAATCGAGTAGATATGAATGGCTGTCCTGGGAGGTGGGTGAATGTATTTCACAAAGGTGAGATCTCCAAGAGGGATTTTACCTTTGTAAGCACGGAGATAAAATCCATTGAAGGTAAAGTCTCTGAAGCATCTACGTAGTCTCTGATGAGGCGGAAAAGACTGTTCACAAAACCAAGGCTTGTCTAGGACCAGAGAGAAAGAAAACCAGAGTAGGCACACACCCGGGATAAGGAATAAACATTTGACGGACTTCAAATATCATTCTTACAGATGTTTCCTATTTCAAATTTATCTCTTAGCAAAATTCAAAGATTTATTTTCCTCCACTTTCCAATATGTATTTTCTCATAAGTTTTTCTTGAATAAATTCTTGTTGCTAATCTCTCTTCCCTTCCATTTGAGAGGAAAGCTATTATTTATTTATAATATATATGAGAAAAGCACATTTATTTGAAAATAAACATTTATAAAGGTGATAAAGAGCTTAGGAATGTAGCTGTGTTTTTAAATAGCCATGGAAAAAAATAAAAAAAACAAAGGTTAACTACTACCTATAGTGTATTGGAAAGATGTCAATGGATGTTTAGACTTCTTGCCTATTAACCTGAAGTCCTCACTGGGGATGGAATATGGAATGAATCATATGCCGTATTCCAGTATGGAATCCATGCCACAAGAACAGACCAAGCATGAATTTTCATGGTCCTTTAACGAATTTAAAAATACAGCTATTGACACTTCAAAGATACTTCGGCTTACCTGAGCTAACTCCTCCAGGTTTGCAAAAAGTCTCCATAAATCCACATCCAGGAGAAATTCATGCATTTGCAGATATTTTAGTGTATTCATAAAGATCTTTAAAGAAAATAAATGCACATTAATTTCTATTTTGAAGTCTTGAAACATGCCCTCTGTAAGAACATTAAACATAAACCTCTTGAACATAAGTTAACAAACATTGTAGAAATCAGTATTCTCAAAGTTCAGAAATTTTGTTCCATACAAATGATGACACTGAAGCTTCCCAAAACATATTGGAAAAGTATTCTTCGGTATGAAGTTGCTATTGCTTCTACAAGTCCTAACAACTTCCCCGTTGAACACAATTGGTCCAAATAGCCTTTCTCTGCTTCATAGCACCAAAGAAATCCCAAAGGTTCTCTTCCTGCCAACGGTACTTTGAGAGCAAAACACGTTCATGATGTCTTCTCCTGTCTCCCTTCCTCTGCAAAAGATCTGAATGCACTTTACTTTCAGGAAATTAACAGAGAATGAATGAGTTCATATTGGATAACTTGTAAAATGTTTTGGTTTGGGTAAAGGTATTAAATATTAATGCAAGCCTTAAGGGAGTCTTTATGTAATTCTTACTGGAATAAGAAGACGGGGGAACTCCACAGCAAGTGGAGAGAGAGGAAGGACAGTCCTCACAGAGCACCTGCCCTCCATCCTGGAAACTGAGGAGAGACCCGTTATTGAGATGGAAATGCTTTGTCTACTAAAGATGGGAAGCAGTCAAAGCAACCCATTATTTCAAGAATTTTAGGGGTTAAAAGACAGGACTTTACCTAGCTAACCCTTTCCAATTCCTGTTTCTGTGTTATTTAATTAATGCAGGGAGTGGGTCTTGAACTTGCCTCAGAATCACCTGAAGTTGCTCTTAAAGCAGAGTTGCTGGGCCCCACCTGTCTGTGAAGGAGTCTAAGAATGCAAGGTTCTAACCAGTTCCCAAGCGATTGGGTTGCGGCTGGTCTGCACACCACATGTTGAGAACCACCGACTTGGAGGTTTTTAAATCCAACATGATATCGGCTGTCTGGAAATCTGTCAATATCCAGGCATTTAAAACAGATAATTTTAAGAAACAAAACTCATTACTGCAGGTAAATTGGGACAATTTGGAAGAACTCTTTTTGCTCTAAGATTATTTGCTTTACAGAAATGTTAACCATAAACAAAAAAGTACTGAGTCCTCTAGTATATTTATTTTACTATACAAGTTACATATTTTCAATTCACAAGCAACTTGGGAAAAATGATGGATTATGTAAAGAGAGGTATATATATGTATATGTGTGTATACAAATGAACTCAAATTGACCTTCTCTTTAGGTGAAAATGCTAATTTGAAAAACATGGGCAGCTTTATGGGGCTAGAAAGTTCTGTGCTGTTTGTTGGAAGGAGGGAGGGGAGCTATGCAATTTGATACTAAATTTTGCTAAGCTCTGGAATTAGTGCTCTGCAGGGAACACTGGACTGGTCACCACAGATGCAATGTCCCCCTTCCTTAAAAACAGCCTGGCTTTCCTTTAGCTTCTACTCTTCCCTGAGAGTATCATGTGCCACCTGTCAAGCTGACCTCATGCCCAGGCTGGGCCTTGATTCCCTTCAGCCAATCAGTGTCAAGCTGACCTCATGCCCAGGGCTGGGCCTTGACTCCCTTCAGCCAATCAGCACATTTCTTCTTTACCTAGTGGGAGTATTTGCCTCAGGGGTGGGCATGTAATTGATCTAACAATTAGAATGAATTTCAAGACTTTTGCTGTGAAGGTTGAGAAGATCTTTCTCTCTCTCTCTCTCTCTTTCCCTCCCCCTCCCACCATGAGCTCAGGACAACAATCATTTTGTGATGGCAACAGAAGCCAGCTTTCAGATGAAGCTAAAGCCATGGACCACAGGGATGAGAGATGGCAAGGAATTTTGTCCCTTGGTTTTGAGCCCTTTGATCAAAACAATCTTGAATTCTTTCCTACCTCTGGGCTTTACCGTCAGTCACGTGAGCTAATAAAATCCTGTGTTATTTCAACTAGTTTTCTCTTCCTTGCTCTGATAAGCATCTTAACTGAGACAGTCTCAAAATTTCAATTGGCTCATAGAGTGTCTTTGTAGTTTAAATTTTGCTAAGTAAAGGGCTTAGTGCTGTGACTGACAATACATATGACAGAAAATAACCTGGTAGATTTCAAAGAAAACGACTTTGATCATCCCAATGGTCTCCCGAGATAGCCAGGGATGGTATTGTCATTCCCTTTATAGCCTGAACAGAGATTGTCAAACTACAGCCTCTGAGCTAAATCTGGCCTGCTGTCTGCTTTTGAAATGATGCTTTCTGGTGACACAGTCAGGTGCATTCCTTTACATATTGTCTCTGGCTGCTTTTGCACTGCAAGGGCAGAACTGAGTAGTTACAGTAAAGACCATGGGGCCTGCGAAACCTAAAAGATTTACTATCTGGACTAACACAAAAGTGTTTTGCCACCCCCTGGTTTAAGATATGGGGGATTAGACTTCTCCAAGGCATGTCAGAGTTGGAGCCAAGGCTTGAACTCAGGTCTGCCAACACGGTGCTTTTTAGCTGTGTAAGACCAGGGTTCAAAAGTGCTTTGGGCAGAGGCGATTTGGGGAGCTGTGAAGTCCAAGTTCTTGCAAAGAAGCTGCCCTGTAGTTCCCTTCCTTGACCTGTGGTTCTTCCCTAAGAAATTCTCTGCTCTGAGCCTTACTTGATCAGGGCTGCAGCCCTGTACAACCTCAAGGGCATCATTTACAAAGAAGACATCATGAATGTACCATGTGATCTGACAGAACTGAATTGCACGCAGATGGCAGATGGCGGCACCAGAAGTCTGTGACAGTGGCCCTGCAGCTGACAACAAGTGTTCACCTGGCACTGTTCATGGGGGAGCAAGAAGCAGACCATGGGTGGGATGGGCTGCCCCGAGGTTGGCTTGAGCTCCCCCACCCGAGGAGTGTGTGCATTGCTGAGCTAACGCAGAAGATACTACGGACGTCAGATGGGAGACTGGGCTAATTGACTTAGAAAATCTCATCTAAGGTTTGAGGAAAGAATGAAGAGACAACCAAATAGTAGCTCAACAAAAATAAATAAATAAATAAAATGTTCTTAAACATCTCCTGAAAGTAGGCAGGCGCAGCGGCTCACACCTGTAATCCTAGCACTCTGGGAGGCTGAGGTGGGAGGATTGCTTGAGCTCAGGAGTTCGAGACCAGCCTAAACAAGAGGCAAGAGTGAGAACCCCATTGCTACTAAAAATAGAAAAAACTAGTGGGGGATTGCAGTGGACACCTGTAATCCCAGCTACCTGGGAAGCTGAGGCAGGAGGATCACTTGAGCCCAAGAGTTTGAGGTTGTTGTGATCTATGACACCACAGCAACCTACGGAGGGCAACAGAGTAAGACTCTGTCTCAAAAAAAAAAAAAAAAAAAATCCCAATAAAACTCCTCAAAGAAAAGGAAAAACTTTAAAACTGTTTTTTTTTTCTTTTTCCTTTTCTTTCTTTTTTTTTCTTTGTATGGAAGAGAAAAACAAATCTGTAAAAAACCACATTAATATCTTCATCTACTACAAAAATTAAGCCTTACCATCTTAAGGACTAGTAAGTGGTCCAAGAAATACGTGCATTCACTGGTGAAAAGCTCCCACACAGCCTCTTGCTGCTTTCTTAAGTCTAATTGATCAGTAGGAAGTTTCTGATGTGTCTCCACGACTTCGTTCCAGCTCTTATCCTGTACATGAGGAGAAAGGAGAGAACAGAACATTTCCACCTCAGCGGGTTGACCTGCTGGCTATTTGCTTTGGCGTGCAGCTCAACAGGGAGAGGCAATCTCGAAAATCATCATTTCCTGCTTCAGGCCCAGGTAGCTCTCCGGGCAGTGGCCGCTCAAGCTACCCAAACCGCAGCTTCCCTCCGTGGGACGTTGGGATGCCAAGGCCTCCCGAGGCAAAGCCTGAGGTGCACGATGTATTTGTACTTTAAAATGAAAAGAAACTCAGACTGATGTTGTTTTGAACAAGGTTCACGAATTATCAGGAGTCCTTCTCAGTTTATTGTAAAACCATCTCAAAAACCTTGAACCCAGAACTGGGGAGTCTGGTTCCAAAACTTGTTGAAATTAACGAAAGCATTGAACCCCAAACTGGGGAGTCTGCTTCAAAACTTGTTGAAATTAACGAAAGCATCGTAAAGTAAGAGTTTTAGAGTTTAATGAGACCTTTAGAAATTGTCCAATCAAAGACAACTTATTTTTCAAATGACCAAATGGAGGCCCAGAAGGATGAATAGTAGAAATAAAATTTGGTTATTTAACAAATGGTATTAACATTTGTAGAGGGCTTCCGTGTCTACCAAGTGCCCTCATATTCGTTACCTTATTTACAGTAAGATGACTTTCCTAGGTTTTAGGAAAAGACCTGGCCTTCCCAGCCCTGAGACTTGCTGGTATTATATATAAACAAAGCAATGACCTGACAGTTTAAAGTAATGACCAAAACAGAAAAGAAAACCCCCTGCCACCCAGTAAACAATTTGTGAGATACCTTAAAGCCGCAGAACTCGTAGTTCCTGAAGTCGGTAATCTTCACAGAGGAGAGACAGTTTTCCAGATCGGATATTTGCTTGTGTTTGTCTTTGCTCTGCTTAAAGATCGTTAGAAACAGAATTTTCAAACATTAATTTTTTAACGGCACGGCTTCCTTTGTTCCTTGTCTACCACTCATGAGAACACACTGCACATTTTGTCTTTAAGCCACTAACAATTCCAAAGCCACAGTCTGAGCCGCAGGACCGCAGGATGTCAGGTCTGGAGGACAGAGGTTCATAAGATTATCTAATGCAAACATCTCATTTTGCAAATTACTCAAGGCACAGGGTGATTATATAGCAAATAGGTGGACTCTGAGTCTAGTGTCTGCCAGGTGGGGTGACAGGACATCCTTCATCGATTTAAATTCCCCAAACTCTGGACCACAGGAATGTAGCATCAGAAGGAGCCTCAATAATAATAATTTTATGCTAACAGATACCACAATATGCTAGAAACTTTAGTTTCCTTGGAATGGAACAACCTACTTACTTTTCTTATGATCTTTATTATTACTAACATTGGCTTTAAAAACCTGATTGGTTTTTAAATAGGTAATTGGTTTTTATAGGTAATTGGTTTTTATATAGGTAATATATGTCTATTGCAGAAAATTTGAGAAACAAAGAAAAACACGGTGAAACTTAAAGCTACCCATAATTTTCACCTATAATTTCACCCTCAAAAAACACCATGAAAATTAAAGCTACCCTCATAATTTTACCCACTGAAAAATTTTTCCTGATCATATGCATAATTAATTTTTAAGTAGTGTCATATTTATGCATCCTCTATAACTTGCTTTTGAAACTTCATACCTTGTAAGCATTTTTGGATTCATTTAGCATTCTGCTGTAACACCAGGAACCGCCCAGTGAAAGAGTTCATTTTACCAACCACACCAGGAAGAAGCACTCAAATGTCAGTGTGCCAGGCTCTTTAAACTCAACTTGGCAGCATTTCAAAGGAATGTTTATCACAAATAATTTTTGACTTGTTCTATTGCCTCGGGATGCATGATATTGGCATGGATTTCAAGTTTGGTGAGAGTTAATCAATGCTACATTAATGACCAACAGAGGCACAGGTTGTCTGCTGTTGCAGGTCGGGCCTCCCTGGTGAGTGACAGGAGACCCTGTCATCGTTTCAGAGTGTGCTACTGGGCTGTGGCTGGTCTCTGGGGTAGATGCATTAGCCTCTGCGGCAGCAGAGGAATCCTGAAGCCAGTTGGGGACCTCCTACGGAATTGGGACGTCTGCCTTTTGTTGATGTCTGAAACCATAGTGGCTTCATGTTGTGGAAATAAAAAGAAAAAAAATCAGCAGTCTGTTGGGAAAGAAAGAAGCAGAGACAATGGCAGCAGCGTTGGAGTTGTGGGGAAACAGGTGCCAGCCCCGTACTTTGACAGGCACTCACTTTGGCTTTCTGTGGGGTTGACCAACCTCCTGGCCTCATAGCTTGTGGGTATTCCAGGGAGAAGGGAGGAGACACTTGTCTTGGTGGCCACGTTAACCAACTAACTCTCCAGAGGACCAGGCCCAGGTAGTGTCTCGTTCCTTCCACTGTGGTGGTGTTGGTGAGGGAAGCATTTGAAGGGTATTTGTGAGGACAGCAAGCTGAGATTAACTGCAGAGTCCCAAACTTAGTCACTAGGAGGTAGGTGGCATGGGGGTGTGCAGCAGGCGCTGTGGAACTGGAGCCAAGCTGAAGGTTAAGACTGAGGACAGACATTGTAGGGTGGTTTACAAAGAGATAGTGTTGAAGCAGTGAGAACAGGCAGGATCTTTGAGAGCTCCAGGGAGAGACGGAGGGAGGGGCTCCCAGGTCTGCTTATGAGACACCCAGGGTTAAAGTGGCAGGACCAGGCTGGTGCCAGAACGTTCTCAGAGCTAGACTGCCTGGGAGTGCTGGAGGCAGATCCCTGCTCTGCTGCTCACGAGCTGTGTGACCTTGGGCAAACCAGTCAACCTCTCTGAACCCATGTTTCTCTTGGCAAAACAGGGGTTACCTAGCTTATTGGATTATTGTGAGAACTTACGAGTTCACATATGTGAACTATGATGTATATAAACAAGAACACAGTGGTGCCTGGTAACGTGGCAAACGTTACATATGTGTTACCTTCCATTAGTAACATACATCGTATCAATAGTGGGCAGATAGGAAGAAGGAAAGGAAGGGAAAAAGCAAAGACAAGTAAAACTCTGTAAGGGGCTGGGAAAACACAGCTTAGAGCTGTGTTTGTTGCACTGATGTGAATCATCCATGTGAATTACCTACTAAATAAGGCTACGAACAAACGAAGGAAGAAGATGTGCTGATGGTCAGGAAACGAGGCTTTGTGCACCGGGGAAAGGGAAACTTCTGGAAACCCACTTCTCTTCATTGCTAAGAGCATCTGCTGAGAACGTTCTGTCAGTCCACTGATTTTTCTTCCTCTATGTCCCTCCGCAACTGAGTCCCTCACAAGGGACAAACCATTCAACACCTTTCCCCCCAACTTAACAGTCCAGTGTTCTCAGTAATGAGCTAGCAATGGGCATTTTGGTATCTCAGATATCTGGCCCAATACTTGACACAGTCACCCACGGTTGCTTCTTGGTGGGGACAAGAGTGGATTGATTGATCCTGACACCTGGTAGGAGTTTCTCTTCCTCAGCCGAGCCCCTCCCTTCTGAAAACACACCCTATCTCCCGAGCAGCCCTGAGAGCGTCTCTGTTCTGGAGGGCCCCTCAAGAGGGCTGGGGGAAGATGCCTCTTCTCCTGGGACCTCAGATCTGCCTCTGTTTATCGGAGGAAGGCGCTCAGGAGACACTGCTCTGTACACTGTGTCTCAGACCCGCCCGGAAAACAGTCAGAGCATGTCCCGGAATCACGGATGAGCAACGCCCCCAGTGACAATGGTGTCACAATGTTACTAATAATTTATGATTTGCAGATCATTGTGTTTAGACTGTGTTTCATATAAAAGTTTTATTTTTGAAAGAAAATGTGACAGGTCATCATACACATGGTTGTTGAGAACAAGCAATGTTCTAGACCAGTGGTTCTCAACCCTGTGGGTCATGACCCCTTTGGGGGTTAAATGACCCTTTCACAGGGATCACCTAAGACCATCCTACATATCAGATATTTACATTACGATTCATAACAGTAGCAAAATTACAGTTATGAAGTAGCAATGAAAATAATTTTATGGTTGGGGGTCACCACAACATGAGGAACTATATTTAAGGGTGGCAGCATTAGGGAGGTTGAGAACCACTGTTCTAGACACTAATTATAATAATATAGCTACTGATAGTAAAGCCAAGATAAATTGTCTACAAGTGCCTAGCTCTGGGATAAGCTCCACACGATATATCAGTCACCACAACCACCCGGTGAGGCTGCCATTATTCATTTCCGTGTTGAACAGGGTAAGACCTGAGCTGAGGGAGGTCTATTGGCCTTCGTTCGGCCAGGGTCATAGGGCAGCAAGTGAAGCAGCTAGGATTGGAACGTTAGAGGACTTTTTATTTAAGCTACTGGACTTAAGTGGCAGGCCTGGTGGCTCAGCCTGTAATCCTTGCACTCCAAGAGGCCAAGGTGGGTGGGGTGCTTGAGCTCAGGGTTTGAGACCAGCCAGAGCAAGAGAGAACCCCATCTCTATTAAAAATAGCCAGGTGTTGTGGTGGGCATTTATAGTCCTAGCTACTCGGGAGGCTGAGCCAAAAGGAACTCTTGAGCTCAGGAGTTTGAGGTTGCTGTGAGTTATGATGCCATGGCACTCTACCCAGGGTAACGGAGTGAGACTCAGTCTCAAAAAACAAAACAAAACAACCCTCCCCCCCAAAAAAATTTCAAGGTGTATATGTCCACAGAACCATTGCGGATGTCCGCCACTGATGCCAAACTGATTGGAAAGGCCATGTGGGCGGGTTTTTAACAGAATGAGGTACAGTAACCAGCAGAAGCCCCTGCAGCTGCTTCCGGCTGTGCTTGCTTGTATGACAACTGGTCCTGCTGGGAGAACACACCATCAGCCCCTACCCTTCCTCCAGAAAATGGGAGGCATCAGGGTGTGATCCTGAACACTCCGTCCCTCCACCCACAGCATGACTGTGGCCACCCTTCTCCTAGGCAGTGAAGACTCTGGGGCCACTGATGTAGATTTCTAACTCTTCCATAATTGATGGGACCAAAAATGAATTAAAAACCCTGCTAGGACTAATCTGACCGGCTTTCTCAGAAATAGATGTGTATTTGTGGGATCTGTTTCTGTAATAGCTCATTCATTTTTCAATATCCCCGATATACACGGTGCTGACTGACTGTGAACTAGGGCGTACATTTGTGGAAATGTGCTTCATCAAGGGAGCTGTTTCCTGTGATAAATTTAGCCCTGCAGAGCATCCCTATATTAGGATTGCTTTGTGGTTTTCTTTCTTTCTTCTTTTTTTTTTTTTGTGGAGCTCATTAACCACTGGCAATTAGCACTGTTTAGCTGCACAAAATGGTACCATTTGGCATGTTCTGTGGCCAATACTACGGATGTGATGATACCATTTACATTTCATGTGCCATCTGCCTTTATGCAGAGACAAAGCAGAATAAGGAGGCTCTTCACCCATTTCTTACTTTCTTAGCTACATTAAGGAGGCTTAATTAAGAGAAAAATGACAATGTGTGACACTTACCACTCCTCTCTTGGAGAAAGGCCATCTTGGCTTTTTGGATTCTGGTGGGTGAAATTAAAGAAGAGATATGATTATAGGTACTTCAAGCGACAGATCATTGCAATGCTTTACACAACTTGCTTTTTGAAAATGAGCCCCAGACAGGACTCATCCTGCTGTAATTCTCTTGAGAATGGGTAGAATGAATATTTATATTTTTGCAATGGAGTGGGTGAAGCAGTGTTGGGGAGAAATCTATAAACTTAGATAAAGATGGTGAGTAATTCATTGAAGATAGAAATCATAGCACTTGGGTGCAGAAAAGATGGGCCCTTCATTTTCGTACCATCGTACCATAAACCAGCCTAGGACTTGCAAGTTCAATAG